TCTGTGTCAACTGTCAACTAAAAATCTAATGCAATAAAATATCTCAACAACTCTTCCAAAAATAACAAAAGAAAAAATCCATCGTACATAGGTTATGTGTGATATATATATATATATATATATGGAATTAAATGTTAGCATTGGTGGGTGGTGTGAGTATGAAAGTGATATGAAACAATAATATAATAATAATAAAGGAGACATTCACACGTATTTTTCTTGGATCATATTATTGTCTCTTTTCGATTAACGAATCTTAAACACGCTAGTTATTATTTATTTCGAAAATCCCTATTAACGGATATATCTTTTATTAATTAAAACGCTTTTCTTTGTTTATAATTTCAAATAATTTTTAATAAAAATATACTCTCTTCGTCCGCTAAAACTAATACAATTTGGTCCGACACGGATATTAAAAAAAAATGAATATTTTATTGAAAAAGTGTTAGATAGTTTGAGGTATTTTTGAAAATTTAATTAGAAATTAAAGTAAGCGAATGAAAGAAATATAATAAAGTTAGTAGTATTTGTTCTAAATAAGTATGGAATAGAATAGAGGATAATAATTAAATATTAATTTGTTAAAAGTGTAGCAAAAGAGTGTTTGTTTATTCATACCATTTTTTTCTTCAAAAAACATCAAATCAAATGCTTATTTTTAATTTTTTATATTATACTAAAAATCAATTTTACATTCAAAGCATCACGTCAAAACTTATTTATATCATATCATAGAACTATTCAAATTCAAAACTTTTACTATTCAAATTCCAACTCAAAATCGAAACCTCCAAACAAACGCACCCTTACAAATGTGGAAAGTAAACCACACTACTAGTAATATACCAAGTTTAAACTTTGCAATATTTACCCCTAAAGGTAACAAGATCTTTGAGTTTGTTAGGAGGTTTTCACTCGCTTTTTTTTTTTTTATTTATTTATTTTTATTCTTTAGTCCTTTAAAATAAACTTTTATTTGCATTTACACATTATATAAAAATATATTAATTAACATTTTATTTTATTTAAGTTTTTTGTTCTTCTCAAATTTCAAATTAACTCCTAAGCATTGTTAAAACAAATTGCTCTTTAGGTGTTTTTTTTAAAAATAAATAAATAAATAAATAATGATAAATCTATTCAATTCTCACTATTTTTTTTTGATAAAATACAATATATTCAAACTAGTATTCCAACATTTTTTATGTTTATATATATAATAAAAAATAAAAAATATTGATATAACCTTTGAACTTAAAAAGAAATAAATATAAAATCGAAAAGGAAAATAATCAATTGGAATAAAAAGTAAAAGAAAAAAAAGGAAACATAGTGCAATATACAAATGGAAAATTAGAAATGTGTTTTATTGTGAGATTATGGAAAATAATAAAAATATTATAAAAAATAATATTTTATATATATATATATATTTTAATTGTTATATATATATATTGTAATTTTTTTATAATATTTTTAGAAAAAATTGTAATGTGAAAATACTAAAATAAACGTGCTCTATTACCACAAGATAAATTATATACAATTGAACACCTGATCCACATTAGTTGCAATACATTTTTATAAATTATATTTATTTATTTTTATGAAATTGTACTCTTAATCAATAATCTAAAATAATGCACCAACCAGCATATATACGAAAACAGATAATATAGATTAAGTTTGTAGGGTTGAGCTGTTCCAATTATTAATTTACATGATTGGACATGCTCCATACTCGTATATTTAAGGTTGCGACTACAACGCTAAATAAATTTATTCAGTACTATGCTAATATATATATATATATACTTAATGACTTATTGTTAGATAACACATAAAATATTTAAATAGAAAATATAAATATATATATATATGATAATATAATATAAATTCTCGTCGGTTTCTAAGGGTCACATTTATTTTTTACGTCATTGTATTTAACATTAAAAATATCTTTATATTTGTATAATATTTTGTACAAATGTTATTCTATTAGTATTATAAGACATTAATGGAAGTATTTTTGCAATTTTTTCTTAATTTATACTACGTTTTTTATATAATAATTAACACGTAAAAAGTAAATAAGACCCTTAAACCCGAACAGAGATAATATATAAAGCGATAAAATATAGCATAACCTCAATATCAAGTATTATTTTTTGGCACATGTGTATAATGTAAATATGTATTTTTTGTTTATTTTATTTTGTTTTTTTATAGTTAAAAAAAATATAATATTTTTAAAATTTAAAAACATAGAAACAAAAATATTTTTATGACAATTAAAAAAATAGTAAATATATATTAAGACGATGAAATGAATATTATTTTACTAATTAATGAGTTTAAGATATAAGGTTTGCTCGATTTTGGTTTGAAATTAGATTAATAATTTTTTATTTAAATAATGTTTTAATGTAATATATTTCGAGAAATAGTTGGTATGCATAGAATTATAAGATAATAAATCGTCTTCTTGATTAATGCACTTAATCTTTATACATTTAAGTGTAATGTTTGAAAGAATTCAATTATTTGTGTGTGTATTTTCTTTGCAGAGGATAGTAAAAAAAAAAAAACCATTCGAATTTTATTTTTATATATCTACAAATATTTTTTTATAAAAGTTATAAAAGATTTTATTTTCATTTATATTAATTCAAGAGCTCATATTTAATAAAATCATCCCAATAAAGAAATTCATACTAAATTTTTTCTTTATTTTTTATTATTCGACATTGTAGCTTCTCTATATTGTGTCGGCAAGAAACATATCTTTAATTCTTTATTTATATTTATATGGAAGAAATTCATTCACAAAACTTTTATTTATTTCTAAAAATAATTGAAATAGTAATCAATAATTTATTCAATATAATTTCATTAATATTTCTTCAACTAATAATTACAATAATTTTACTCATAAATATTTTATTATTCTTAATTCAATGATTGTTGTTTTATTATTATTATTATTATTATCATCATCGTGATTATTATTATAGTTAACTAATACAAATTTGATGTACAAAGCACATCAATATAATAATTATAATAAATCGAAATTGTAAAAATTCGAAAAGCATGTTCTATAGTTTTTCGAATTCTCATTGATGTTGTTCAAATAATTGTCCTTTAGGAACTTACTTTAATAAATTGATTAGATAAAAATTGTCTATGAATTTAATATGTCATCTATAAAATAGTAATTCTATATTAGTGATCATTGATAAATATATATATATATTTGAAAATTTTTAATTCAAAATATCTTTTAAATATTTAAGATTTATCAAACACGTTTAAATTTATTGAAGACCACGTCTCTTTATGTATTTAATCATTGATCATATATTTTATCCTATTAAATTTATTAATAAATTGATTGTATGAATAAACATGTTTTGATCTTCAACTTTTTCATACGAAATCATTAATCAATATATAATTATTGATTAATTCTTTAGTTGAAGAAAGAAATATAGATAAGATCGTAAATTTGAAATTCTCAATTGCATTAAACTCTACAGTAGTCCAATTATAATTTATCAACACATGTAGGATTATTAAAATAATTCATAAAATTCTTAAAATATTCGTAAGCACCTTATTGTTACTTAAATTAAATAACTACATAGTTATGGATGTAATTATTGAATTTATTATGAATGATCTAATAAATTTAAATATCATTCATATATAAGATATACACATTCTTCCATTTTGGCTACTTTAATTACTTACCATCATTAAATAATCAAATGCGATAAGTTATATTGATTTGAAATTTTCGACATTTTTGTAATCTTAAGATATGGTACCCCGTATTTTTTTTTTTTTTTCAAATATTGAAAACTTATCTACTTGATTGAATGTAAGATTACCACAATACGTACTTAAATCCATATAATTAACGGTTTTTCAATTCGATTGAAGATTTATTAAACGTGTATTCGAAGAATAGTAGCTACTAATTTCCACACCATTAAAAAATAATAATAATAATAATAATAATAAAAATTCTATGACACATTTTTATATCCTAGTAAAAATGTCCAAAACTCTTTATATTTTATTTATTAAATGAAACTATTTAATATTAAATTAAAGTATGAGCAAAATATTATTCTTGTTTAAAATTCATATTTGATTATAAATACAAATTTTATACAAGTCTTACATAAATAAAAGAGATAAAATATTTTAAATAATTTTTTTAAAAAAATAAATGATCAATTTTTTATTTTATAAATTTTTTTAGAAAAAAAAAAAATCAAATGTCGTAAAAATCATGGCAAAGAAATGATCAATTATCTATTTATTTATTTTATTATAAAAAAACACAATTTAAAATATTTTATATCCTTTATTTGTATAAAATCTATATAAATAAATAATATTTATAACTATACATTAGCTTTAAATCGAATGTAGTATTTTATGAATATTTTAATTTAATATAAAATATTTCACGCAATAAATAAAATTTCATGTATTTTATATATTTTTACTAAAATGCAAAAGTGTTATATAATTTAACAAAAAAATGGGGAGTTCTATACAATACTATTTTAAAAATAATAGGAAAATATTAGGCAATTTTTAAAAGGAAAAATAGGTATATACTTACCAAACCATAAATTATTGCAATTTTGACAAAAAATTAAGATTAACTTACACAAAACATCATGTGATGCGTTTTATTTGTTGCGAAAAATTATGTGTTAGTGCAAAACTGATGTTTAGTTCAAAACTTGTATTTTCGTTTTTATTTAGAACCAAACATTCATTGCAATAAATAAAATACAGTTTATTTTATACCTTTTTACGTGTTATATAATTTACTCAAAAATTAAAAACATCTCGCTGCTGATTAACAACACATTTATATTAAGATCAATTTTAGTTTTCCGGTGTAAATAAACTAGACTTTGAGGGCAGAAGTGTAAATTGAAATTTCTGCGAGTTGTCTATAAATTAACTGGCCTTGAAATTGATTAACAAGGTTCTCAATCAAATCGCATTTCGCAGGCCCTCTCTCTCTCGTCTTCCCCGCCTCGATCCCTTCTCTCTCCCTCGCTCTCGCTCTCGCTCTACACGTATACATAAACACACAGAGGGAGCGAGAATGGGAGGCCAAAAGTTCGCCGTGCTTCTTTGCGCCGATGACTCGGATTACGTGAAGAAAATTTACGGCGGGTATTATGGAGTTTTCGTCAGAATGCTCAAGGAGGAAGGGGAAGATTGGGACGTATTTAGGGTAGCGAAAGGCGAGTTTCCTGATGAAAACGAGATCGACGGCTACGATGGTTTCGTCATCACCGGAAGCTGCAATGACGCTCACGGAAACGATAATTGGATCTGCAAATTGCTGATTCTTCTGAAGAAATTAGACGCCATGAAGAAGAAGGTCCTCGGCATTTGCTTTGGCCATCAGGTGCGTGCGTCTCTTCTCGATCCTTCTTCCCCTCTCTGTGTTTATGTGTGTTCTTTATTTATTTATTTATTTCTTATTTTTTATTTTAATCAGTACAGTTCGTTTTTTTGTTGTGTGCTTGAGGTCACGCCATTTTTATTGCTCTGTGTGTGGACAGCTGTTCATTTTATATTTCCCTTGACTTTATTTATATACTATTATTTATAGTTTAGTTGTTGTCGTTTCTTGTTTTGAGGCGTGGTTAGGGCAAATCTGTTCATAAAATGGCATCACTATTTTATTATTATTATTTTTTGATAATTTGAAGCCATTGGATTCCACTTAACGCCGATTTAGCTTCCTCCATTTCCGTCGGTGGAAGTATTACTAATCTAACACCGAGCACCCCATCACGTTTCTTTCGACCAATTTATTGAAAGTAAGAAAAAAAATGAAAAACCCTTTATGTATGGTGAAAAGAAGTAAAGAAATGAAGGTCGAATTGAATTACGTCAATAAATTAATGAAAACCTAATTTGGCTCCTATGCTTGGAAATAGTTAAATTTATTTATTACACAGCCGTTTATAGGCCGCCGCTTTTGAACTGATAGTTTTCGCTTATGTATTGAAGTTGCCGTTAACAAGTGTCCTTTCGTGTGCTTGTTTGGATTTGAATAAAATAATGTTTTTACATGCTGAAGATGAGTCATATGTGGCTAAGTCTATCTCAGAGCAGTCAAGAATTTGTCAACCCTGTGTTAAAATGGTTCTTGTAAAAGGTGTAGATGCTTCACAAGAAGATAAATGTGTTTGTGTAAGAATATTATATTAGGTTATGGTATAATTTAATTAATATGAAAAACAGGGGCCCGGAAGAAAGCTGGCTAGCTAACACCCTCTTTGTGTTCTTATCCAATAATAGAAAGGAATGATGCATAGGATAGGTTTGCACCACGGTATGGCAACTGCCCTTTCTTTGTTGCTAAAGAAACTTTGATTATTTTGTATATATTATCATAAAGTTAGCTTCTTGTTGTTGCTCCTAAATGGGCTCGGAATGGATACCATTTGAAATGATTTTGTTGTTTTGGAGAAACGAAAATGAACAAGAATTAAAGATTATGTTAACAGATCGATGCATAGGGGGTTCTATGATTAACAAATGCGAGAAGACAAGTTTTAGATTGCTACTTAGTTAAATAACATTGAATAATGTTAGCACACCATTAATTGAAGTAAGTTTCTAAAATGTTAGTTTCAATTAGTTGCAACATAATGATAGCATGATGTGTGTATTTTAGAGGTAGTTGGGAAAGATGCTTTTAGCATAAGTAGAAATGCTCGGAAAGATACGGGACAGCCATGGCCACCGGTGCATTTATATGTGGTCCAGTTATAACCATGGGGGGGTTAGTCATCTGGCTCGAGCATTTCAGTGACTAGTTGGCGTAAACAATGTGCAATCTCGCACGATATTATGTGATTGGAACTTTTCCTTAGCTAATATGATCAATTTGATTGCTATTGCAAGTTTTGATTTGTAGGTTCTCCTTTATTTTGTCTGTCACAATCTACTGCACTATAAAATGTAAGAAAAAAACGGGCACCCGGTCAGATTCCCTATGGAATAATTTTGCTGGAAACAACTTTCAATTAGCTGAACATCTATTACGACAACTTCTGCTCGAATCTTATTTATTAATGGGGAAAGAAAATGACAGAATGATTCCAATTTGTTTTACATTAGTAGACAAGACACACTGCTTATAAACATGTGATCCTCAGATTTGGATATTGTTGATTCCAACAACCTAGATGTCTCAACTCGAATATAATAATTAACACAGATTGTTTAACCGTTCGATGATTTTGTTTTCCCTCGTGCATGAAAAAGGTCCAAAGTATCAATTTATAACAAATAGATGATATTCAATAACATTACAAAAAAGTCAATTTTATTTTCTATACTTGGCATTAATCTGTCTTTGTCCATGTGCTGCACAGCATCGATTTATGCCTGTTACATGCTGTTAGTTATCCGTCTTTCTTATATGATAATTAGATACTGGGGCGATCAATTGGAGGAAAAATCGGCCGGGCGAGTGCAGGATGGGACATCGGAATCACAAAAGTTCATCTGAATCCATCCAATATTTTCACTTATCTGAAAATGCCTACTTCCCTATCTGTCATCGAGTGCCACAGGGACGAGGTGGATCCATTCTTCATCATTTATAAACCTTTACGGTAAACAAAAAATGCATGATTATGCGCTAAAATTTCAACATTACTCAAATAACACAGGTGTGGGAGCTCCCCCCTGAAGCAGAAGTTCTTGCGTGGTCGAACAAGACTGGGATCGAAATGTTTCAGTGTGGCGACCACATTCTAGGCATTCAAGGGCATCCCGAGTACACAAAGGATATTCTTCTACACCTCATTGACCGTCTGTTCTGCCGCAATCTTATTGAGGTAGAAAATAAGAACTCCTTTCTATTTCGAAACAATAGTTGCTAAACAATTGCGATTTTGATCGTGAAGGAGTCTCTTGCTAAAGATGCGAAACACAAGGTGGAGGCGAGCGAGCCGGATCGGGAGGCTTGGACGAAACTATGCACTAGCTTTCTCAAAGGAAGATTGTGATGCTGCTGCATCTATACATATGCATAATAAGGTGATGAAATTTGAAGATGTACATATTGATCAAGGTCCATTTTCACTATGTGAGTTGAAGATTTCGACAATTTGTGTCCTTTGAGTTTTTTTTTCTTTTTTAATCTAACTTGATTTCAAGTTTATTGTGGGACTGACTATTGCACAAACTCAACCATAATATATATATATATATATAATTGGATTTCTTTGCAGATATTAATTATATTACTTCAAGTTCTGTAAACTTATATTTAATTTATTTGCTTATTTATTTGTGTGTTTTCTTTTACACAGCCATTTTCACTCAGCTATAAATACATAGAGGGGTGTCGAATCTAAGCTTTGTTGAAGATCAGAGTAAGCACATTAAATGGTGGAGAGTATTCAGTTGAAGTTTATCATTGTATCTTCTTTGATAAGTATGAGACAATGGAAAAAATAGGTGCAAAAGACATTGATACAATGTTGCTATTATAATGATTACTTGGTTTTTTTGTTTTTTTTTTTTTTTGTATCACAATGGGAAAATCCATTGAAAAATTAGGGATGGAAGATACTGTTCTGTACTCACATTTAATTGAAATTGGATTCAATAATTCGAGTATTGAAATATGATGAATTGTGTAGTTATATCTAGTCAAATCTAGTGTGTCTTTATACCTAACCCAAATCTAAATTTGACATATCAATAATATTAAAAAAAAAAAAAAAAATCTCTATTATTGTAATTATTAAAAATCATTTTTTGTTAAATTTACTTTATTTACATATAATGGTTTTATTATATTGCCCCACCAAGATTATATAAATATTTTATTCGACTATCAACTTATGCAATAATAAAACACTTATCCACTTGAGAATATAACAACACATCGTTACCAAACACAAGCAAGCAGTAACTATGCCTAGAATATAATAAATTAAATTAAATTAAATCCTAGGATAGCATTTAAGAACACAAAAATAAAGTTAAGTTTATTCACTTTGAAAAGAATTCTGCCAAGTAGTCTCCATGTACCACCCCCCCATAGTAAGGAAGATGAACTACTAGAATTTATATGCAGTCAGTGTCTACATATAGTACCCATTTGATTGCACTTGGCTCCAAAGCAACATTCATTGTTTCCAAAATTTATTCGGAACATAAGTTTAATCAGCACGAATAACATCCATCATAAAAGACCAATAACAGTAGAGGCGGAAATTCAAGTGAACCATTGCAGAGCAGTTTACCAAATTAGGAACTCATCATAGGACCCGAGTTCCTCCTGCATTCAGCTAACATGTCCATGTAGAACTGGCACTTGCTGATGTCGCTCCCAAAGTTGTTGACACACTGCAAGAAAATCATTATTCAAGTTATCAACACAAGCAATAAGATAATTCATTCATCGTTAGCAACAGGCTGCAGATTTTAGTAAATGCTGTCGTGTATCGTTATATTACGAAAAGCCTTGCGCATTAAGATTTCTTTCCCTTTTTTTCTAAAAAATGATGGATAATGTACTTACATCCTGGAAGGCCTTAGAGTGCACATTGCAAGCATCAGATCCACCCATGCTCGTTGCAGCAGCTGCAGGGGTTGCAGCAGCTTCAGATACGACAGTTTCATGCTGAATTGTCCTAGGGCCCATAACAGCATCCACAGCCCGGTGAGCAACAGCACTGCCAGTTCCAAATGCCATTCCTACAGAAAAACACAGGAAATGAGAAAATTCCACAAGAACAAAAATAAGATTTATTTAGATTTCCAAATAATATAAGCGTGTCACAATGTTTTGAAGAACATATACCTTGGGCTATGGTTGAACCAATGCCGCTAAGCATGGACCCGCCAGAGCTACCTTGAACATGAGCTGGTGGAGGAGAATTATGCACTGCATATAAGACAGAACGACATATGAGCTAGGAAGCAGCATGAGTTAGCTTGGTATCAACATCAAACTAAAATAGGATAAAGAAAATCTAGCAGATCGCAATGAGAAATAACATAAGTATGCAGTTGGTATTATGTATTTTATATTATGAAATGTTTAGGATTATAATACAAAAACAGATATACAGTTGGCACCTGTTTGAGGAGGCGGGCTTCGTGCAGCAGGACGGGGAGCAGGGCGGGCAGATCTACCTGTACATTCAATTTTTCAAGCACTGAGAGTGATTCCTAAAAATTCTTAACAACATCATGATAGCCTTTGAAATGAAAATGCCTTGTATGGATGGTACTTACATAAGATTCATTCAACATGGAAACCAAAATGTGCCAAAAAATTCAAAATAAGCACAATTTGGCAAGAGAACAGTAGTATGGCATGAGTACATGTTATAAAATAACAATCCACAGAGAAAAGATAAAATCTAAAGTGTCTTGGAAAAACAACCGAAACATCTAATTATCTTAATAGATGGAGGCCACAGAATAACATGATAAAACCAGGAGGGAGCAGCTTAGGAAATGATTAAAGTCGTTTAGGCTGGGTAAAATAAGTTTCTTCAATTGTAATTGTTTCGTGTAACCAATAAGTACATAAAGTGCAAAACTATGGGTAAAACAAGGGCTCTCACTATTATCAAAATTCCCAGATCGATGCGAAATGAAATATTCCCGTCAAAAAGATACATTTCTACCACCTATATCAACGCAAATCAATGACTAATACAAAGCAGATGCTAATCAAACAGTCAAAACCACGTTATTGGCATTGCTCCTCCTTATGATCCAGAAACATTTCCAGGAAAACACTAACAAAACCACAATAAACAAACAAACAGAAAAAAAACATCAACACATATCCAAACAACTCCTTGACCCTTCGAAACGTGTTGCCCAAGCAAAACAAAATTCCGACGGTCTTCCCGAGTCGAATACAGAAATAGCATACAATAAACTAGCAACGATGAGAATAGTTCGTCAATAACAACAGATATTACAAGTATATCGCATAAACCGATCGAATCTAATAAAAAACGATGCTCGGATAGGTTTGCCACAAATAATCCCCACAAGCAACAAACGAAAATTGAGAATCGATTAAGAGTAACAAGAAATCTAACCACCAGAGCTGCGGCGAGGCATGGCGGCTGTTCGAGTGGAGAGATAACGATGAGATCCTTTGGCTATTGCGAATAGGAGACAGCACCGAGGGTATGAGAAGCGGCTATGGCCAGAAACCCTGGATCTACATACATATATATAGGAGCTGAATGTAACTTGGGCAGCAATCCGGTGTGCTCAGGTTCAGGAAATATTCAACATCTAGCCAAAAACGTGTTGCACCGTATACCTCATTTATTTATTTATTATTATTATTATTATTATTTTTCATATACATTTTGAAAACTATCTGGGCTTTGTTAAAATATGGATCTAAAAGATCTGATCCATATTAGAGTGGATAAGTTTGTAGTGAACATGTTAGCTCATAACCCAAATAAATATAATAATAATTATTTATTTATATTATAATTGTAATATATTTTTAATAATTGTTTGTTTAAAAAATTTATTTATTTTTATGCAGTCATTTTGATTTATCTGAAATTAATTTATTTTTTTAATAATTGTGTTCATTATATAATTTCAATTTTTTTTCTAATTTAAATATATTATTTTTATTTATTTTAAATTGAAATTATTACACTACTTTGCACTCTCTTTTTTTTCTTTCTCAATTTTCTCTTTCCCTTCATTTTTTTCCCCTTTCCATAGAGCAGGGTGAAAAAGAAGTAAAGGAAAAACCAAAAAGATAGAAGCAAAAAAAAAACAAATTAAGGAAAAGAAAAAATTGAGGAAGAAATAATAAAAAGAAAATGAGTGCAAAGCAGTGTAATAATTTTAGTTTAAAGTAAATAAAAATAATATATTTAATATTTTAAGTATAAAAAAACAAGTAATTGTATAGAAAAGAAATTGACATGGTAGTATGAGGTGAACTTTTATTTATGGGTTCTAATATATTAATATTTTTGAAAAAATATAAAAAAAGAATAATAATAATAATGATATTTTAAGATCCTAAACGAGTTTAAATGGGATAAAAACATCGGATAGTCGGATGAGTCATGAATTTCATCCAATTCCAAATTAAGATACAAAAATACGAAAAAGTCTACGTCATATTCGAAGCATGGCTGAACATAGGAACAAAAAAATTGCGTCCTCTTTATACAACACACTTTTACTTATTTGGTACTATTCATTTTTCAAAAAATATCACATTAAATACATTTTTTCTCTCATAAAACATCAAATCAAATACTAACTTTTTATTTTTCCTAAACTTCTAAATTTTCAAAAACCTCCACAATAAAAAAAAAAAAAAAAAAAAAAAAAAAAAAAAAAAAAAAAACCCCTTATCTAAACAAACTTGGACTTGAAGTATAACAAAAGAAGATACATTCTGAGCAGTCACACAGACAACCTTATTCAAGAGGAGGATAGTCTTCTTACACTTGCACACTCTACACTAAATCTTCTAAACATATGATATGAATGATGTCTCATCTTCTCTTAAAAGGAAATTACCAAACATAAAACTGTACACAAAATGCAATTGTTAGATAGCTAGATCCAAAAAATTTGAGTAGTTTGCGATCGCGGCTTCGAGTGGCTGCTGATGCCGATGGCCGAGATCATGAGGTGCTCTAGATTCCGGCACTCTTTTTCTTCGACCCAAATCTGATATACCGTCATGTGGAATGCATCGTACATCCTCGGAGCTCGATTCCATCTGAAATGTCTTCTTACCTTCACCCAATCCATCATATCAAGTCATATTAATAAGGGTCTCATTTACTTTTTACGTATTTGATCTTTGAATCTTAATTATTATATCAAAACGTAGTACAAATTTAAAAAGAAAATTCAAAAAGTACAATGGCGCAAAAAGTAGATGTGATCCTTAAAGCAAGTATAATGTAATGTAATAATCATCTGTTGTCCAAAATTACGACGAGGATTAATCGATCAATCATGCATACCTTGATCAGATTCTTCTGTAGGCTCTGAACCTTTGCAATGTCTTTACTCTCTAGAATTCTCTTGAGTTCATAAACATCCTTCTCCTCCAAAAGAATCGAAAACCTGTGCCAATTAAGGACTTTGTCTAACGGCAAAGCATACTCATCGCCCAAGATTACTGTCGAAACAAAAAAAAAAAAGCATAGGATTAGTACCTCCACATTATTTAGATAGAATTAACATCGTTTTGTCTGAAATCGATTACCCGGCACGCATCCGTAATGAATAGCTTCAGCAATGCACTTGGCGCCGGCGTCGGGACAAATGCAGAACAGGGCAGCCACGAGCTTCTCTGCTCTGCTTTCGTCGTAATAATTCTCTGTGCAGTTGACGTAAAGCTTTTCGTCGTCGTCCCACAGCATGACGAGCATTTTGCTTACATACGTCTCGCAAACGCCTTCCCAATAACCGAGCGTTGTCCTGAACAGTTGCAGCAATTCAATTCGTGGATTAATTCAATTCTTGCAGATATGCTAATGGACATGATCTTATCAAAAATATCATACCTTGTGGTGTTTTCAGGCTGATCGGATAGCGGTGAGATCACTGCCGGAAGTGGGATGTCGATATACGACGCGAGCTTGTGTTTGCTCCCCTGTAAACAGACTAATCGAACAGAGTTCTGAGGCTGCACTGCGAGTTCTTCGATGGCTTTTGCAGCGAATTCGTCGCAAATGACGAAGGGGGTCTCGACGGATGTGGTGTTTGTTTTTTCGAATAGTCCGTATCTGGCGAATGATGGCGAGTTCTGGAATGTATCGAAGGTAAGGAATGAATATTCCTGGATTGGATCGGAGATTGGTTCCTGGATTGGATTGAATCGACTTGACTAAAAAAGAAAGATCAAACTCATAGAATTCAAAGTTTCAAATCCTAAAGAGATGTGTAAAACCTTTGGATCCATCTTCTTGCAAGTATAGGGAATGTAGAACACACGCGGTTTCGTGTTATCCTTTTTGTTGGAGATCTTCATGCTCTCATCGATTAGGTGCTTCGGGGAATTGGCGAAACAGAGCCGAATCTGTGTTAATTTGTCGATAGGATCATCAGATGGAAGAACAATATATACAATTAGCTAATTAATTGAATAACACACCATATGATGGCAAGGCATGGGAGTGAAGAACACGCGGGCTCTCCGGGGATTTCTGGTGAGGAACGAACTTTCTCGAATGTTCTTGATGAAATGGCTCTCGCTTGAGTGTACTCCGAAGAACGTACTGTTGTGTGTGTTGCTCTTGTCTCGATCAACGTGGACGTGGATTTTGAAGAAGGCGAGCATTTCTTGATAGTCACTCTCGAAATCCTTGGCGGAATGGTAGACGTATCCTTTAATTTCAGGAACCTGGAGAAAATCGATAGATGGAAAATTGATTGATGTTGCAGAGTTAATGAGAGTTGATTGATACATTGAAGAATGGATGCATATATACCTCGGCATTATAATATGGAGAGTCGTCAATGAAGGAATTGAAATATTGCAGTGTGGAGAACCCTACCGACCAGATCACGTAAAGCTTTAAAAGAAACGAAGCAAGATCGGAGCAAATTCTCATGATCTTTAATCTTGATTTGGATTTGAGGAAATTGATCTGCTTTCTTTCTTGCTTGCAGTTGCAGAGAGAGAGAGAGGAAGTGGAAATGGGGTTTCTAATTGGGAATTTAGGGTTTTGATATTGATGAAGAAGAAGAAGAAGAAGAGGGAGGAGGAGCATATGGTGACTGAAGTGGCGGGCGGGGAAAGAAGGAAAGAAAGAAAGAAAGAAAGATATTAGATATAGCAGCAGCGGCTTTTTGGAAGTTAGTTGATGAGTTCATTTTTGAAGTTGGTCCAAGAGCACATTCCAAGACTAAAATTAATAATAATGGGATGGTTACCGCGATGATCATGCTGATTTTTAACATTTATACATAGAAAAAGTACACATTAGTATTACTATTACACTGTATAATAAATGTATATGCTCTGTTTTCTTAATAATAATAAATATATTATGTGTTAAAAATAGTAATGTGTATTGTACGAGATGTGTTGTATTTGTATTATATTGACATATATATACTGTTTGTTGTCCTTAATGATATTGTATATTTGTATTATATTTTGTAGTAATATTATATGTTGTCTAATAGCACACATGCAACCAATAATAATAATAATAATAATAATAAATTGAAAAATTACATCTATCGCCTTGCATAATACACAAAGCCATTCGCTATGGTGTATATATATATATACATATATATTACCATGCAATTGCTATAATCCATAACAAAAATATACTTAGGGTGTGTTTGTTTGGGGATTTTTTCCAAATACACTATTCATCCAATTTTTTTCTTCAAAAACATCAAATCAAATACTTATTTTTTATTTTTTATATTATACTAAAAAATAAATTTTATATTCAAAATATCACATCAACACCTATTTATATCACATCATACAACTATTCAAATTCAAATTTTTTACTATTCAAATCTCAACTCAAAATCTAAACCCCAAACAAACACATTTTGTGATTTTTTAAAGATTTTTCACCATCTAATTAATTTTTTCTACTTAGAAGCCAAGCCCAATTTTTTTCCTTGTTTTTTTTTTGGAAGTATCTTAATTCTTACTTTATTTTATCTTTCATTTCACCATTTCAATTTACAATTTTATATAAATTTTTTTTTATTATAAATATATTATATAAAAAACAATTTTTTATCCTAAAAATTACTACAGTTGTCTTATATTTCTTTCTCTTTTTTTTTTTTTTCCTTATTTGTTAATTTTTTATTTTTTTTTTCATAATACCCACTATAATCTTAAGGGGAATAACTCAATAAAGAAAATAAGGTGACTCAAAATCCGTAGAAGTGAACCGACAAGTTTGGTTCCTACAATTTTTTTTCATACACACACAAAAGTCAAACTGCTTGATTAAATAAAAAACTAATGATTTGAAATATGTTAAAAAATTCAAATAGAATAGTAAAAAACAAATAAAATAAAATCGATAGAACAATTTTGCTCCCCCAAGGAAATCACTGGATTGATGGATCGACAATTAATTGATAGAACTAAGATGACATTATATTGATATGTAAGGTGGAGAGTTATTGATCAAGTATGTGTAATATAGTAGTGTAGATTAAATATAAAGATTTCAAAAGAATGGAAACAAGATTGGATCATATATCAAATCACACCATTTCTAGCAATTTACATGGGATCATATATCAAATCATATAATTCTTGGATAAGATCAGATCATATCTATGTAATGTAATGTAATAACTATCTGCTGTCCAAAATTACTACAAGGATTGATCGATCCATATATCGATCATGCTCACCTTGGCAACATCTTTACTCTCTAGAATTCTCTTGAGTTCATAAACATCCTTCTCCTCCAGAACAATCGAAAACTCGTGCCAATTAAGGACTTTGTCCAACGACGAATCATACTCATAGGATGGAGTCACGATCACCATATCTATAAATGGGACAAACCCGTATTTGTTCACCGAGCTCCGAGGCATGGCGAATCATCATCAAAGGATTTTCGAGGGATGTGGTGTTGTTCATCTTGTCAAATACTCCATATCTGGATAATGATGGAGATTTCTGGATTGGATCCAAGATTGATTCCTGGATTGAATCACTTAATTGATTAAGAAACATCAAACTCACAGAATCCCAAACCTTAATTAAATCCTGAAGATATGTGTAAGAGCTATGTAGTGAGATTCAATACTAAACTTCTATAATAGAGACACACAGTTGGGTATTTTTTTATTCATGTAAAAAAAAAAAAAAAAAAAAGTGAAAAAAGAACCTTTGGAACCATCATCATCTTCTTGCAAGTATAGGGAATGTAAGACACACGCGCTCCCTTCGCATTATCCTTCTTGATGGTTAGGAACTTTGGGGAATTGGCAAAACACAGCTGAATCTGTTAACACTAATCACTCGACAAGGACATGCATCAGTTAATTTGTCGATAGGATCATCGGATATATACCATATGATTTTTGGTGAGGAACGTGGTTTCTTGAATGTTGTTGTTGATGAAATTTGAGTATCCTCCGAAGAAAAACGTACTGTTGTCTCGATCAACATGGACTTGGCAGATTTTGAAGATTTTTTTCGATAGTCAATCTCGAAATCCTTGGCCGAGTGATAGACGACATATCTTTCTTTAATATCAGGAACCTGAAGAAATTAAATCGAAAATTAATTAATGTTGCAGAGTTAAAAATAAGAATTGAATTAAGAAGATATAATTATATATTGATGAAGCATATATATACATATATACATCGATGATGAAGGATGTGTAATATAGCAGTGCGCAGAGCCATGAGGAGATGAAGTAAAGACTGCAAAGAAGGCAACCAAGACAGGAACAATTAGTTCTCATCGCTAATCTTGATCGATTATGTGATTTGATTTGAGGAAGAAAATGAAATTAATCAAGTTGGTAGGTAGATTTGATCTGCTTTCTTGCTTGCAGTTGCAGAGAGAGGAAATGAAACTGGGGTTTCTAATTAGGGTTTTGATCATATTGATGAAGAAGAACGTACAAGCGGGGGGAGAAGGGAGTATATATATATATATATATATATATAGCAGCAGCCTCTTGGAAGTTTGTTGATCATGAGTTCATTCTTGACAAAATTATAGACATTATTTTAAAATTAGATAAATACTTATAATCAAATATAACTTTAATTTTCAAAACTACAAGTATCAAAATATTATAATTCCTCAAACTGGAAAAATATTTATTCCATATTTAAATAACAAATAACGGAAAAGAAAGATAAAATCATAGTATGCAGTGAAGGGGAATGGATAACTCGAAAGCCTTTGGATCATATGCTGAAGTGTATTTTTAATTCAACATATGCATACTCAATCTCAACCATTAATTAATAAAGGGTAATTAAGTCAATTTAAACATAATCTTAAAATTAAATTTTGAGATTCATTTTCAGCATACTGAATTTATAACATTCAGCATAGGATCTGCATTGAACTCGAGTGCGGTAATTGTTCATATTAAATGCAATATTTAGTTAATTTTGATAATATTTTATCTCATTTTTGTGTGTATTGATTATTTTCAATATGCAAAAGACAAATAACAAATTTGGTGAAATAGGAAGAAAAAAATCAAGATTGGACTAACTCCATCATTAATTAAAAGTCCAAAAATCTAATTATTAAAATAATATGACAAAAATAAAAATAAAATGAATATCATACTTTTTGAAACGGAGAAAACGGCCAGAAACCCGACAAGCGTAAGCAAGAGATCAAGTTGTAATAGGTGGACTTATGATCATAAGCACGGGTGGATTAGCTCCCAATTATTAGTACTCCCTTCGTCCCATAACAAAGTATCCATTTTGCCATTTTAGTCCGTTCCATAACAAAGTATCTATTTCATTTTTTAGTAACGGTACTATCTATCTAATATTACAAATACCCTTACAACTTACGATATATTACACAGATGTCATTACTTTTATATCACACATAATGGTTATTTTAGTCATTTCTACCTTATTCCTGCTAGATCCCAATATAATACTAATATTTCTAAAACTACGTACAAAAAGCAAATAGATACTTCTTTATGGGACGGAGGGAGTATTTTTTGTGTGTAAAATATAAGGGTTTGTTCTTTCTTAAAAAAATAATAATAATACATTACATACATTCATTATTTTTATATTTTTTACACAATTTTTTATATTTTATATAATTTTTTTTTTCAAAAATCTCACAAAACAAACACACCATTTAACTTTTAACATAATTATACTAATTTCCCCCTTATAAATTTTATAAGAAAAATAAAAAAAGTCAGCGCTCTGTCCCGATTCCACCACTGATCATAAGATTACTTATTCAAAATTTATTATACTTTTGTTACCGTGTTACCATGTTTGTGTTTGTCGTTCAAAGGATTTATCAAATGTATGCTCGGAGGAAAAAAAATTGCAAACTCCCAAATTATTAATATATATATATATTGAAAAAAATAATCTATGACAAATTATAGACTAAAGAAAAATAGGGTGCAACTTTTCAAATTTTTCTATTTGAACTTTTTATATATATATATTTTTAAAAAAATTAATAAAAATATCTTATCAAATATTATTTTAATATAATATTTAAACTAAATTTTCTTATATCAGACCCAAAAAAGCATACTGGCAATCATTTGATATTAAAAAAATCTCTCATAAAATATCTCATCAAAATTGATGTTTTACTATATTTTTATTTTATAGAACTACTTTTAATTATTATTTTTTTAATAAAACAAAAAATGAGAAAAATAGGTTCATGGGAACTACAAATTATGCATAAGAAAGTTAAATAAATCAAATACAATTTTTATCAAATCATTTGTATAGAATGTTTTATAATAACAAACATATAATTGATCATTATGAAAGTTGTATTTACATAATTAGTTATATAATAATATTTGCAGTATATCTTATTTGCAGTATATCTTTGGTAATTTGTGCGAATTGGATCAAATTACTCTACGCTATTTGGTTCTATCAACACTGAAGTTAATAGATCATTTTATTAAATTTTTTTAACAAAATACCGAAAATGAGATGAGAAGTAAAATACCACACATATATATATATATATACACACTCTAATATAATTTGTAATTATAAGCCTATAATTAATACAAATAATTGAACATTAATTAATACAAAATATTCATCAACCTAAAAATGTAAAGATATGAATGTCGCACAAAACTGAAATTTTATGTTTATATACTTCTATGATGATCGGATTTTACTTTTTATTTTTATTTTTTGTTTGTTTTCATTCATAGAGTAGAATTTAAATTTTTAAACTTTTTATATTTTTTTCTTCTCCACTTAAGAGTTTATTTTAAGTTTTTATTTATAAAGTTGAAAGTAGGTGGATAATTGTATTTATTTATAACCATTTAAATAGTTATAACAAACAATATATTTTTCATATTAATAGTTTTAAATATAAAATAAAAATATAAAAAAATGTATTTACATTTGTTTATAAATTTTTATTTATAAATTTATAATATATATTTGTTAGTTTGTGATAATTTTATTTTGCCTTTTTTAAAATATATTATACCTAAATACTTGAATTTTATAGTCTTAATTTATTAGCATACATTTATAGATAAAATCATGGATTATTTGATTTGAAATCAACTATTTAACTTGCTTTTTAAGAAATATTTAGAATATTTTTATAATACATAGAACTTACATATTAATTTTATTTAGAATTATGATTATTCTCTCTATTATTCTATGCATTTATATCTACTTATTATTTATTTATTGAAATTTATTTAAAATAGGAATATTTTTTATTTTTAATATATGTTTAAATAACAATAATTTGGGTTTCTTGTTAGTGTAGATGACTTGTAATTTTTGTTCGTCTCTTATCAACTATTATGAATCATCGATTTATTTGAAATGGTTTGATAGGATTTATATCGAAAAAATTGAATCATATCGTTCTGTAGCAATTTTTTCGGTATATTAAAAGCATACCAAAAGCGATTTGTGAATGAATATGTTGTGGCATGCGGCATATTGAAATTGTATTTGAGATATTGGATACTAGCATTATATCTAAAAAAAATTATTTATTTTAATAATTAAATTATTTAACTAAATATTATTGATACAATATTATATTCTTTTCGTTCCCTATAAAATATATATTTAATAAATAATAAAATTTTAAATAAAGTGAGTAGTTAAAGTAGTGATAAGATAATTTTATTTTGATTTTTTTAAAAAAAATTTAAAAAATAATCATGTGATAATAAAGTATGAATATTTATACTCTTTCTGTCCGCCTCTGATATCCTTATATTAGTATCATAACACACTATATTTCGATTTAATAATTAATATTAAAGATCAACAAAAAAGTAAATAAGAGTTTTAGAACCGGACGAAAGAGTATAAAATAATGAGATAATAATTACTAAAAAAAAATATACTCCTTCTGTCCCACATAATTTTTTCCTATTTTTTATTTTTGTCATTCCAGCATAACTTAAATTTAAATTTTACAAATTTTTTTATTTTAATTAAATTATTTACTTATCTTAATTTTAATTTATAATTATTTTTATTAAATAATAATTATTTTTACTAATACACTTTTTAATTACTTACTAATTATATTTAACCTAAATTTCAATATCTACATTAATAGACCCAAAATATATGGGCAGGAGGGAAGGAAATGAACAAAAAATAAAGTGGAAGGAGTACAAACGAAATAGTGAAAGTTAAGATATGCTATCCGGACTAATATTAGACGGATTTGGATCCGGGTCCGGGTCCGAACCGAACCGAACCGGGCCCAAATCCATACGAAACCGGTCAATTTACAGGCCAAGTTGAGGGCCTGCAAATAAAGCGTAAAGGTCGTCGTGTTGGACTGCCGAAAAAAAATTTAACAGAAAAAATTTATAGTGTGGGATCACATATAATGCTCTCCTTCATTGAATTGAATTGAATCCGTTCTTCCACAGCACAGTGCTGCAGTTCATGCGCGCACAGCCACAGCTGTCTTCATTCTTCAACCATCCAATCACTTATCCGACTATTTTGCTCGGCAGATCCCTAATTTCAATCCCTAATCAAGTCAAATTTTACCAAGTGTTTCGGTTGATTAATATTCAATCAAAATTGCATACATGGCGGAGGAGCAAACGGCGGCGGAGGGCAGTGGTACGGCGGCCACACCCTTGGGGCTCTCGGTAATACCCATAGTGAACAAATTGCAGGATATATTTGCTCAGCTTGGAAGTCAATCCACGATCGAGTTGCCGCAGGTTGCCGTTATCGGCAGCCAGAGCAGCGGTAAATCAAGTGTGCTGGAGGCGCTTGTGGGCCGTGATTTCTTGCCGCGTGGTAATGATATCTGCACGCGCCGCCCATTGGTGCTGCAACTCGTGCAGATGAAGCGGAAGGGTGATGGGACTGACGAAGAATGGGGGGAGTTCTTGCATTTGCCCGGGAAGAAGTTCTTTGATTTTAATGCTATCCGAAGGGAGATTCAGGTTGGTTTTAAGATTTTATTATGTTGGAACTGGAATTTATTTGAAAACTTGATTTGAACTTTCTTCAAGTAATCAAATCGTATATGTTGTCATGTATTCCGTAATTCTGAAAGTAAATTATATTGAACTTTTGGTGACTAAAAAGCCCCCGATATTTAAGAGTGGAATTGAACAAGATCTTTGTCTTCTTGTGTCTTCAAAAAGCATAGAGATTTTAGATCTTATTGTGTTCTCACTTGATTTCTGGATATTTGTATGTATGTATGTATGTATGTATATATAGATTTTCAATCCCTCTATTCCTAAAATGACTAATGTTTTAGGCTTTGGTAAGGAATTAAAGTTTTATGAAATTTTGGCAAAAACTTATTGAATTACACATGTAAAACATTAGGTGCAGAACTGCAGATGAGAAAAGGGTAAATAGGGATTACAGTACGAAAAAAGTTGTATTGAGGAAAATACATTTTTGTAGAAATCGAGGGTATACTTTCATAATCCATGAATATTGCCCTATCAACGTGGAGCTAGAGGAAACACATTGTTCTCTGTTTGACTGTAACCTCCCTAGTCTCTATTTCCTCATGCACCTCCTAAATCGTGTTGTGGTAAATATATAAAAAATTTTCTTTCAAAAAAGGAAAATAAAAAATATTCTGAAACAATTTCAGAAATGTTTTGTTGGTTAACTACTTTGCAGTATATTTCCAATGACAGATAAAAGCTTAATGGACTTTAGGATGTTTGTCCTTCTTTGAGAGATATTATCAGTATTTTAGTGCATACCTGTTATATTAGATTTCATCTTTTTATATGGGAATGTTGTAGATTGCACTATCAATGACATATTATAATGCTTTGTTTTCTCCCTGTTTGCTTATGAAATGGATTTTTATCAAACGCCTGGCCTGTTAAGTTGATGGCAATTAACTGGCTTAGTCGTATTAGCAGGGTTCATACTGCTAACACACTTCAGCACATCCTATCTGACTAATGCAATGCTTTGCAACATAATTTATTGTTATTAATTGTGGAGGGAGGGAGCATTCTCTTCTAAGCACATCTTTTAATGTATTTTTCCATCTATTATGCTTAAGATTTTCCTTTGACAGTTTAGGAGTCACCTTTGGTCTTTCAATGTTGGTATTCAGTCTGTGGCTAAACTTCTTACTTTGTGACATAGGAGATATTCTGACGTAGATAATCATTGCTAGAAAGAGAGCCATTATCTAATCACATTTTACACCAGGATAGATCTAATTAACACCGTCTCTTTTTATGGTATTTGTTGCAATTTATTATACATATTTACTTCTTTTTTTTGGACGTTTTATTGTAGCTTTGTATACTAGATGTTCTGGGTTTTATGTAGGCTGAAACGGAGAGAGAAGCAGGGGGTAACAAAGGTGTTTCAGACAAACAGATACGTTTAAAAGTTTTCTCCCCAAATGTTCTTGACATTGCTCTTGTGGATCTGCCTGGTCTGACAAAAGTTCCTGTTGGTGATCAGCCATCTGATATTGAAGCTCGCATTAGAACAATGATAATGTCATACATCAAACTTCCAAGTTGTCTGATACTGGCTGTTACACCAGCGAATTCTGACCTGGCTAATTCAGATGCTCTTCAGATGGCTGGAATTGTTGATCCTGATGGTTGGTTTTTTTTTTTCAATCATTATCTAAGATGCTTAAGGAATCTGAACGCAAGCCCTAGATGGGTAAATGATCAAAATGTCACCCTTTAACCAGTCGAAATTCTGTTTACTTATGTTTTTTATGTCATTTTTACACTATTCATTGAGAAACTTCTCTAAAAAGCATAATACCTATTCTTTTCTTAAGAAAAATATTACATCGAAAACTATTTCTCTATTCAAACATCACATAGCATCATACCCCTATTTACATCTATCCAACACTTAACTTTCATTCAAAATTTTACTATTCCAAAACAACTCAAAATACCAAAACACTTTCAAAATATATCTAAACACATTAGCTTTTGAAGACAAGGCTCATGTGAAATTTTCTACTTGCAGGTTATAGAACAATTGGTGTCATTACAAAGGTAAATGTATTTATTTATTTATTTTTGCACATTGGCTTTGTTTAGTTATATCTAGTATGAGCACCACCCTGTGCCCTCTTCAATATAAGATTTTTACACACTCATTGCTGCTCCAGTTAGATATAATGGATAGGGGTACTGATGCCCGAAACTTTTTGCTTGGAAAAGTGATTCCTCTTCGGCTTGGCTATGTTGGTGTTGTGAATCGAAGTCAGGAGGTAAAATCTTGTTTACATAAGAATTGTTTTATTATATTTAATCTGTCCCGTTTCATTTGGAGCAGGCTTTAATAGTAAATATGCATGCTTTTATTGACTATAATGTTAGTACCCTTGGTTGATCTTTCGGCAACACATTTGAACACTGTTTGTTCTGGTTCTTTCTTCTCCCAGCTTAGAAGTTCACATCTATGACACCCAAAAATTGGTATAATGCCTTAGATTGTGTTGTTTTTCTGTCCCTGAAAGTTTTGTTCTTCTAGCTTAACTTTTTATTACACTTAATGTTCAGAAGTTATTCTATTCTTTCGATATTCTTAACAAGTATTTTGTTTACTTCAGTCTTTTTTTTCCTTATGTTTCTGGAGTGAAATTGGAAAGCTGAGTAGTAAAAATTGGGAAAAGTTCCTCAAGAAAACAAACTAGCTGTAAATGGCAAGACCATAGCTGTAAATGGCCGTTTGGAGCGGAATTATAATTATAGATATGGAAAGATCATAGCTGTAAATGGCCATTTATGTGCTTTAGTATTATATATAATTAACATTGAAATCTATGTACAATCAATATATATTTGCATTGAAAATCCAGTAATGTCTCTCTCAAGAGTTCTTACAGATTAACATTGTAAATTGTTTTAGTTATTAGAATTTGGCAGTATATTACAGTTTCGACCTCAAATTTTTTACAATTGATGATGTTACTTAGTTGAGTACAAAAATAATAATAAAATTAAGAACAATACAAATATTAAAATACTATTTTAATAAAATAAATGCAACTAGACATTAAAAAACACGGTGTGTTTAGTCAGCCATTTTATTTTACTTTTTGCATTTGGGTTTGATTTTTTATTTTTTTAAAATTTGAATAGTGGTATGAATGAAGTGTTTTGCGAGAGAAGACAAGGTATTTTAATAGGGAACAGTGAGAGTTGAATAGAAAAAAAAGTCGAAAATAATATCCAAGCAAACAATGTATAAAATTCATTTACTAAAACTATAAAAGATTTATAGATTAAAATAGTTTTCGAAATATAGAAGGAAAGTATATGCACAATGGGTGAGATCGTAGGAGTGGAGGAGCATAGGGTTGGAGGCAAAAGTGGGAAGATGATTTAACGCAGAAAAGCCCATAAAAATAAAAAACTTAACTCAAGCTTTGGCATACTTCTCTGTGCCAGTGTAAAGGCAGTTGCCCACCAAAAGTGCAACTTGCCGACATAATGGTGCATTGTTGCGCATTATGTGCCATTTTTTTTAAGGAAATACAGTTTATATAAATATGAAAATAGGAGAATCATAGGAAGAAATTAGAGAGAGATACAAGTGAAATTAGGGAGATATGACAGTATGAAATCAAGATCCCAAAGTTTAGGCATGATCACTGCATCTCCAAAGTCTACACTGAACAATAGTGGGTGTTAGCATGGACAAGTTAAAACAACTCTTCTCCTAGGCTGAAATCACTCCATTTTATGGTTATGAATAATTTGGAGCATTGTAAATTAGTATAGGGGTGGAAATTTTGCGGAAAATGCAAAACACAACCTCTGATATCATTTTAGAAAGAAGTGTCGTGATTTTCATGCTGGATAGGGTTTGAAAAATGCTTCTCATTAAGTGTAACTACAATGACGGACAATTTGCCAATAACTAATAAGAAATGGACAATGTGCTTAGTGTGATTATATCCTTGATGTTATTAATCAACAGGATATTCTGATGAATCGAAGCATCAAAGATGCGCTTATAGCAGAAGAGAAGTTCTTTCGCAGTCGGCCAGTAAGATCTTGATATTTATCATTGCATATTCATTTGGATGTCTTTGCGTACAGGTAATTTAGTGGCTTACAAATCTTTGGTATAGGTGTACTCTGAAATTGCTGATCGATGTGGAGTCCCACAGTTGGCTAAGAAGTTGAATCAGGTAATTTTGTGAAACTGAGTCATGGTTTTGCTTATGTAGCTGTTGTTATGTAGCATCTTGATTGATATACAGTACTTTCTGCACCTGCATCTGCTTCTTCATGCTTGATGTCATCCATCTCAAGCTCTGTCCTTTGCTCGTTACTCCCTTTAATTGGTTTACTCATAGTGGGCTTATGTTACTGTTATTTTCTGGAATTTTGAAGTACGTACACTGCTATTTCTGTCCATTTCTGCTTGCTCAAAATCTGTATCATAGCTTCCTGCCACCTTGTTTATTTGACGCTGTTCCGCTTGTTAATTTATTTGTCACATAATCTACAATAATGCTTGTTACTTACTGCCTTGTTTATTTACACACCTGGTCCTTATTTTACTGATGCCTGAGGGCTCTGTGTATTGGTTTTCCAGATTGGCTTTTAGTTTAGTGTTTGGAAAAGCTTATAAGCCCATCAAATTTGTTTGGCATAATGAAGCAGGAAAAAGTTGTATGATGAAAAACTAATTAGTTTTGTAGTTTTTTTCTCTTTCTATGCTAAAACGCAAGCTTACATGCCAATACCATGACTTGGTGGAACCCCATCTTGATTTCACCTTGCATATGATAGCAGGCCCTGATAAGCATATACTAGGATATGCTTCAGTAATTGTAGATTTTGAGTTCTACATGTGATCTGAAAGTAGCATTTTTATTACAAATTGTCTGTGAAATATCTACTTCTTGTGCAGATTCTGATACAACATATTAAGACTGTTCTCCCAGGGCTGAAGTCTCACATTAGTAGTGCACTTGTTTCTGTTGCCAAGGAGCATGCAAGCTATGGGGAAAATAATGAATCAAGGGTAGATTCTTAGATATGTAATCTCACTAGCTGTTATCATTTATTGTCTATATGATTAATATTCTGATATCATTGTTATCCTGCTATCTTATATTGTAAGGTAACTATTGCATATGGAAACAGTTTCTAATGTTCTATAAATTTAGTTTTAGCTTTACCTAGCTAACCCATATTTGTATTTGTAGTTTTGTTCTTCTCTTAGCTAAATGAGTTCTTTACCTTTTTTTGATGCATAGGCTGGCCAAGGAGCACTACTACTAAACATTCTTTCAAGATACTCTGAAGGTAGGTGATCTCCTTTTTCTCTTTCTACTGTAATTTTGATGCTTTCTGAAGTCTCTAATGACTTAAACAGAGGTGTAGTGTCGTTGAGTACTCAGTGATTTTGTTCTGGTCTGTACAAGGTTCATTTTCATTTTTTGGTGGCTCTATCATGCTAGTACATAGTAATGGTAAATACCCCTTGTTTGTAGATATCATGCAGATACTTCACTGAAAGTTTGCTTGTTACTAATCTGGGATTCCTATTTCATCATTATTGATAAAATTGGGATTGTTTACTAGTAACCCAAATTTTCAGTTGGCATGACTATATTCTGTTGCAACATCACTCAGCGAGTGGAGTGTTAAAAAAATAATAAATGGATTTCTGACTAGTGTACTTCCTTCTTTGTTGGAAACAGCTTTTTCTTCAAAGATAGATGGGAAAAATGAAGAGATGTCAACAACGGAACTGTCGGGTGGAGCAAGAATTCATTACATTTTCCAAAATATATACGTAAAGAGCTTGGAGGTTTGTTCTGTTGATCTTAATATTCTGAACATAACTTGTAAGTACTGTTGGGAGATCATGAAATTATCTGGATCAGTTTAGACTTAATGTATCAGTCAACGCATTGGAAATTTTCTTGTGAAAAATTGTGGAATATGTTAACATGGATAAAAGAAGGGTTTTAAAGGTAAATCATATAAACTTCCGATGAAGTATTTTATCATGAGATTTTATTTTTTGTAGCAATAATCTTTAGTGGTCTGTGTACCTTTCTGGTCCTTTAGTACCAGACTACCAGTTTGTAGTGTGTAGTGGTAAAGGGTTTTCCAAAGCACGTATCTCCAGGTGTAAACAACTTGTATATGCTGCCCTGCATGTCCTTTCTACATCCCTTAATTATTTTTGCTAAATTTTGATCTACATATTTTGTTATAGTCAATTGATTGAAGTTCTGTAAGAAATAATTCTATTCTCTTCATGTAGGATGTGGATCCTTGTGAAGAAATTACTGACGATGACATCCGTACTTCCATTCAAAATGCAAAGGGCCCTAAGGCTGGACTTTTTGTTCCAGAAGTAGGCCTTAGCACCTGTGGTTTCTTGTTAATGATCTTTCCTTAAGTAAAGCTGTCATTCAATCTGCTTTTTGATAACTGGTACATGCTAAATAAACTAAACATGTAGGTTCCTTTTGAAGTTCTTGTTAGAAAACAAATAGCTCGTCTGTTGGATCCAAGTCTTCAGTGCGCTAGGTTTATCTATGATGAGCTCATCAAGGTACACATCCCTAGCAAATGATTGTATCTATCCTGGTTACTGGACTTGATTTAGTTCGTTCCTTCCTTGTAGATGAGCCATTGCTGCATGGTAAATGAGCTCCAGCGTTTTCCAGTTCTTCGAAAACGTATGGATGAGGTCATTGCCAATTTTTTACGAGAAGGCCTTGGGCCATCAGAATCAATCATAGGACATATTATTGAAATGGAGGTAATGTGATCATTTTGTTTATGTATATAATTCCCACTAATTCCCACTATGCAGTTTATGGAGAACCATCTTAACTAAACAATGTATTCAGAATGGATCTTGCATGTGAAACACGCCTGTTTAATGTCCTCATATTAAATTACTGCTGATTTGTCAGTGCTATATTTCTTTTTCTGAGACCGAAATTAGAGAACCCTTTGTATCTTGTGTCTTGACTATTTCCCTCTGTGCCCATCTCCAGAATTATTGTTACTTCAGAACATTGGTTATAGCATATTTATAATTTTATAGATCTGCTGTTTGTAGATGGACTACATAAACACTTCCCATCCCAACTTTATTGGTGGGAGTAAAGCTTTAGAGATGGCTTTACAACAGGTCAAGTCATCAAGAATATCTTCCGCCATGGCAAGGCAGATAGTAAGCACCATTCACTATAATTGATAGATGTATTTCAAACTGTTTATGAGAATCAGTGCTATAATCTACGCTCTGCTGGTCAATCAGGATTCAGGAGATTCAGAGAAAGCACCTAACTCAGAAAGAAATATAAAGAGCCGGGCCATAATTGCCCGCCCAATGAATGGAATTGTTCCAGAGCAAGTAAGGAATCTACTGGCTCATGCTTTTCTCCAATGGAGCTTTCTGTAACGTGCTATTCATATTGGCTAACTTGTTTACACTTTTTAATTGAAAAAAGGGTGTCCGAGTTGCTTCTGATGTTGAGACACCTGCCCCATCTTGTAAGTTTTGTCTGCTGTCTTCTCATCGAACGTAAACATAATTGTTTTGACTGACAACCTCTGCTCCCCAACCATGCAAGTGAATTGTTTTAAATTTTCATTTGGCAGAAGAGATTGCATGTTGTTTTCTTAAGTTTTAGGTGCATTAATTATTTGCTTTCCCACTTCCCACCCATTTTGAGTATAGTAATGATTTGGCAAATCTGAACATGTATACAATGAATAGAACAAAAACAGTGTGTGAGTGGACTACATGAATGGCAAGGAAAGTAGTTAGTTCAATGACCTTGATCATTCTGTAATCCATTGGACCAGGCCATCATAAATGAACTTCAACATCAGCATGCCATCAGGTAAACTATGAATATAGTTTTATAAGACTAGATTAAGATAGTGTGGAGGATGTCTCACATCTCACTGGACAAAGGTTGGTATGAATGGTCAGTATATACCAGAGGGGAATTTTATATTTGTAGTTCTCTATTTCATCAAATGTACTGTAGTCACTTACATATGGATCATAATCTTGCTTCCTCTACTAGGTTATCAAAATTGTAGAAAGTAATCCAACTCAGTTATACCTTCTAGCTGCTTATTCAATGCTGTATCCATGTAGATTATTGATTAGCGTAATTGTGTTTGTGAAGTCGTAATATTGCGGTCCTCAATGGCAGCGAGTAATACAGGTTCAAGTTGGGGAATATCTTCAATTTTTGGTGGACTTGACCGCCGGACCAAAAAAGAGAACCCCACAAGCAAACCATTTACTGATGCTCTTCAGAGTGTGGAACGTGGTGTTTCAATGATTCATTTGAGAGAAGTATGCTAAAACTGTCTATCCTACATATTCTTCCTACTTGATAAGTTTTAATCTTTCTTGTGCTACTAAAACTGTCTATCCTGCATATTCTTCCTACTTGATAAGTTTTAATCTTTCTTTGTGCTAATGCATTATTATTTTCTTTTTATGTTCTATTTTTGTATTTTACAAAGCCCCCGAGTGTTTTGAGACCCTCTGAAACCCATTCAGATCAAGAGGTTTTGGAGATCGCTGTAACAAAGCTGTTATTAAGGTCCTATTATGACATTGTGAGAAAGAATATTGAGGATTCTGTGCCAAAAGCTATTATGCATTTTCTGGTAAATTTTTTTATATTCTCCGGCAGCTTTTGATTACCATTTATCTTTTATGATTTCCCCCCTTTTTTTTTTCTTTGCTCATCTATATATTTTTCTTAATACTTTTTTTTATCTATTGTGAATTGTATCACTCTGTTTATAAACTTTATCAGGAAATGAATTAGATAGTATTTATATATATGCCATATTAAGCATGATTCATAACATGGAGAATTTACTGTTATTACTGAATAAATGAATACTGTTATACTATACCTGAATGCAATGCTAAAGTTTTAGTTTCCAACATATACACCTACTTGTATCATTAACTTCCATATTGGGAGTGATTATAATCAATTTTGGTCTAGCGTTTGCCCCTTAATATACCAAAGTACTCTGAGTTTTGTAACGGTTATACATTTCTCTCAGGTAAATCACACCAAGCGTGAGCTGCATAATGTTTTAATCAAAAAGCTTTACAGGTATATTCTATGCCACATGCCACCACTATTTAGACAGATCTAAGAGAATAAAGTTGATGATGCTTTATCTTTGTTGAAACTGTCTCATTTCACATTGAAGCTGTTGAAAAATGAAAAATCTAATTCAAATGAAATTTAAGTAACACAAAAGTAATACTACTGGGTTTTTCTTGTCCAATACAAGATTACGTTCCCTGTCCAATACAGATTGATTACTAATTTCAAAAATTATATTATACTGAAACTTTAAACCTAACACTTATGTATAGCTACCCTGGCCATATTTACTTTTTAGAAAGTAAAGAGTATTTTACGTATCATTTGGTCATTGACTTCTCCAAACACAGGCCATTGCCCATTAGGATAATCCCATGATGGGGCAGCTTAACTTAGTAGCAAAGAGAGTTTGTGATTGTTGTAGTTGATCATTTCCTAAGGAACTGCTTATTAGTGCCTTGTCACAGAGAATTACACTGTTTGTTTGGGGGTTTGGATTTTGAGTTGGGATTTGAATAGTAAAATTTTTGAATTTGAATAGTTGTATGATGTGATATAAATAGGTGTTAATGTGATGTTTTGAATGTAAAATTGATTTTTAGTATAATATAAAAAATGAAAAATAGGTGTTTGATTTGATGTTTTTGGGGGAAAAAAATGGGATGAATAGTGGAAATCTAATCCAATCCCCCAAACAAACACACCTAGGAAAAACACAGCTCACCATTATAGCCAGAGGGAGAAAGCTTCTCTACCCCTACCTCAACATTTAGCAAGGAATTTTGCTGTATCCCTGGTGCTCCTAGAAATTGGTTGGAAAGTGATGCAAGGGCATTTGGAAATGATATATGATGCTGTGCAACTTATTATTTTTGAAATTATGAGAAAACTTCACTACGCCCAGCTCAATTTTTATAAATATGATCTTTGTATGAAACTCCGGATGGAAAATGGTTATACCCACCTGAAATCACAAATATATTTTTGCTGTATCATTGGTGCTTCTAGAAATATGTTGGAAGTGATATGAGGGCATAAGGAAATGATGAGGTGCTACTTATTATTTTTGAAATGATTAGAAAGCTTCACTGTGCCTAGTTCACCGTTCATTAATAGGATCTTTGTATGAAACACTGAATGAAAAAATGGCTAAACCCACCTGAATTTAAAAAAAAAAAACAAATGCATGCTGCATCCCTGGTGGTTCTAGAAATATATTGGGAAGTGATACAAGGGCATCTGGAAATGATGAGGTGCAACTTATTATCTTTAAAATGGTTGTCCATTTTTTATAGTTGTCAATACGGTGCAAATACACTATGGCAGTGTTACGGAGATAGCCCAAATTTTATTTTCCCTAACAAAAGCATCGTAGATGCTTCAATGAGTACTCAAATGCACAATGTGTTTGTTCATTCTGTAACCTAAATTACTTTCCTTGTGCTTTATTGTTAATCTTCTTCATTTTTTCTGTTCTTTCCTTTTTGTCTCTGTTCCTATTCAAGTGCATAAAATTTTATGCTAGTGCTTTGCTATGTTTTGACAGAGACAACTTGTTCGAGGAGATGTTACGAGAGCCAGATGAAATTTCACTGAAAAGGAAGCGTACCCGCGAAAAACTCCGGGTTCTGCAGCTAGCTTGGCAGGTAAGTGCGCGTGTACTTCAGGAACCAATATTCTGCCCCAACGAATCTAAATTACTAACTCTATTTTCATTCTGCATTTTTTTATTTTTTGTTTATTATTTTTTTTATCAGACCCTTGAATATATAATCCTAGATAAGATACACTATTTCTTTCATATCTGTTTCTTAATTTCCTTGTGATCATTTCCATGTTATTACTTTACACTTACATTTCAATACTAGCTTGAGCTGGGAGGAGAGTTTCTGCTCAATTATGCTGAAAAACTTGTCTTTCTGTTATAAAAAATGCAGACGCTGGAGGAGCTTCCTCTCGAAGCTGAGAATATTGGGAGGGGTTACAGCATGAGCAGTGACGCCACAGGCCTGCCAAAGATCCACGGGCTCCCCATGTCATCTTTATACAGGGACAGTATGAGCAGCGATTCCCCTCAAATCCCAGGTTCATCGTCAGCCAAGTCTGGGAAACTGCAGTCTGAGATCCATTCAGATAATGGCCGTGGACATAATTCTTCACCAGGTCTTATATGAACTATATACATATCTAGATAGCTAGCTTAAGCTTCAGCCAGTTTAGCACACGTATACTGTTGGTTGCATCCGCGGTGTTGATTATTTGGTTCTAGAGGAGAAAGTGTATAATAGAATAGGTGGTTGGTCATTGCATTGCTTCCCTCATTTTTGGTGTGAATTTATTTGCTGCTACCTCTTTGAATATTGATTGTAACATTCTTTTCCTGGTTTACCGAGATCGACTGTATATAAAGAAAGATCTATGCATTCGTTTTTATCTAAAACTTACTTCACTTTCATGGTGAATATGTAATGAAAATAATAATTGTTTTCGTACTATATCTATGGAACAAATAAATTGGGAAATCTGGATGCCTTTGGTTGGTGTTTGTGTTTGTATTCTATGATATTCTGAGAGAAAGAATAATGTTTTTTATTTTTTTCTTTCGATCGGAAGAATAATGTATTTTTGTTATGTAATATAGTGAATACATGGTAAACAAAAATGGCTCTAAGAAGCAATGGTTAGTGGTTTGTTTGTGTTATTCAACAATTCATTCCCCTATGTGCTATTTGCTATTTCAACTCCTGCTGCCTTAGAAAATGATTTTTTTTTTTTTTTTTTTTATTATTACTCCCTTCGTGACTGGACACAGATTTTAAAAAAAATATGTAAAAATAAAAAATTTTATTATTATTATTTTTTAAAAAAATTGTATTTTTTTACTTAAAAAAAAAAAAATGACGGAGGGAGTATTATTTTTGAATGACGTGAAAATCTGGTCATATTAGTTAACCCAGGTCATGGCTTAGGTGGCTTATAAAATGATTTTTGATAAAATGATTTTTGATATTATAAATTATTGGTTACGTAGTAATTTATACTTTGTTTATAAATCCACTTATTATTTATAGCTATGTTTAATTTATATGATAGAGATATATTGAACCGTAGAATATTAATGATAGCTAGAGACTTGTTTTTTTAATATTTTAAATCAAAATTAGTGCTATTTATATGTACAATTATTAATAAAAATATATTACTGTTTTATCTCAAATTAAAGTATTATTTTTAAATTTTTTTTTTAATTTTAGTAATAGGACAAAAATGTAAAATTGTTGTGTTTATTTGAGAGGTTTTGATTTTAAATAGTAAAATTTTAAATTTAAATAGTTGTTTGATATGATATAATGTGAAAATTAGATTTTAGTGTAATAAAATAAATGAAAATTGCGTGTTTGGTTTGATATTTTTGGATAAAAAATAAAATTAGAAATATTAAAATCAGGATAAAAATTTTACAAGTAAACAGAACCAAAATTTTTACATACTTTTATTAACTAATAAAATAAAATACTATTATTTTTTAAAATGTCAATTATATAGGGAATTTTTTTAAAAAAATAAATATTGTATCAAAATTTTGAAAAAAATATATATATTATGATTATTAAATATATATTAATATATTTTTTTCAATTATTTTTAAAAATATTAAAAAATGATTATTTTTTTATATTATGAAATAATTTTGTAAAAAATATTTTTGTTGAATTATAAATATATATCAAATAATTTTAACAAATAAGTGAAAATAATAATAAATATGATATATAATATGAATATATTGAAAACGGTCATAAACATGACCTAGAACGTAGTTGTGTTGATAATAAGATCGTGAATATGTCTCGAATAAAAACATGGTTGTGTGTTCAGAACACGACTATAAACACGGTAAAGAACACGATCGTGTTCTTCAGTACAAGGTAATCAACACTGGTCGTGTTCAATCCGAGTCAATCATCATGTGTGGTCGTAACATAGCCATAACACATGCAGAAATTAGACCATATTTTTCAGTATAGAGTAATCAATACGGCATTGTTCTCAATTATCATGAGACTAAAATTAATAAATTTTTATTCGAGTGAGATCAAAATTGATTAAAAAAATTTTAATATAATCAAAAATTGGTAATTAAGATATTGAATACAACAAAAATGATTCTTGCACTCGTCATAAACATCGTATGGAGAGTATTTAAAACAAAAATAAAAAATAAAAATTCAGAAATAAATTAATAAATAATTTGTATAATAAAAAACTTTAATTATTTTGAAATTTTCTTTATTTTTTTTTTAAAATTACATTCTCCTATAAATATATAATCTTTCATTCCGCTATTCTATTTTAACCCATCAACTAAATTTATTCTATTATTAATTTTTATAAAAGTTAATAAATTAATATTCAATTATTAAAATTATTTACAATGAATATTACTATTTTTATTAGCTTTTCTATTTATTTTTTTTTAATTTTAATTAAATTTTAAAAAATACTACATCTTATATTTTACTTTAATCACTTGTCCATATAACATATTTAATTTTTAAAAATCTCCATATTAAACTCAAATATACTAATTTTACTAGACAAAGAAATATAATTTTTACAATATACAATATCAAAGTACTATTATTTAATTCAATTCATGAGAAAAAGGAGCACACAAAGCATAAAATTAAATGATAATATTTGATGCATTTACTTTGAGTTATTTGACAAATTGATATTAAGAGTTGAGAATTATAGTAACATAAAGAAGTAAATAATATTATATATTATTTATGTTATTAATATACATTTTCTTTGTCTAATATTAAAATATTTTAAATTTATGTCAATTATAAATATACAATTATATGCAATTATTTTATAAATAAAATAAATATATATTTATTCTCATTAATTAATAAAATATTAATATTATTTTTAAATTTATTATTTTTAATTTACTATGAAATTTTAAAAATATTTTAAAGTATGACAAAGAGAATATATTCGATCTCTTCATTCTATCTATCATGTCTACGTTGCTATTTTTTAAATTTATAATTTAAAATATTTTTAACTTATTTTAATATTATTTTATAATTATTTATATTATAAAATAATTATTTTTAATAATATATTTTTAATTATTTACTAATTATATAATTCTATCTAACATGCAATATGATAAGTAGAAGTGAGTAATAATTTTTAATAATATTTGTAGTGTCAATAAAATTTAAGGGTGTGTTTTTTGTTTTAATTTAAAAAATTTTTATTTAAATTTGATATTAAAATACTTTTGATGAGATATTTTTGTGAGAACTAAAAATATATATTTAAAAAAAATGTAGTAAAATTTAAAAAATTTATGTAAAAAAAAATAATAAAAATAATAGTGCATATAATTAAATGATAAAATAAATTTGAAGGAATAAATAAAGGAGGGTGAGGGAGGGTGTATAACGCAGAAGTTTGTTTGACGGCTCAGACTCAGACGAATCCTGAACCTGAAGCCTCCATGTACGGGCCACCACACGCCTCCGTCAATGACACCGCCGCCGCCGTACACCACCACCACCACCACCACCACCACCACCATGACGACGACGACGACAACGACGACGATGTTGTTGACTGCTCTAATGGGAAGGATCCTATCGCCAGCCCCCCTTCTCAGATCCGCTACGACCCCTCCAACACCGCCCACTCGCCCCACGCGCTTGCCATCGACACCGTAGGCCCTCCGCCTCTCTTCGGCTCCGATATTCCTCCCGCCGCGGCTCCAGCTTCCGGGGATGGTGGCGCCGACCAGCTTACGCTTTCGTTTCAGGGAGAGGTCTTCGTTTTCGATTCGGTTTCTCCTGAAAAGGTTGCCCTATAATTTTTTTCTTGTTACCACTTGCCCTAATCGCGCACTAATTCACTCAATTTCTTGTTTTTGAAAGTGAGATTGCGATTGAATCAATCGTTGCTGGTGATAATTTTGAAGCTATCATACTTAATTATTCGGATTGGGATTGAGAATTTGGAAACTCTTCCCTTAAAATTGTTGGCAAATATATGAATTCTTATCAATGCGTGTTCAAGAAACCTAAGGCCTTATTGCCTTCTGTAGTTGTCTTTTTTGCTAGGGTTTTTGGCTCACAGTCAATGTTTTCTATGCATATCACAGGTTCAGGCAGTTTTGTTATTATTGGGTGGGTATGAAGTGCCTACAGGTATTCCTACTGCAGGAATGGCTCAAAACCATAGGGTACGTATGCATAATCCTTTTTTGGTAACTTATATTACATTCATTCGTATTGTTGTGGTGGTTAATCGTTTTCTATGTTTTGCATTCGTTCATATAGAATTTGGGTGGTGATTACCCTGTGAGATCTAGTCAGTCGCAAAGGGCCGCCTCGTTGAATCGGTTTAGAGAGAAGCGGAAAGAACGGTGTTACGATAAAAAGATTCGATATACAGTTCGGAAGGAAGTTGCTCTCAGGTTGTTAAGAAACTACAAATACTGTAATTATGGCCATAGTTATAAGCACACACACACACACACATGTATATGTATATATATATATATATATATGCTCCCTTACCTTCAGATTTCAAGGTTAATTTTAAGCTTTACAGCTTTCTTTTATGATCATTCGTATTTGGGTTATTTGATTGTTCAGCAATCTTTTAACACTTTCTTTTCTTGCCTGTCACAAGAGTTCTGAGCCCTAGCCTCGGATGCTTGGGAAATTGTTTTGTGTTCATATGGTTTTATGGGTGGACAAAAGAATGGTCTGGTTGAGAATTATATATTGTCCTTTTATATTTTTCATGATCTTATTGGTTTTAAAGATAATATTGTTTATGTGGAGGGCTGTTAAAGGAAAAGTAGTGCGAGTTAGAGCATGCAATATTGTAAAGTATGAATTTTTCATGTGAGTTGTAGAATTTAGTTGAATGCAGTCACAAAGAGCATAACCAAATCTTAAATCCGCGTGGGTTCCACCCCTTAGATTTTCATCAGATAAGAAAATCGATATTAATTGAACAAAACAATTTCCAACTTTTGTGGTGGTGTGTAAATATATATGTGAAAGTTGGTACTGGGATGACGTATACTGATTTTCCGACAGTATTTTATGTCATCTTTGCCTTTTAGAATGTCAACTTTTCAAACAGAATTATCAATCAATTCTTTATTACGTGAACAATCAATCCGACAGGATGCAGCGCAAGAAAGGCCAGTTTACGTCATCCAAGTCAACATCTGAAGAACCAGGATCATCTGCTGCAGCTGATGGGAATGGAAGCTCTGGCCAAGAGGAGCAGGAGACCTTGTGAGTGCAACTTTTTAATCATATGGAGTTTCTTATTTCATAGCTGGTGGTCCTGAACCTCCCTCTTTATGCTTCTTGCTCTTTACTTTGCATTTTGCACAAGTGTATAATCTATTAAGGCTGCATGAGAATCATGGAGTTCTGTTTTCTTGTTTACTGCCTTTTTTACTTCACAAAGATAATTTCTCACATTTTGACTTTCAACAGATGTAGACATTGTGGGATTAGCTCCAAGTCCACTCCAATGATGCGGCGGGGACCAGATGGGCCAAGAACTCTGTGTAATGCATGTGGTCTCAAGTGGGCCAACAAGGTTTGTCAATTATTAATGCACTGATCTGATTTTTATTGTTTAGCTCAGGTGACTTGCTTGTTCGTTGTTTCCACCTATCTGGGATTTAGTTTTTATCTATATTCGAATTATTTAAACCACATTTAACTCTATCTGGAAGTATGCTTTCCACTAGTGTATTTTGACCAAGAGCAAGCCATTCCCCGACATAAATAGTATTTAGTGAGAGGTGTACAATGATTGCTTCAATGGGATTATTAGCTGAGCGCCACAAGAAGCTTTGCGATGTCATCTCTAGTTGAATGCTTTAGGGACTGACCAAATCTTTGGAAATCTAGTTCTACTTTGGGATACTAGAAGCCTTAATCTAGGGAGATGATTCCTCTAAAGCCCCCCAGTTTTATGCATTGTATCAATGAGGATATTCCCTCTAGTAGACAAGTCATTAAGAAATAAATAAAATAAAAGAAAAGAATAAATGAAATATATGACCTTTGTTGAGTGATCTCTCTAACCCATTACAATCCGTTTCATTTCCCTGAACAGCTGCTGCAATCTGCTTTGCCACCTTCTGATGATGAGTAATAGCTGATTATGCATTTGATAAGCATGTGTTCTTATTTAATCTTTTATTGGTGTGTCCCTGTTACTATCCATCTCTAATACTTGCTCTCGCTACATGTTGATCCTAGAAGTTGCTCTCAGTGTTAGAATGATCAGGGAAAAGAGGTCATGTGTATTAACTGCCACCATAGCCCCTTCATGAAGGATTTGCATCCAACATTTTGTTAATGAGCTTGGCTGGCATATGAGCGGGTCTATGATTGGAATTAAATGTGAAAGGACCAACGTAAGCTTTGGATGAGATGGTTATTCAGCTCCTAGTGTATTTACTTAAGCTATATACCACTGACTCATTTTACTAACTCCACATCTCCCGCTCTTCTTTTTTTTTTTTTTTTCATTCATCTTTTATTATAAGCAAATTGAACGTTCTTTTAGTGACAGTATATAAAGCAACACATTATATACACTAGTATGACATGTTTCGTTAACCAGTATCATATTAGCAAGTTTTCAGTTGAAGGTTCTCTTAAATTAACTGGTTATGGCTACTGCTTACCGAAAATTTTTCTCTTGGGACATCAATTATCGCAGGGAGTCTTGAGAGGTCTTTCAAAAGTTCCAATTGTCGGAGGAATGCAATCCAATGCTATGAAGGTTAGTGAAGTTGTGAGCGGCTTTGTATTTCTTAACCTACTAATAATAATATTCCTGGAAAATGAAGATTTTTTCGGTTCATCCTATTCTTTGCAGCCCAGTTGTGAAATAAATGCTGAGGATTCTGCAATGCCTCCTACCAATGTCATCATGACCTCTAGCGGTGATAACTAATCCTCGGTTAGACAGCTTTACATGAAGCGGCCTTACCCTGCAGCCCTTGAATCATCAAATCTCTCATTCAAATTGGTGCGCAACCAAGTTGTACGATATCTTTATGAGATTGTACATATAGCATATAGGCATGAATCACATTAGGGGTCCTCTGTATCCCGTCCCTATCCACCCATGTTAGTATGATGATACATATCTCCTCCCTGTTTATGTTGGAATTGGATTTGAAGAGTCGATACATTTGTTGCGAAAATGCATGCTGCCTGCCTGCTAACAGCAATGAGGAGGAATTGTACCGGTCGCCATTGCGCGTTGAGTTGAGCTGATTGAGTACTTTCAGTTGTCTGTGCAGGAAAGGTAAGAAGTCGCGAAATATTGCTTACAGAATGCGTGTTGTGTGTGCTGCCATTTATGTGCCGACATTAGTTGAAACCTCTAATGTGCTATTTAAGAAAATGTAGGTGCTGCTGCATTTGTCCATCTTAAGGTTGAAAGATTTCTTGTTTTATTGCTTTTTCTAGTTTTTTCTTGTATATGAATGCAAAATCCAATAGTGACTTCTTGCTTAAAATGCCTTTAACTGATCTGGATTGGATTGGATTGCTCTGTTTTAATTCATGCAAAGCTTAGCGAGCAGTCTCCAATTTTGGGATTTTAATGACCCTTTTTTCTATATTACAAAACTATAAAGTTTTTAGAATTTTATAGTAAATTAAAAAATAATAGTAGTATTTTATTAATTAATAGAAGTATGAAAGAATTTTTAATATTTTAAAGTAATTGTTTGTGAAATAGTATATTAGTAATTTAAGTGAAAATTAAAAATATTTTAGTACCACATAAGTTGTCTTTTTATAAATTTTACCACTCATTTTTATTATTCAAAATTTTTTTCTCTAAAAATATTAAATTAAACCATTATTTTTTTTTTATATTGTATTACAAATATATTTTATGTTTAAAAAGTTGTATTAATCTCTATTTATATCATATTAAACAATTATTTAAAATCAATTTTTTATCATTCAAAATCTAAATTCAAAAACAAAAACCTGCAAACAAACAAACCCATACTGTTTTGGAACAACAATTGGTCAAACGAGTATTAGATCATACCACGGCCGTGTTTATTGATGCCAACATGTTTCTTTTTTTTTTTTTTAAATATCTTTGTTGTCGTGAACAACAAATGGAAGAAAATGATCGAGAATTCAAACCATCCACACGAAAAGAAATAAGTCATTACCCTCAGATTGAAAACACTATTCTGTTCCAGTTCAAGAGGACCTCTTTTCCAGCATGGGATCATTGACGACTTGTGGCTCGAAATCCGGCTTCACGTAGCGCGAGAGCAAGTACGCATACATTTCATAACGTGCAGTCATCCGGAATCCCCACTTGTCCTTGATCTGCCGGCAAAGGTTGAGATTCATGTCGGATATCAGCAAGCCATCCCGGCAGCGCGACAGGGAAGGCGTGCATGAGGAATCAGGTGCTGATACATGGCTGGAGCCATAGAAATGTCCGAAATCCGAATGTTGTGGCTTCCCATCCCCTGAGGTGAAGGGGTTCGGGAAAACTTCAGTCCCGACTCGATTTATTGAACACACAAAGTAACTATTCGCAATTGCTGCATTCCGCGCCTGAGAAAGAAAGTTGCCATTAAGTCGCATTCGATTAAAACTAGTCGATCAGCTGCAAATGGTACATACCTCAATGGGCCACATTGGTTCACTGAGTTCGCCAACAGTTGCCGAGGGGTTAAAGACAATTTCAGCACCATTTAGGCCGAAAGCTAACCAGTTGAGAGGATGATGTCTTCCGTAGCATATATTGACGGCGATCTTTCCGTAAGCTGTTTCAAACACAGGATGGCCCGTATTCCCTTCCATGTAGTATGTGCTTTCGTTGAAATCCCCGACTCTGGGTATATGATTCTGCAAAGTTCATTGAGCTCAAAAACAGTACACAACACATTGACATCGATCAAATTGATTACCTTTCTGTGCTTTCCAATTATGTTGCCATGGTTTCCGATTATAACAGCAGTATTCCAGATAACTTCTCCATGCTTCAGATCCCGCTCAAGAATGGGATTTATTATAACCATGTTATATTTGCGGGCGAATCCTTGTAGAAATTGTGTTGATTCTCCATCTATTGGCTCTGCAAATTCACACCATTTCTTCTCACGGGTGCAAAATGCAAATGGCATCATCCATGCTTCCTATTAATGATTTTGGAGTTAGATTCTTGCAGAAAAGGTTCGCCAGAAGAGGTCAGTGAAGAGCAGCAAACTACCTGTAAACATAATATGTTGACTCCTGAAATGCCAGCAGCTTCAATTATAGGTGTCAACTTTTGAAAAATGCCCTTTTTCTGGTCGGCAAATGGCGCTGTAGTTGGAAGAGCAATGGAATTCTGTATCAGACCTACCCTCACGATGCGAGGTTCTCTCAGTGATTCCTCTTGAGCATTAAAAGTGAAGGCCTGTATTATGTAAAAATTGAAAGCAAAGATATTTACACCAAGCAATAAGTATACCAACAACAAACGATGCAAAACTTACCACTGCTCAATTAGACAGCAAAAATGATCCCAACACTAATTTTTAAGCTCATTCAAGAATCTGAAGAAATTCCTCATCAGCAAGTACTTGCCAGGATTTGTAAATATTACTCACATCACATCTAGTAGTATATACCACATAGTAAAAAAGCTTCAAGCATATCTTCGGCATATCTTGGCCACCCAAGACACTCCATGTTACCTCTCCTCACTAGATACAATTCCTCGGCTTTATATGATGATTGTAATAGTTTATAAATCACTTATAGTATACATCTGTCCTACTCAATTTAGCTCTTTAGTGCAGTGCCTAATAGAATGCTTAATAAAATCTTCTTATCCTGTCAGCAATTTACTTAACCTATCCAACTATCTCTAATGTACAGCAAAATCAAATTCTTATCCTGTCTTTCCAAGTTCCAACTTTATATATAAACTTCCGTAGCTGCTAACAAAATTGGCAATTTGAAATGCAGTTTTAAATCATCTTATCAAGATCAATAGATGGTGTGATACACATTTGTATTACTTCCAAATCAGATTGCTCAATGCTCCTACGTTGCCTCAAAAATATCCACCACTCATCGTTCTTAATTCGATACTCATGTAAGGCTTTATGTAATTGTAACCAGAAGTTTTGGTACCATAGTATAACCTTAGGCCAGAACCTTAACAGCATGGTGCAAGCAATCTTTACAATCTTGTTTTCTTTTTCATTACACTAAATAGTGTAACAAAAAAATGCACTAGGATCTCAACCACACCTGCAGAACTCATTGAAAATGTTGCTCTAGGTACAGTTCCATTAAAACAAATTATGCACATTTTAAAGGAGATTCAATCTATGATGGATACTAACCATTAGATTACTACTCTGATTTTTTCAGGAACAAAATCAGCTCTTAAGGTTCCTATCTTTGAGAAAATCTTCGAATCATAACACCTAAAAATCACAGTTACCTGCAAATCAAAATCATGTTCTGAAGAAAGAGCAGTAGCTGGCTCTGGAATGGCAGCAGTCTGGAGTGCTCGTCCACAGTTTAGCCCAATAAGCACTCGACTGATTTCCTATCGAAAGGTTAAATAGAAATTAATAAGAAAAATCATAAGAGACTTGAGTTACATACCTCAAACCATGAATAGAACAGGTCTAGCACAGACGTTTAATGAAAAACAACAGAAACCCTAAAGAATTCCCAGACTTACTCGAAACCGACAGTTTCAACATCTAAATAAGAAATCGGAAATCGACATCAACATCAAGCAGATTGGGTTGACCTGAAAAATATGAGGAGGGAGCGACGCTTGTAGCAGTCGGTGCATAGAGTCGAATCCACAGAGGGAGCCGTCGTTGGAGGAGTTTTCTTGACCGTTTTGTGCAGCAGCAACAGCATCGTCAGTGTTGCTCCCCATTGAATCGGCGGGACGAGGGCGGAATGATTGACACCGATACACTTCTCCTTCCTTTTTTACACTAGCTCACCCATTTCTTTTCTAAATTATATTGATGGATTTATTTATAATTTCAATTTTATTTTATTTTTATAAATTTTAATAAAAATATTATAAAAAAATTAATTTTATTCTCAATATAATTTAAATATATTAATTTTAATTTCAATAAAAAAATTTTTAAAAAAAAATTATCAATTTAATCTAATTATATATAATTTAAATTAATTTTACAGGTAAAAGGAAAACTAACTCAAATCGTTGACGTTGACATACGATGTTGTTGGTGTGGCGGCTGATCCGAAATCAACATACAATTATACTTGTCACAATAATTATGTATTAATTTACTTTTGTTTTTAAGTTAAATTTTAAATATTAATAGTATTATATTAGTACCTATACAAATTAAAATATATATATATTTTTTTATTAATATTCTATAATATAAATATAATAATATTTGTATAAAATATTATGGAAATATAATGATACTTGTATGCTAAAATACAATAGCAAAATATATTAAATCTCTGCTCCCTTCGTTCCAGATACTATGTGCACGTTGTTTTTGTCCGTTGATTTTTTTTAATTGATTATACATTTTTAATCTCATTTTAAATTTTTAATTTTTTTTAATTTTAATTAAACTAATTAGTTATCTTAATTTTAATTTATAATTATTTATATTATAAAATAATTATTTTCACTAGTACATTCTTAATTATATACTAATTACATCCCTCTTGAAATAAAATACCGTGTAAAACACAGTATCTGGGACGAAAGGAGCGTTATTTATCAAAATTTTTAAGAATATCAAATTAAATATATATATTTTTTTTGATATTATACTAAATTTAGGGGCGTTCGTAACACCTCTGGTTTGGTTTGGAGTTTGGTCAGTATTGTAATAAACAGTAATGGTAATATCCGAAGCTCTTACAACCAGAGACTTAATTAATTAAAAATGGTTGGTTGGTTGGTTAACATCATCATCATCACCATCACCATCTTCTTCACTCGTCCTTAACTGTAGGGTGTTTGTTGAACAAGAAGACCACACACCTCCAATTCTTTGACTCCCAATCCCAAAATCACAACAAATCATCCATTCATTCATATCATCATAAATAAGTACTCCATTATTTACTCATTCATACAACAAATAATCAATCCTCTTCTTCATTTCTCTCTCCATCAGCTTCCTCTCCTCCCCTCTTATCTGTTCAAGCTCTCATTTCCTCATCGTCTTTTCTTACATACACTTGTTATATATATATACATATATATATATATATAGTAGTATCATGTAAAGCCCACCTGCCCTCCCTCCTGATTTTGATTTTGATTTTGCAAGAGACCAAACCAGATCAGGAAGAGAGAGGATTAATTATTAATATTATCAATCAATCATAATTTCATTAGCATGGAATTGGCTAGGATCAGACAACTCTTGATCCTCTGGAGCAGCACTAGTGTCCGAACCAGCCGTACTTCTCTCGTCGGTGGAAACCACACCGCCGCCAGATTCTGCGCTCGCTAGCTAATCAATTAATTCTTCCTTCTTTTCTATCTTCCACAATACTATAATTGATTCATTCATTTAGGGTTTCTGCATCCTTAATTCATTTCTTAGATTTCTTTCTACGTTGCCATGGACGATAATCATTGTAAATCGAAAGCTCGATCCTTGTACGGGTACGACCACCGGGTCGGGTTGGATCCCCAAACCCTATTGATCATCAAGCTGCCCGATTCCCGCGCTCTCCGTATCCTCTCCAGATCCCTCTTCTTCGCCATGCTTCTCATCGCATTGCCCTCAATCGCCTCCATCATCGGCGGCGCGTGGCGCTCCGATTCCGCCATCGCCGCCGGCTTCCAGATTCTCCCGATCCTCCGCGATTTAATGGATGAAGGCCTCATCAAGCGCGGCCACAGGGGTTTCCTTCTCGGCGATGTCGAAGACGAGCATTTGGATAACTTCCCCATCGGCTTAATTCTCGCCGGAGCTGATGCAAATCGGAATATCGCCGGCGCCGGCGATCAGGAATTTGATTTTGTCTACATTCCGAGTTTTGGCGGGAAAATTGAGCATATTGAAGGCATCCTCAAGGACGGCGGCCTGGTGATCTCTCTGCTCGGCGCCGATCCGTCCGACGATCTCCGACTGCCAGAAAATTTCGACGTTGTATACGTGAGGAGGTTCGAGAATACGGTGGTGGCGATGCGGAAAACGAGAGCCGCCGGAGGGTTCCACGGCGTCTTAGCGGAGAAAGTTATTTGCGGGGGCCGGGAGAAGAGGAAAAAGGCGTTGAAAGGGTTGGAGGAAGTCTATCTCGAGCCGCCGCTGCCGCAGTGGCGGAAGAAAGGGTCGGCGTCGAGGAAGGTCAAATTCCTTCCAGATCTTTCCGGAGATCCGCTTGACGAATACCGGCGCCGGATATTCATCGCGGACGAGACGGGAGCGTTGGAGTGGTTCGACAAAAACTACCCCAAAAAAGGCCACGAATTCGAAGTGTACGACGCAAGCGGCGGAGATGCGTTGGCGGCGATGGCGAGGATCGACGTGAGGCGGGAAGATTTCGTGGTGGTGAAGGCGGAGGCGCAGGTGGTGGAGGAGATGATGAGGGGGAACCCGGCGGCGTTGTGTCTTGTAGACGAGGTTTTTTTGGAGTGTCGTAACGGATGGGACGGCGACGGCGACGGCGACGAGAGGAATGGGAGAAGGAAGAGGAAGAGGGCGTATTGGGAGTGTTTGTCATTGTACGGAAGGGTTAGGGATGAGGGGATAGCGGTGCACCAATGGTGGCATTCTTGATTATTCGGACATCATCGGATTGAACTCATCGATCATTCTATTTAATCTTATCTTATCTTTGTTGTGTTTTACCTAAATGTATGTATGTGTGTGTAGTGGGGAGAGTTTTGAAGAGTGTTTCTTTGAAGTTCTGATGATATTCGGTGCGTTTTAAGCGAAATTACGCTTTTGCGAGGAATTTCGTTAGAGTAGATGGTGTAGTTTTATTCTTAATAGGAAATGCACTTGGGATCCCAAGATTACTCTGCCCATTACACAAATGTTACACTTAATAGAGTTGTCATTCATATTTGTTACGCTTTTGTCAAAGATTGGAAGTTTGTATTTGTAAACCTACCGGGGTTGTTATAAATCACTTGTATCAACAAGTTTCTTATGGATTCATAGTTGAAAAGTTTGGTTGAATTGAATATTTAGTTTTTCTTCAAATACTATTTTTCAATTGCAATTTTAGAAATAATATTAATATAAAAAAAAAACATAAAATATTTTTTACAAAAGTAAAAAAATAAAAATAAAATAAAATTCAAATACCATTTACAACAAATCAAAAAAATTAAGTATTCAGTAGTGAGTTTCCACGTAATACAAAAAAATTAAATATTCAAATTAAAAGAATTCTATATTTTATACTTTTAGACAATTTTTTAAATCAACATACAAAATCAACTTAGCTTTTAACTGTATATGTAGCTAATATAAATTAAATTTAATAAATAAATAAAAACTTTTGAATATATATATTTAATTTATTTATTTATTATCAACTGTATGGTCGTGTCGTGCCGCGTGTCGTCCAAAAATATCAAATCCGCAGGAATTGGAATTGGAATTGGTGTTTCAGGTTTGTTTGTTGGGCAATCAGAATCAGAATCGGATGGGAGACGAACAAGGGGTGAAGAATGAAGCTCTGGAGATTATTGCCATGGCTCAGCTGCTGCCTCGCCTTGTCGTCTTCGATCTCGATTACACTCTCTGGCCATTCTACTGGTACCTACTTATTCAACTTCCTCTTTAATGGATTTCCCACACTGTTTCGATTATGAATACTTTTGGTAATATCTTTTCGTTCTTTCACATATTTTTAGAAACTTCATGATTTCGAAGCTCCTCAAATATTGGTTAGGGTTTCGTTTGGTTTCTGGAAGTTTCACATGGGAAAATACTACTTACTTGGCAATCAAACTTTGTTTTTGCCAAGCTGATGAATAGAAATTCGTCCAATTAGTTGCTGAATAAAGAGATTTGCTAGAATTCGAAATTCGATAGTACTAGATATTGAAAATTTTCTTGTGTTGTTTTTTGGTAGATTGCCTGTAAATGTGTTAGTTCATTTGCATATATTCTCAATGGAATTCAGAATTCCTAATATCATCCAAAGCTCATGAAAGGCTTGAAATGGATCTCTACGACTATTGATCCCATATGTTTGGTCAAAATTCTTTCTGTAATGCATGCTTGGTGTTAAAATAGAATTAGATGTCAGCGAAAATCAGAAGCAAATAATCCGAGACTAGTTAGGAATGGTTTAACAATTCCCATTTATCCTCACACTTGGTAGCTAGGGATTTCATTGCCGCCTGTGTTGAATGTTGTTTTGCTTAGTAGATTTAGCTTTAAATTCGTTGAATTGTTGGTTTGTCTTGATCTGGTTTTACTTGTTTCCGGGCTGGGCAGCGAGTGTCGCTCCAAACGAGAAATGCCAAAATTGTATCCCCATGCCAAAGGCATACTCTCTGCTCTCAAGGCTAAAGGCGTTGACGTTGCTATCGCCTCTAGATCACCCACTCCTGATATAGCCAACACATTTCTTGTAAAACTGGGGATAAAATCGATGTTTGTTGCTCGGGTAAGATAATTAACTGCAGTTTAATCCTTGATTCAAATTAAGTGTAAATGATGTAAGTCTTTGCAGATTAAACTCAAGAAACTCATTGAATTTCTGTAGTTTTGGTGCTTTCCTTATCAAATTGCATTTTAAAGTTTGTGATGCTGTTGTCGATGAACTGAAGTGAATTTTCTAATGTTGCAGGAAATATTTTCCAGCTGGACTCACAAGACTGACCACTTTCAGAAAATCAGTCAAAGGACGCGCATCCCATACAACCAAATGCTCTTTTTTGACGACGAGAATCGCAACATAGAGGCTGTAAGAACCCTTCACTTGTAGCTCTGTGTCATCCTTCATATATACTAAGCCTGTGTATTGCTCGAGTATTCGTGTCCATTCAAAGAACTAATGAGTCTCCATATGTTTGGTTTGGCTTGAGAATAGAGAATAGGTATTTTGATATGATATAAATAAGTGTTGGATATGATATTTGAATAGGATGAAAAACAAAGTAGAAAACATAAGTAAACATCTTATTACTAAAGCTTTCCGCTGTGCCATAGGTATCTAAAATGGGCGTAACGAGCATCTTGGTGCGCAATGGTGTGAATCTTGGAGCTTTGAGGCAGGGGCTCGCCAAATGCGCCCAAAATGGACGAAAAACTGATTAAGGGATCTGTAACCTCGGCCATTTTTTCAGGTATCTTATGATTGAAATCAAGCATTTTTTATGGGTATCTTATGATAGAATTCTTATCTTCTTTGGATGGACCAACACATTGTGGTTATTTTATGGCCAATGTTGGCTTCTTAAAGGGCTGTCTGTTGTATTAGTAATATAAGTATAAATACACTCTTCTTGAGCCATTCCTGAGCTTGTTGTGTTTTATTTCTTCTGCATTTTTAGTATTAGATAAAGCAGGTGTTGATAGTGAATTAAACAGAAATCTAAGCTCTCGTAAATGAAGAAATGTATGTGAAGATATAGATCAAAATGTGCAGGTAGATGTCTCTGTAATAATTACCAGCAATTTTCAAACAATGAGAACTTACAATCACTTGAAAACACAAAAGGATACCACAAGAAAACTCAAAAGGCAGCAATGAACTAAAAATAGGAAATATCACTTCAAACAAGGGATGATCATTTCAAACTTCACATACATGTGTTTACTACGACTAAGAAAACTCCTAAAGTAAAAGAATACGAAGAGCATATCGGCCAAACTATTTCGACGGTCATTCAATTGCATCCTTACCACTCAAACCTGCATTTCTTGATTGTCTTTTAGTGGTTCAGCTCCTTTAAAATTTTCAATAACAAAAGTAGACAATGGGTTTAAGCAGTTGTTACCTTTCTAGACAGCATATAATCAACAGTTGAGCTCTGTCAGTGGAGTTCTTTCATCAAAACTTACTTGGATTGATTTTCTTGAGGATAATAATGTAGTATCATTTCCCCCACTGGACAGCCGGTTTCTTTCTGGTTCATGGTTTCCTCCGGAAAGATGTAGTATTTTCTCCAGTAGGTCCCCCAGTTCATCATCTTGTTTGGTTAAAACATTGATTTGGCCTAAAATGATCTCCAGTTGGGCCATAAATTGCTCCTTGTCAATTGAAGCATTCATAAGACCTTCAAGCATGGCTTCTTTATGGGACTCGTGTTCCTCCAAGCAACTTCTTGTCTTTTCAAGTTGGCTTTTCAGCTCCTCCATCTCTGACTGTCTCATTGTGGCATGTTTTAAGTTCTGATCCAGTGATTCTAATTCTATCTGAAGTTCTTGTATCTTCTTATCTTTCATTGCAACAAGAGTTGCTAAGTTCTTAATTTCGAGCTCAAGTGCAATTTTCCCTTCTTCCCTTTCAGCTAACGCTTTCTTCAAATGAGCATTGTCGTTCTCAAGAACTTCATTGGTCCTTGACTTGTCTAAAATAGCTGATTCCAAATCAGAAATGTGTTTCTGAGACTTAGCAATTACGACATCTTTATCATTCATTGTCTCGAGAAGGTTGGCTTTCTCTTGATCATGTAGTTCTTGAATTTCTACCAAATTCATTCTCAAGCTTTCAACTTCTGATTCACACTTTTGAAATTCAAGCATAGATTTCTTGACTTCAAGACTTTTGTTCACCAGCGCAAGATCTGCCACCTCTAAAGCATCTTGTATCCTCTCCCTCTCTGAATGTACTTCAAGAAATTTTTGTTCTAACAGACGGTGCCTTTCATTTGATTCCTTAAGCATCACCTTATGCTCTCTCAGTTCTTCCTCCATGATAAAGTTTTTCTGATTCAAAGAATCGAGATCACATGACTCGGCATGCTTCAGTAAATCTGCCATCTCCTCACATCTCTGTTTCAGCTCAGCATGAACGTGATGCAACTCAGTGTTCTTTAATTGTAGCTGCTGATTTAATATAGCATTTTCCTCTTCAACGCGCATAATGTCCATTTCCAAATTTCCTTTGGCATCATATAGCTTTGAATACGCAGCATCAAACTCAGATTTTAACATCATGATTAAAGCAGAGGCTTCGTCGTTCTTCGCCTCCAATAGCCACTGGCAATCTTCCAGTTCCTTGTGAATTTTTTTAATGCTTTCACTCTTTCCACACAATTCAGATAAGTAACACTCTACATCCCCTGTCAACTTTTCTATTTGAGAATTCCTATCAGCCTCCTTCTCTTGTAGCTGTACAGAAAAATTACTATGTAGTTTTTCCAGGCCATCAAGTCTCTTTTGCAACTTCTTCAATGAAGGGCCTGAGGTTTTACTACGCTCAGCCTCTTGAATAGCTTTCAATAAATCCAAACGGTCGCTATTCTCCTTCTCTAACTGTACAGTTTTGTGCTTCATTTCATTGGCAAGCTTCTCTTTTATTCTCAATTGCTTCCGTAGCTCGGCTATCTGTTCATCCCTCCTCATAGTTAGCTCCTCAACTTCTGATTTTACAGTATGACACTCCTGGGAAACATTTTCGAATTGTGATCTGCATTCAGACAACTGATGATCAAGATCTTTCCTTCTGCTTTGTTCATGAGCCAGGGCATCTTGAGTCATCGTCAGTTGGGACTCCAGGCTCTTGACAGCTTGATTTTGAGCATCCAAATTAGCTCGCAGTGAAGAAACTTCATTAATGAACAAGGATTGTTCCTCTTGCCACTCCATCTTACTCTCCATGAACTGAGACTGAAGTTTGTTGTGTGCCTCTTCCAGGTGAAAGAACTGTTCATTCCTCCATTTCAACTGATCACGAGTGGTTCTAATTTCCTCTTCTAGCTTGAGTATATATTCATTTCTCTCTTTCATATCTTTTGATACATTATCCTGCACTTCCACAATCTTCCCCGCTTTCACTGATAAAAGCATCCTAAGACCTGCAAGTTCCTCAGAACTAGCACTAGTCTTGTTCTCCAGATCCTGGATTCTTGCCGACGCTTTATCTAGAGCCAATGCCAAATCTCTGTTTTCACCCTCCAGTTTCGAAATCTTCCCATTGCAACCCAATAAAAGCAAGTCCTTTCTGTGCAAACTGGACTGAAACCCCTCACACATATGCCTAATTTCACTTATCTCCACAGATTTGGCCTCCAGTTCTTTCACATTAGCTTCCCCTAAACTCTCTGCCAGCTTGGTTTTGGCCAAGCATTCTTCTCTCAGCTTTTCCACCTCAATTTTCACTTCATTTAGCTCATCATAGATTTTTTCCATTTCCTTTCGAATACGAGTAGCCTGAACCACATGAATTAAGATGCAAGTTAACTTAACACTTGCACTTTAGTGCACCAGTAGAATGATGTGAATTGGGCAGATGAAGTATATGTTTATGGTCACGATTGTTAAAAGAACCCGTTATACAGGACTCACCCTAAGCCCTGTTAGAATGTAACATCATGAATCTGAAAGTTAACAAATTCAAAACTCATTGAATCCCACATTAATGTACTCAAAAAATTTATAATATTATCTACCACCCCTATTATTACCACAGGATAATAGGCATGCCATTGGAAATTCCATATAAAGGCTGATGAAATTTCCGAAAAAGGAAATGAAGAAGAATTGAGGATATCAAAACAGTTCAAGGAAGCTAGCTGTTGGTTACCACTTCTCATTTATACAACTGAACAATCTTTCTCAATACCTTTTTCTAATTTCAAGTTGAAAATACTTTTTATATATATGCTTTTAGTTATACAAATGAAGCAGCCTACATATTTATGGTTACGACTAATTTATTTTATAGTATTTTTAAAATTGAAATAATTACATTCAATTTCTTAGATGACCCTACAGTAGTAAACTTCTACTCAATTTACACAAAATGATTGTAACTTATCACTTGAAATTCTCACTGAATTCCAATCCTAGTTCCTGAACTAAACTTAACCTTTGAGGGAACTTCATAAATTCAAGAACCCATGGAAAATGATTGGATACTGTTGGTGCAAAAATTGATTCCACTGTCAACAGATACTGTCGAATGTTCTGTCCCTTCATGAATTCTCTCTATCTTAATTCTCTAGGTTTCCTTACCTTCTGTTGGAAAGCAATTTCAGTAATCAATATCAAGAACTATGAAATCGAAAAATGCTGTCTAGATATCGATAATGAAACCATTAAAACAGCGTGTTAGCACAAAAGACATTCAGTGCGTTAGCATTAGTTCTATCCATTAATTATCTTTCCTGATGCTATAGCCTGTAATTCCGCATTACGAAAATTTCATACAGAAAAAAATCGATACTCCTTAAGTGAACGTAGAAACGACACATCATTATTAGTTTAATACCACCAGAATTAGACGAAATGAAATCGCTTAATCAAACGCATTCCACTACACTACAGCTCTGGATACCGAAGCTATCGGCAATAACACAGATTTTCATTAATCTCAAACCACTGGCATCGCAAACACCCAGCACAAGGAAATTTCGGAATTCTAAAAACCAGGACCCTCTGTCCCGAAACAAATAGCCATTATTGCATCAAAAGAAAATTGAACAAACAAGAAGAAGTTTACTCTGACCTTGCCGTCGATTGCGAGGACTGGCTGCGGTTGCTCGGAAGGCCGAGAAATGGAGGGGAGTAGGAGTAGCGATATTGATCTCTTAGCGGGAAATGGAACTTTTTGAAATTTCCAGTCTTTCTCTGAAAGGCGTTTTCGAAATAGCACGCGCTTCGTCTCCTTTCCCTGCTATTTACATTAATGTAGTACTCCACTTTTTTCATAAAAATAAAAAGAAATAACAATTTTTGTTTTTTCTTTTTAGTATTTAAAATCAAAATTACATTATGTATTTTTGCAATAAAAATATATAATTTTATTTTTATTATAAAATATCATGTTAAAGTATTATTTAAACAAATATTTAAATCAAAATTATATTTCAAATTAATTTTTTATTATGGTGGCTTTGGTTTGTGTTTTAAATATAAATTTAGTATTCTTTCAAAATGTATTATAATGACCTTTTTAATAATAATACAGAGTAAAAATCGGTCTTATTTAATATCATAATTATTAATTTTAGTCTAATTCAAAAACTTTTATTAATTTTAATCTCACTTAAATGAAAATTTATCAATTTTAGTCTCAAGATGGTTGATTGGGACTGAATACGGTCGTATTGAATGACTCGGAAGGTGACTTGGGCGTCTCAGACAGCCATCACGGCTGTGTTGATTAATTACCCTGCACTCCTTGGTTAAAATGATGATATATATTTATAATTTAACAAAAATATTTTTTACAATTATTTCATAATATAAAAATTAATCCATTTTTAATATTTTACAATTCAAGATATTAGTATTTTTATCTGGCAGCACACGATGTTATTACTTGCAGCGCATTGCATACGTTCATACTCCCCCGTCTACACACAAAGTAAACATTTACTTTTGACGCAGTGTTTAAGAAATAATAGTATTTTAATTATAGTCGGTAGTTAAAAGTAGTAAAATGACATTTTTGCCCTTACTTTTTAATGTAAAAGTAATGATGTGATGTAAAGTAAAGTATTTGTAGAAAAAAACAAGGTATTTAATAAAATATTTACTTTGTAATTGGACGTCCTAAAATATAAATATGTATACTTTTTAGCTGGACGGAGGGAGTATAATACAAATACAACACATGAACTAACATCATATGCTATAGTCTTGTACAACACAAACAATAGTTGATTTCAACATATCACATACCGTCGTACAACACACTTGTAATTATAACCAACAACGCAAATACAATACATGAACTAACAACATATTATGTTATACACAAATAATAGTTGATTTCAACACACCACATACTATACAACACATTTATAATTATAAACCAATAAACATATCCTTACTATACATCGCATATACTATGTATAGTAAGAATGTGTGTTGTTTATATATGTTTGTATGCGTTGACTTAAAAAATAAGCACAGTAATAAAATTTCCAAATCAAGATCCTAGCCCTTCGGACATATTTTTCTATATTTCACTCTAATACTCTATTCTTCTATGATAATAAGAAATTTAAAGTTTCATTTTAAAATCAATTGTTATTAAATAGTTTTTACCTTTATAAGTAATAGAGAATTTTTATAATATTTTAATATGGGATGATATTTAACATTTTTGTCTAAGATATTGTTTAATTAACACGGATCTTTATATTTAAAAATAAAATAAAAACAATAAAGCATATTGCAAAATAATAGCTAAAATTCAAATGTGACAAATTCCTTGAGAAGAAATATTCACCGCGTTAATGTTAGGTCCTTTTAGCCCTTCCTACAACACTACACTACACGCTTGACCAATATTCGTCTTCCAATTGATCACAAAGGTATGTTTCTATTAAATAATTATTATAAATAAATAAATAAGCATACCAATTATTATTATTATTATTATTACTCCCTCCGTCCCATAACAATGTATCATTTCTTCCATTTTAGTTCGTCCTGTGATAAATTATCAATTTCTTTTTTAGTAATTGTACTATCTATCTAACATTACAAATATTCTTACAAATTAGAATATATTACACAAATATCATTACCTTTATATCACACATACTAATAATGTATTTTAGTCATTTATACTTTTTTCATACTATATTTCAACAATATAATACTAATATTTTTAAAAATACGTGCAGGAGAGAGAGAGAGAGAGTACAGCAGCAACGTTATGTGTCTTGATTCCATGTATTTAAATTGCACCAAAAATCTTAACCATTTACACCCTAATGTATAATTGGTATATTCTACAATCATTTATGGTTATTAACTTTATAGACCGTTGGGCTGCCCAAATATCTAAATATATACTTTTATTATTCTTCAAATAAATCCTCACAAATATATATAAGATTTTATTTAGTTACTTAGTGGAGAAGCACTAAACTAATTCCATTACAAAGGAAACCTATTAATTCATTATCAACACGTCTTTACAATAAATTAACCGCGTTTACAATATCAAAAAAAGCCGTCATTTCTTTCGGCGCATCCCCACCGTCCGATCCTAATTCCCAGCTGGATCCATCTGACGGTCAAAATTATACAGACTAACTCCGCTATCACGCGCTCCTTGCAAACTTTCCTATAAATAGCCCAGCGTTAAAGCATTCCTCCAACTCACTCGAATTCCATTTGTACCTTTTCTCTGCTTCTGTCGATTTCTAGATCTTTCTTCAATGGCGATTTCTAGGGTTTCTGCAATGTTCATGGTTGTGCTGCTCGTCGGATCTGCTATCGCTCAATCGCCGTCCTCCGCACCATCTCCGTCGCCGTCGCAGTCGCCGTTTCTGCCTCCGCGGATGAAGTCTCCGACTCCGTCTCCATCAGTAACGCCCGCACCTGCACCGAAGGAATCTGCACCGTCGTCGCCTCGTTCTCCTCCATCTACACCGCCTTCTGTCCTTCCTCCGTCTCCATCGGTGGCTTCTCCGCCGTCTGATGGCGTTCCTGCGCCCGCTCCGAGCGGCGCCGTCGTTAACAGATTTGGTATGGCAGTCGCCGCAGCGGGGATCCTGGCCGTCGCTTTGATCGCGTGATCAACGGTCGAGATGTTTGTTTATGATTTCCTGATTTGATGAGGCTTTACTATCCTAGATGATTTTTTTATTGTTCGCGGATAGGCAGGGTTGATTAGTATATGGATTATTCTCATTACTGTATCCATACTTATTTTATTTTATTATTATATCGGCGATTATTCTTATTTTACATATATTTTCGGTGTATCAGGTTTTTGCGATTCATTAGGGTGTATTTTTTGGGGTTTTGGATTTTGAGTTGGAATTTAAATAGTAAAAATTTTGAATTTGAATAATTAGTGATGTTTTAAATGTAAAATTGATTTTTAGTATAATATAAAAAATAAAAAATAAGTGTTTGATTTGATATTTTTGGAAAAAAAATTAGATGAATAATGTAAATTCAATCCAATTCTCCCGAGCAAACACTTAATAAAAATATGTTTGTATGGAAATGTAACCTTTGTGCTTATTAAAATTATTACTATTATTCATTTCTTTTCATAAAAATGTATTTTTTAGATACCATTTAATTTATAAGTAAGTAAATCGAATTCAAATAAATTAGAACTCAAATAAAAGTTGTAAATTAAATATGATATTTTTTTAAAAAAATTATATATTAATAGAAATCGAAGAAATTAACACACTAAAATATATTGTTTTGCTGTGATTCAAAATTAATTTGAAATGAAATAGTGATTTAAATTTTTGTTTGAACAGTATTTTAATGTAATATATAAAAATTAAAATAATAATTTTTTATTAAAAATAATGTAAAATATATAGATTCCGATTTAAAATCAAAATCAAAACACCCTAAATGCGTGTGTGTGTGTGTGTGTGTGTTTTTTTTTTTATTATTTATTCTGTATTTAATATTTATAGTATTAGAGACAAATTGCAGACTTTTACAATTTTCCTTTTTGAAATTATTATTTTTTTATGAAAGATTTGGTAGTCAAAGGGATTATATATAGCTTACTTGCCTACTATAATTAAACCCTACTCTACGTTTATAAATTTGTATTTGAAAAAGTCAATTTAATTTTTGTGTAGTTAATTCTAGGGTAATAATGCACATGAATATTTATCCTATTTATTACATTTATATGATGAATTTTAGATATAACTGCTAGGTATGGTTAATAGCAAGAAAATTTTTTTTGTTGAAATTACCTATATGATTTTGTTTAGTTTTTGTTTTCAAATCAAAATTACAATCATTCAATTTATATGATATTCAATAAAAATTTCTATTTTCTCTCATCAAATATTATATTATATAATTTATAACATAATATTTTTATATGCGAAAAAATTAATTGATGTATGAGTTTGTGTATTTAAAATAGATCTTGAAAGCTACCATAAATTGGCGATGACTGTCGATCCAAGTAAGGTGGATAATTCTGTATAGCTATTAATGAAAAAAAAAATGTGGATTTGTGGACTTTGATATAGAATTATTTTTTGCATGATTGTATAGATATTAGTTTATAATTTTGTTTTTGTAAATACAAATTTGAAAATTTGTCTACGTATCTACGCAAAAATATTTTTTTTTTTTTTTTTTTTTTTTTTTAATACGATATCTCCTCAAGTCATCGATGAAGCGATAGGGGAACAAAATATGGTGCCAAAGAGTAGCCGAGATTTTTATAGAATTTTTTTTTTGCAAAAACTATACTAGAAATATTCAAAAGATTTATAATCAAATACACTCTATTTATCTATCTATACATATATTTTTTTTTTTTAGTTGAAAGTCACCAAAATAAATAATCTAGGCTTGTTTTTGAAATTTTTAATTTTTTTTTTAAAAGTAATTGAGTATTTAATTGTTACATTGAAAGAAAGAAATTTCCTTTCATCTCTCAAGACTTCAACACTAAAAATTGTTTCTCCTTTTGAAATCAATATTGATGGAATATATTGGCTGTGACTCAATCCTCAAGTGAGGGATGCCTCACCGTTTGATCTACGAATTTAAATTTTATGATACTTGATTTTGACTGTTACGTATAATTGATTAAAAATACATTCGAAAAATAGCAGTATTTTGAAATTAGAATAGTTTTATTTAATTACATGACGAATTTGGGGATGATTGATTTATTTTAGTTGGGGCATTGTGAAAAATGGGTTCAACATTAACAACCATCGACTCCAAATCTTCTAAATCATGCTTCACTTCACCCACCTGCCCTCGTCACCCACCCACCCAACATTAATTAATTAATTCCCATAATAATAAATAAATAAATGATGTGTATATATATATATATATACCTTGTGGATAACATTTTGAAGGAGGTGGGCATCTTGGGCAGCCACGTGGGACACGTGCTCCAAAACTTGAGCTGCTTCCTTAAGCCTGCTCTTGTCCGGAAGCTGTTCCGCCACCTCCGCCAGAGCCTTCTCCGCCGTGGCTGACACCGTCTCCGCCACTTCCGCCGCCGCTTCCACCTCTTCCAACACCATTTCTGCCTTACCTTCCAATGTGCGAAATTTTTGGTTCCAGAAAGGTATCATCAGAACTGCTGATATTAATGACCCCAAAATCCACTTCTTTATCCTATTCATGCTCAAAATCATCAATTCTTCGTTACATTACAATCAAAATTATCCTTTAGATATAAAACAAGTTTTTTTTTTTTTTTTTTTTTTTTTTTTTAAAAAAAAGGATTGAAGAATTTATGTGATAATTTTATGAGAAGAAATATGTGTTGGAGTTTGTCTGGGGTTGTGTTTAGTTTGTTGTGCATTCTTTTGGTATATTTTTTATTCTAGGGTTTTAATTTTATGCTTAATATTTATACAAAACATTATATCAAAAAAGACATTTAAAATTAAAAATCGAAATTAAGCTAATCAGTGGCTCGTACGGACTTACCTGTTAGAAAAGCCTGATGAAGATGAAGATGAAGATGAAGATGAAGATGAAGAGTTAGGAACTGTCATTCCGCCATAATATGAACTGAAAATTAATTAATTAATTAGTTTCATTGCAAAACATGTAATTCATGATCAATCAATCCAATTATCAAACTATATATATATATATATATATATATATACTGACTTGGGTTGGTTGCACCTGTTGCTGATGAACCGCAGGCCTTCCGCCGCCGCAGGGGGTCCAAAGGGCGGCAGACGGCGGCGGCGCCCCCACCACAAGCCGGCGGCGACGGATGTGACTTTGTAGCGGTTGTATAGCAGATTGGTGAAGGAAGATTGCCAACTTCTTCCAGCCATAAGAAGAAGCAATTCAATCAAGAATTAATTTTAAATTATGATATGAGGAATTGAAAGGTAAGGATAAAATTGTGAGGAAAGAATTAAGTAAATAATAGGATCAAGAGAATGAAGCTAGCTAGCTAATAACTAATTGGTTTGAAATATATGTATATATATATATATATCATTTATAAACACGCCAAGGAATTATGTCGTTGAGTTTACATGCACTTCCTTCCACCTTTTATGCCCAACAACATTGCTTTGCAAGCCAACATTTTATTGTGTATTTCATTTTGATACATGATTTGTTTGAATTTTAACTTGATATTTTATTTTAATTTTCTAAAAAAACATTGTGGGCTTAAGAAAAATAATTTTAACTTGAAATAATAAAACAAACAAATAAGGTTTTTTTTTTCCTTAAGTTTTAGCAATTTCTTTTTAAAACATATATTAATTGAATATAATAATTTATATAAAAAAATTAATAAGACACCTAAGCTACGCAAAGCTAGTTCTTAATTGTTTCTTGCAAGTTTAAACTACACTCGCTTCTACATTTGTTTCTTTTTCTGGCCTTCCTTCAAACATAAGAATAGTTTCCCATTTAAATACTCTGTGTTGGACATGTTCTTACAACTCTAATAATTGTAGGACATTTTGTTTAATTTACTCGAATCCTTATTCTTGATAATGATTTGATCATACTTACTATAACCTATAAAAATTACTAGTGTTTTTTGGTCGTGTTTATGGAACTATTGAGTCGAAAATTGAGCTCAAGTTGTATTATACTTCTTGTTTATCTCCAGCACATCCCAATACAAATATATATATAATAGGAAACACAAATTAATGAATTATCACCCCAACTTTAAACGAGTTTGAAAAATACACAATTTAATTTAATTTAATGTATATAAGCATATATCAAACAAATCTATAGAACAATGGGACATCAATTTCTGAGTGCAATGTGCAGTACATTTATTGAAATATTTTCGAGTTGAGTAGCGACTGTGAGTTTCACGTGATAAAAATAAAAAAACAAAAAAACACTTTGCTCGAGCAACTCCCAGCACAACGAATCACCTAAAACACAAGAATAATACTAAGTAAAAGAAACTATGTCATATTATAATTATAATAATACTATTCGATCTCGACAGCCCTCAGCAAGCAACCATTCAGGAGTCGGGCGTAACGGGGCTCTCCCCGCTTGGTTCGACGACGTTCTTGCTTTTGATGATGGCTGGATGGCCATTGGCATCTAAGCCATAAACATGCCCCATCTTGGCTCGTTTCGTCTCAAGATATCTTTTGTTATCTTTTGTGATTGGGGTCACGAGAGGAACCCGGGAAGCAACTGTCAAGCCGTAGCCCTTGAGCCCTATGTACTTGGCAGGATTGTTCGTCATCAGTTTCATAGTCCTGACTCCAAGATCTCTAAGAATCTGCACATTATTACACATGCTGTAAAGACTAGAGATTTAGTGACAAGGATTGTCTTGCTATGTTTGAAAATAAAGTAGTATTCGAAACCGGGACTGTTAGAACAGTTGATAGAAGATTTTTGAATACCTGTGCGCCGATTCCATACTCTCTTGAATCAACGGGCAAACCCAATTCCTCGTTTGCCTCCACAGTGTCACGGCCGGCATCTTGCAAATTATATGCGCGGAGTTTGTGTCCTAAGCCAATACCTCTTCCCTCATGACCACGGAGGTAGATTAAAACGCCGCTTCCAGCTGCCTCGATTTGCTGCATCGCAAGTGCCAACTGGTTTCCACAGTCGCATCTGGCTGATCCAAATATGTCTCCAGTTAGGCATTCCGAGTGCACTCTGACAAGTATGTCTTGTCCATCGCCAATTTCGCCCTGTTACATGTCACACCCCATAGATTATTGTAGTTTTCAGTAAGCAATCACTTACACAACCACAAATGAAAAGAATCGATGTTTGATTATATTGTTCCGAAAGGAAAGACTCCCATCAGCCTGGTGAAACAATGGTAAAGCAAACAGAGATACATAATTTATGGGTGATGATTTTACATAATATCAAGCATGGTGAGGGAAAGAATTCTATCGACAGTGCACCATCACAAGGGCAAAATCAATGATCATGAAATAACTCACCTTAACCATTGCAATATGTTCGATCCCATCCAAAATCGACCTATAACAGAATGCAGTGAATGGTCCCCACATTGTTGGTATACGAGCAGCAGATGTATGCTCCACTAATCTATCCCTCTTCCTCCGATATCTGCAGTATCATATCATCAAGCACAACCAGGAAACATAGAAGAAGATACAAAGAAAATCAACTGCATGAGGATAAGCACAAGGGAGTATCATGAGGTCCAACTGACAGATAAAATAATGCAATAAAATTAATACATCTTAAGTGCCTGCCTTTGTATTCATAACCATTGGAAAAAATCCAAGGTGAAATTGGGACACAGGTTAACGGAATCATGAATGAAATGTTATGGAAAATGCCATGAAATAAGCCTGTAAAACTACCTGATTAGATCAGCAATGGATATAATTTTCAACTTCTCTTTTCGTATGAATTCCCGAAGCCTAGGCAATCGAGCCATAGAACCATCATCATCGACAATTTCACATAAAACTCCAGCAGGTTCCAATCCAGCTAACATGGAAAGATCAACAGCAGCTTCTGTGTGCCCGGCTCTTTTAAGAACTCCACCTTCCCTGTACTTCAATGGAAATATATGCCCCGGGCGATTGAAATCTTCAGGCCTTGAATCTTTGGATGCAAGAGCCAATATGGTAGTTGCCCTGTCATGTGCTGAAACGCCCGTTGTTGTTCCATGTTTTGCATCCTACATTGGCACCAATAGTGGTGTCCTAGGGATCATTAATTCTCTAAATCATTATCACAGAGAAGTTCCAATGATGCTATTTGTCCCCATTTTTGTATGTGTGTGTTTTTGTCTCATCATTTAGATAATAATATACCAGTCCTCGATAGAGGAATAAGAAAGAATATAATATCTTATCATACTAAAGGAATTTTGCTCTAAGGAAACAAACATACAAAGCAAGTGTGCAATTCAAAGTAGCATTTTTTACGAAAAAGGAAAAAATCACACGAAAACGTATCACAAAATGATGGCACAAAGACTTCTAATTTGCATTTTTTTTTTTTGCAACCAACTTTAAACTATGGGGTTAGGGCTGAAAGTGAAATGTGGTTACAAGAAGAATATTGAAAATTGTTTTTATCAACAGACAGCAAAACTTACCACTGATACAGTGAATGCAGTACGAAGCTTCTCCTCATTTTCCCTATGGTTAACCATTAAAGGAAGCTGCAACCTCTCCAGATCTTCTTCTTTCATGCTCACGCAAACTATTCCAGTTCCATGCTTCACAAAGAAAGCCATAGCCTCTGCTGTAACCTTTGATGCAGCCATTATAAGATCTCCTTCATTCTCTCGATCCTCATCATCTACGACCACAACCATCTGCATGATTATCAAAGGCAACACATGAATAACTGTGAAGCTTAAAAACATCCTTGGAGCAAATATATATATGTATGTGTGTGTGAGTGTGTGAGAGATAGTGTGTGCATGTGTGTTTGGAAAGGCCTCAATCAGTTCCATGAAGCAAAGAGATAGTATGAACTCTCAATCGCTTGCACTATCTTTGAATAAGAAAATTAAAGGATGCTTTGTAATAGTAAAAAAATTGAATTGAAAATAGGTTTAAATGTGATGTTTTCAATGGAAAATAGGCATTTGACGATTGTTTTGGATGTAATTAATGTACTATTATCAATAAAATAGATATTTGATGTAATGTTTAATAGGATTTGAATTTTTATTTTTATTTATTTGTTTTTCTACTATAGCAAGTGGTAATGAAAACACACAAAGGAAGTTAAGGAACACTCAAGGAGTGTATTTGTTTGTATTTTATTTTTCATTTTTGCACCATAAACCCTATAGTGAAGTATTTTCCCTTCTGAAAAACATCACTTAAAAACATATTTTCCATTAAAAACATCGAAACATTTCTTATCCATATCACTTCAAAACAAGTCCAAACACAATTGGATTGAAGTCATTTCATTGATTCCTCTATATTGCATTGTTTAAAACCTAAGATATAATTTCATTTGAAATTACCCACTATGCACTCGGATCCCCCTAAGCACCCCTCACAAAGCAGTGGCAGACATTGCTGAACCATACAGCCACCACCCTGGAGGAGCCAACAGCCAAGGAGCACCAAGCTGCAGGGAGCAAGACTGCCACAAGTCTCTATACAAACGAAGCTAAGAAAGAGAGCTGCCGACTTTGAGTTAATCGTGGCATCTCCATAGTTTTCAACTTACTCCTTTTGGTTGAACTTTATTTTCATATCTAGAGTCCTCAAAAGTGTTCGTAGGTTTAGAAAGCACATAGCTAGGATTTTGGTAATCACTCAAGAATGGATCAGTATTTAGCGTCTTCTGATTTACGTACGGAATTTCCCTTGTGTGTTAATAATTAGGTTTCTTTTTATTTCCTAAATCTACTTCTAACATCATTATCATATATCATTTACAGGAAAACTAACCTTTCCTTTGCGAATGTCTTCAATGGCCTCCGGAATAGATGAGAAGCCTTCCGATGGCATGTCCAAATCATACTCATCGTTATCAGAAGGGAACCCGCTAGTTGTAGGAGCCATGTCAGCTGTAAGAGTCCCTAATACTACAGAGTCAGACTGTAACTCAACGCCACCAGACCCATCTCTGATTATAGAATTACTAGCAAAATTAGAATCATCAGAACGAGGAAGGACATCGCCATCTCCAGAAAGCAGTGCTGCATTGATTGTTGCACTAGCCTTTATTTTCAATCCTATTTTCACAATACGCTTTCGGATGGAGTCTACCCCAAGCACACATTGCATATTCCCATGCTGGAGACTGCTGATATGTCTGAAATTTTTCAAGCCCCAATAAGGCAGTTAAGCTAATTGACCATAAAGCTTCGGGAATCGCAAAGGGTTAATAAAATCAAACACCACAAAAGAAAATAATTCACCGTATGAAACTCAGAATACAGCTCAGGTAATTTATTCCATCAATTTTACAAAACAAACACAAATGAGTTCAATCTGGTTCTCAAGTGAGTACACTAAATGAGATTATTTGAGATCTTACAGTTTGTTAAAGCTGCGATTAGATTGAATAAAATACTATAAGACTAGTCCATCATAATACCAACAAGGAAAAAAGATAACAACACTCTCTGTTACCTTGTAAAATCGCCGGGCAGTGAGAACAAGAAACCGGAATAATGAATTGTCACGTTATCAATTTAATTGGCTTCAGCGTGGGATGCCAATTCAAATGGTATGATACTGATCATATATGTCAGTGAAGACATACTGTATCACCAATCACGATATTGTAGATAGGATTGTACACAATATAATTTTCAAATTTTAATAGCTGTTTTGTAACTTAGATATCTATATCAGACCATCGTATCAATTATGAGAAGCCGACACTCGAATAACTACATTTCAGCAGTTTGATTCGACTGTTTTGAATATTGATTAGTATACTGATTCTGTTCATCATCCTCTTGAATTGCTTTGATTTCAGTTGCTCTAATTTATTCTTCCCTCTTTAATTTCTTCCAATCAAAATTGAGCAAGTAGGACCCCTTGATTAGTTTCTCTTCAAAGGGAATTATACTTGTTCTTTCTTGAAAACATTTTTCACTAATAATAGAATCAGCAATCCCAGTAAGCCGGCAACATCAAGTAGAATAAAGGCATAAGATTCATATTAGCTCTAACCCTGGTTTCTATACCAAAAAGAAGAAATTCCAACGTCATCAATAAATAGCAGAAACACAAAACTCAGATAGGTCAAAGTCAGAAAGAATCTATCCTCATCTCTAATTAGCACCACTCTGGACGCACAAAACCTTGAAATTCCATCATCAAATCCCCCAGCCTTTTTAACTTAGTAAATAAAAATTAAGAATAAACAGCATAGCTCGCTTCCGAGGAAAGTATTATCTAATTTCCAGATTTCGACAAAATCAGACACAATACAATGCAGTAATGAACTAAACGTGCAGAATAAAGAGCAACCACGAACGATTCGATCCAAAACTCCCCTACATAAGCATTTAGTGATCAACAGTTCAACACGTCGCATCTACAACGATTAAATCGAAAGCGGATAAATGATTAGACTTACTGAGAGCCCGAAAGGGACGTCGAGTAGCAAAAAAAATTAGCGGAAGCCGCCATAGTGGGTTGTGGATAAGAGACCGTCCAAAAATTGAAGCGAGAAGAAATGGGTTTTTGACGGAGACTGAAAAACAGGTATGAGTTCCCGTTCGTTTGTTCGTCCGTCCGCCTGTGGGGCTGAGGAATGGAATTCGAGCAGCCAATTGGCCAACCAATACGACGCTGCTAGAACGAACAACCGACTTCCCTCGCACTTTAATGCTTTGGTCCCAAAAGAGTTAAAATATGTATGGTTTCTGTTTCAACCTCGGTTAAATTTCTACAATTATCAATAAAATTATACTCCCCGTTCCATATCAGTTTGTTTTGCACTTTGTACTTCTTTCTTGTTATAACAAAGTTTTCATTTTGCTCAGTCTCGTAATAAAGTATTTATACTTGATATTACAAATATTCTTGTAATTTACAATATATTACACAAATATCGTTACTTTATATCGCGTAGGACGAACAAAAATAAAAAATAAGGATAAATTATGTGGGACAAAAAAAGTATATTTTAAAGTAAAATTAATTTTTAATATACATAAAAAAAAATAAAACATAAATTTATCTTTTTTATATTTTTATTAACAATTTCATAGTAAAAAGTCAGTTCAATGGCAAACCAAACAAACCTTTTCATTTTTTTATTTAAAAAAAAAAAAAACTTTTTGAATAACTTAGTTAAATTACAATATCAAATTCCAAATAAATAAACTCTTATTATTATTATCTTTTATTTTGAAAAAAAATTAAAAAAATCACATCAATGGTGTATAATTTACTTCCCTTTTTATTATTTTAATTAAATTCCTAGTTTATACTAAAATCAATCTCTCATCATTAAAATTTAGGTGAGGCCAGACGATGATTGACGAGGACGTGCAATCTTCAAGCATTCAAATGTCTGTGGGACCCATCACTCGAAGCCGAGTTTGTCAATTTCAAAAATCCGTCACTGCACAGACGATTTTTCATGGAGAATCAATTTAAGGAAGATGTTTGGAGACCACTTAGCCTTCACTTGAAGCTCCTTCAATGGGACCCGCAAGAATCCCAATTGAAAGATCAAGAGAATCGCTAATAATGGAAGATTACTAAGGGAATCATCACTTACAGAGAGAATCACTAATCATGGAAGTATATCAAGAGAATCCTCACTTATGAAGAGGATTACTAATCATGGAAGTATATCAAGGGAATCATCACTGGAGAGAATCACTAAATCATGGAAGTATATCAAGGGAATCATCACTTATTTCCTTTTATTATAAGTTTCCGTATAATTCCATATCTAAAACTTCCCTAATTATTTATTTTCTTATAGTTAGACTTACCTTTTGGTTTGTTTCCTTTATTATTTGTTGCATTTTATTTTCCTCGAGGTCCTTGCCTATCATTGTAATGCTAACCTTTTTTTACATATTGAATTGAATTTCATTTTTATATTTTCTAGTGTTAGGGAGTGATTTCCTCGCATTTAGAATCTCAAATCGGGTCTTTGGAGTGATTCCATTGGTTCGTGGCTTCCAATCATTTGCAGTGGAATTTAACCTATTGTTTGTGTTTTACCTATGAATTGATTTCAGGTTCGAGACTTATTCTAGTGGTTGGTTATCATCTATACTAATTCACATTCTCTGCACTATCTTTCTTCTTCCTTCTCTTTTCTTTTATACATATTCTTAATCCATTTGTTCTATTGAACTTTGTGGGTAAGAAAATTATGTTGATTATAATTATAAGCGGACGGGCCGTGTCAATGATGATATAATCAGAAATAATAATTCACCTTAATTTTAATATGGATAACAACTTCATAAACTTCTATTTAAGGAGGTTGTTCTTGTATACCGACATCCCATGACTATAAACACATGAATTATAACTGACACATGACAATAATCCATCTGTATAAAAACAACACATCCATAGAGTAAACTTTTCTGTACTTACTTACTTTTATAACAAAAAAATAAAATAAAATAAAAATTTAACCTGCAAAAATAACTAGTGTATATTATTATTGCATTCATCAATAAGAAGAAATGGCAGAATGCCATCACACAGTGTTCCTACAACACAAAGATTTAACCAAAATTCTGGTGGTAGTAAACAAGACAAATTACGAGGAAGAACTGAACTGAACATTCAGCTCTTTTAGTCCAAGATAGCTCTATCTCTCTATTCAAATGAAGATCAAAGGCTGCTTTTGCTTACCCAACCGAACAAATTGAAGTTAGAACAATCCCAAGAACTTCCACCAGAACGTCCCGACTACTCCCCAGATCATCGCGTTGACAAGGGCCATGACGAATCCAAACTTGAAGATGTCCGGAAGATCAAGATAGCCAGCTGTTCTCAACACAAAAGCTTCACTCAGTTATATACGTCGAAATAAAGCTACAATGGCAGTTGTTACTGTGCTGAATTTTAAAATTCAATATTGTACTAACATCAAGCCATATATGTTAATATAATACATATGCAGTACATAACTAACAACAAATGAGCGTAATCCCACAAAGCATATGCTATCGTTGATTTTAGCACAACAAATATATTCATACAGCAAACCTACAAGTATAAAAGCGGGCATGTGCTCGATTCAAAGACTTAAAGGTTGTTAACTATATTTCTGCACTATTTGTTAAAAAATTTCCACCTAAGAACATTCCATCCAAGATAATTTTTTTGTTTTTACTTGAAACATCGAATCAAATACTCGATGAGATTGATATTCACATATTTCTTCTTAGAACGTATTGTTTTGACCCCATAAGCCAGACCCTCCGTCCCGTAAATTTAGAACATTTGGATCCGACACGAAAATTTAAAAAAATAAATATTTTATTGAAAATATGATAAAATTAAGAAGGCAGCTGAAGACATTTGTTGTAAATAAATGTGGAATGAAAGACAATAATTAAATGTTGATTTATTGACTTTGTCAAAATTAATGATGAGGTAAATTTAGGGCGGACAAACTAAAAGAAAAGTATGAGTAAATTGGCTGACGAAGGGAGTATCTATTTTACATTCAAATTTTTACTATTCCCAAAATAATCGAGAACAAGAGAGTTATCAAGAAGTACCTCCGAAATACACAGCCGCTTGACCGCTGCTATAATGTGTCAATGCACCGAACAAATTGGTGTTGTAAGCGAGAGCCAACGCTGCCAGCACGGCCGGCACTCCGGCCGCCAAATGCATGGCCAAAAATGCCGAGTACAACGCGCCCACATGGCCCGTTTGGCTCGCGAATAAATAGTGGATCAGAAAGTAAGAAGCTTGTAGAACGCCGAAGGCGGCCGGCCAGCTCAGCGACAACGACTGCAGCGATTTGGCTACACAGCTCGACATCCAGTTTACGATGCCGAGATTCGTCAGCTGGCCGGCCATGCCGACTAAAATCGCAAACCACGACAAAGTGTCCCATGCCGACTTCTCGTTCAAGCAGTCGGACCATTCGAGCACACCCAATAGCAAAAGTATCGACAAACCGAGCATGGCGGCGATGACGCTCGCAATTCCGAGCTTCTCTCTGCATAAAAAGCAAATTATGATTAATGATCGAATAGTAATCAGAAACATAAAAAAATACAGATTTGCGTGGTTCACCACCAACGTGTTAGCTACGTCCACAGACATAAACGGATAACAGATTTATCGAGGACGACTACGTTACATATTAAAAATTTCATATATCTAAGTCTATTTAAATAAACTAAATGTGTGTTTGTTTGGGGATTGAATTTTATATTGAGATTCGAATAGTAAAAATTTTGAATTAGAATAATTATATAATGTGATAAATAGGTCGTTATGTAATATTTTAAATATAAAATTAATTTTTAGTATAATATAAAAAAAAAAAATTAAGTATTTGATTTGATTTTTTTTGGGAAAAAAAAATTGGTGAATAGTAAAAATTTTAACAAATCTCTCTAACAACACATCCTCAGAGAATACATCAAACGGGCTCAGCTAAATACGAATTCAAAAGTCCAATACTATATATCGTCGGGCCGGGCTACTCCGCGACCCCGACCCTAAGCAAGGGGGGACTTCACCCCCCTTGATCCCCCAATTCGTTGACCCCCGTGAAAACTCAGCGAAGTGGCAACCTAGATTCAAGATATATCAACAATTTTATATGACATGAAAATACCCAAGAGAATCGACTGGATCCCGTCCAAAAATCGCTGCCAATCATTACAAGTAACTATAAAAGAAGGTCTATTTTTGAGAGTCGAGGAAGTAAGCATACCCGAAAATCCATAGAGAAACTGCAAGAAGCATTGTGGCGACCATAATCCATTCGTTTTTTGAGACGGGCCCCATAAGCTCCAATCTCTTTGCAGCCATTGCGGGGGCTTCGGGCGTGTCTTTGGTCTCGGGCGGAAAGAGTTTGTACAAGATCAATGGTGTGACTGTAAGAGAAATAAAGGCGGGTAAACTTGCAGCCTTGAACCACGAAATCCATGGGTTTGTAATAACCACGCCGAGTTCCTCCGCCAGTTTCAGACACAGCAGATTTTGAGCTGCAGCAGTTAGGAAAAGGCCGCTAGAGTTACCAGCAGACTGTCATGTGTCGAGAAAACGTCACATTCACTTATGTACGAAGTCAAGAAAGCAGATTATATGCAAATGTATATATGTTATGTAATAACGAACAAAACTCAAACTTTAAACATATGAACAAATTCTTGGGGATAGTTTAGTTTGAAACTTTATCCTAAATTTATCATAATGAAACTCCATTTGAACAAATCCTAAATTAGAGCCACTTGTAGAATGGTAACAATTCCGAGCAAATTTCCGAAGAACAGATGAACAATACATTAAGTTATTCACAATGGAAATGTAATTCGAATATTTGCGGCGATACGAGTAGTCGTAGTAGCAACTGAAATAAATGTTGCAAGAAAGGCTTTTTAGAACATGCTGCAAAAGCTTTTGTATCTTCAAACAATGGATTCGGCTGTAAGAATGAATTTATTATGGATCTAATCTAATCTAATCTAACTTAGAGCAAACTATTCCAGACAACATTGAACAGCACAAACCAAAGAGATTCAGAATCACAAACATGGAGTGAAAGACAATCGAAAAACTGAAAGATGTAGACAAAACAAACCTGAAATTGAGACTGCACTAAATAGGATCCGAGCTTCTTCTTGGAGGGGTCGTCGGGCTTACTTCCGGCCGACAGAGATAACGACTTGATGATGGGTAAGAACACGCCGCCGGCTCTGGCGGTGGTGCTGGGCATCGCCGGCGCAATCAACGCCTCGCTCAAGGTCAGGCCGTAGGACAATCCGAGGGTGCTTTTCCCTAACCATTTGACGAAGTAAGTGGCGATCCTGTCGCCTAATCCTGTCTTGACGAAGCCGCGGGCGAAAAAGAAGGAGATGACGATGAGCCAAATAACCTCGTTCGTGAACGCCGAGAACGCCGTCGCGAAGCTGAGAGTCCGGGTGAGGACGGCGGCGGTGAGGGCGACGAACGCCCACGCGCCGACGGGGAGAGGGCTGAGGACGAGGCCGGTGATGGTGGAGAAGAAGATGGCCAGCAATTGCCACGCCTGAGGGGTGACTTCGGGGGGCCTGGGGACGGCGAAGCGGAGGGCGACGCCGACCGCGATTGAGATGATTAATGGAACGGGTTTCGCCCCCTTCCACGGCGGAGGGGGTGCGGAGTCCGATTGTGCGGCGGCGGCGGCGTCGGCGGAGGCGGCGGAGATGCTGAATTTGGGGTTTCGTCGGGGAGTGTGGAGGGAACGGAGAAAGGAAGGTTTTAGATTTCCAACACGGGCGTGTTGGAGGAGAGGTCGGGCGGCGTGGGCGGCGGGTGGGGTGGGGGGAATGGAAGCGCGGCGGTGGCGGAGATGGGGGAGGGCGGTGGAGGCGGCGGCGGCCGGAAACCGGAGGGCGACGCTCTCCATCGGAGATGGGCGGAGAGATCGAGAGTGGGGGCGGAGAGATCAAAGGTAATGAGCTATGGCGTCACGAGTGACACCGCCGCAGAAAATGCGACATTGGAAGGAAGTGCAGGGTGTAATAAGATAACAAATGTGTGTGCTGCAAATATGCTTTACTTTATTATTTATTTATTTTACTATTTATTTTTCTTTGTCTTCTTATTTATATTTTGAGGATGTTTTGGAATCAGCGTTTTGAAGAGTTTTTAACTTATTAAACGTTGTTTGATCAGTTAAAAAGTTAGTTTAGGTATTTGGTAAATTAATTTTTTGAAAGAGTTTTTTGACCGAAAAAGCTAATTTCTGAAAATCTCATCTATCCAGCGTTTTGAAAGAGCTTTTTCATTTTAATTTTTGTTATTCCTTATTTACCTTTAAAATTTAATTATTAATTTTATACATATAAATATATTTTTATAGCAATATTTATTAATTATTTTTAATATATTTAATTTATTAAATTATATTTTTATTTTTAAAATTTAAAATAATAATTATTATTAATTATTATATACACGAAAAAATTTATTATTTTATATTTTACATAATTTTAATAAAAAAGTATTATTTTTTAGTAAAAATAATTTTTCAAATTTAAATAATAAAAATAAATATAAATATTTTATAATATTTTTCTAATTTTCAATAATTAATAACAAAAATTCTCATAAATTTCAAACCAAAATAAACAAAATTAAATATTTTTAAAAATAACATGTCAATGTCCTTAATAGTATAAACCACTAATGTCAAAAAGTTGTTTTACCAAACACTTTAATATAAAACTCTAATTGAATCAGTCAAACCAGCTAATTGAATCACCTAACAACTAAAAGCTATCAGCTAATTGCCAAACGCACGCTTAAACATATTTAATGTTACTAGGATGTGTTTGTTTGAGGGATTTTGCCAAAAATTTTATTATTAATCTAAATTTTTTTTTTCAAAAATATCATATCAAATTTTTATTTTTATTTTCTATATTATTCTAAAAATCAATTTTACATTTAAAATATCGACTCTTATTTATATCATATCATACAATTATTCTACTTTAAAATTTTTATTATTCAAAATTCAAACGTCCAAACAAACACACCCCAAAATATACTTTTGTGAAGAGGATTTTTTTGTACCATGTTTTGTGTGAGTTCCTATTTGACTTAGGAAGTTATTTTTAAATAGCTTTTTTATTTTAATTTTAGGTATTTTTCATTTATCTTTAAAATTTAATTATTTATTATATATATAAATATATTTTTATAATAGTATTTATTAATTATTTTTAATATATATATAAATATATATAAATATATAAACTTAATTATTTATTTTACATATATAAATATATTTTTATACCAGTATTTATTAATGATTTTTAATATATTTATTTTTTGTAAATTTAAAATAATTACTATTATTAATTATTACATATAAATTATTTTATTTGTAAAATATATAAATTTTTAAAACTAAATCAAATATAAAAAAACAAAAGTTATTAATTTATTTATATATATTAAACAATAATTAACATAATAAAAATATATATATGAAAGATTTATTATTTTATATTTTACATAATTTTAATAAAAAAATTATTATTTTTTAGTAAAAATATTTTTTCAGATCTAAATAATAAAAATAAAAATAAATATTCTATAATATTTTTATAATTTTTAATAATTAATAACAAAAATTCTCACAAATTTCAAAATAAAATGAACAAAATTAAATATTTTAAAAATAGCATATCAATGTTATTTTACCAACTAATATCAAACAATTGTTTTACCAAACACTTTAATACAAACCGGTAATTGAATCATCTAGTCAAACCAGCTAATTGAATCAGCTAACACTTAACAGTTAAATTAATTGAATTAGCTAACAGCTAAAAGGCCAAACGCATCCTGAATTGTGGAGTATGCATATACTTAGTATTTTTTTTTTTAAATAATGTTTTGAATATAATGTTTTTTTCTTTTTTTTTTTTCTTTTTTTTGAATGTGTTAATACACAAATATATAAACATCTACTTCCTCCGTTTGAAACGAAGTATTTATTTGCTTTTTGCACGTAGTTTTAAAAATATTAATATTATATTGAAATATGGTAGGAATAAAGTAGAAATAATTAAAATAACCTTATTAGTATGTTTGATCAGTGATACAAAGGTAATGATATTTGTGTAATATATTGTAAGTTGTAAGGATATTTGTAATGTTAAGTAGAAAGTACAATTACTAATAAAAAAAATTGGATACTTTGTTATGGGACGAAATAAAATGAAGAAATGGATACGAGAGGAAAGGAGTATATGAAAATCAAATGTGGACAATCTCATATTGTATAGTTATATTCTCCAAATTGTAATACTTTATTGATCATAAAGGTCAAACAGTTCAATTTGTTAACTCCTTTTGCATATTATTATTATTATGATGATGATGATGATGATGTAAGCAATTGGAATGTGAAAGGCACTTTGAAGGAATTAAGTTGAAGAAGTTGACCTGATGTGATGTGTAACTGACCGCTGGGTTAGAGCAAGCAAGGGTATCTGCATCTCATGGCATGTGATTGTTCTCGTTTTTATTTATTTATTTTTAAACACTCTTCCATTATTAATTTTACTTTACAAATATTGTGCTATGATTCTTACAAAAATATAATATATAATAAATATTCATAAAAAATAAAAAAATCATTATGCATACAATTAAATTATAAATTAGATAAGATATTTTATAAAATCAAATTTTAATGTAATTTTTAAAAAATGGTAAGAATTAAATATTTAAATAGTAAATTAAATATTCCCTTTGTAGTGAAAAAGATAAAAATACCTGTATAATATAAGTAACGGCTAATATAGTGTAAATTAAAATAATATTTATTATGTTAGATATGTAGTTCAGTTCAATCGTAGATTTGATTTCCGTTGCATACGTGAATGTGTACATGTGTACGGAAATAATAATTGTTCCAATAAATAAATAAATAAATAAATAAAAGGACTTGCTACCGTAGAGCCACTAGTAATTTTAATTATAAAGCAAACCAATTTACATAGAGCATTCATTCTCACCTCTAACTGCACCATATTTACTACATACTATAAAGCATCGAATCCCTATCATGTTTCCTACACATCCGCAATTACGTGAGGTTCACCTCATCGATTTCACGCAGTTTTTGGAGGATGAGGCGTTCTTGCTTCGTATCTGAGCCAAAATCAATCAGGAAAACAACAATCTGATGATGCTACTGTAAAATAATAAAGAGGGATCATTTAGTTGTTGTATTTCTAGACATTAGTTTTAAAATGTATCTATCTATATATATATATCCAAGGATACAATCTTCATCCGGGTTATCGGTGAAATTGGAGTGCAATGCATTTCCAACACTGTCCACGATTGCTGAGGTAGTCATTGATGATTCGATGCATAGTATGGCCGTGATCGCATCCAGCAGAGTCACCTCATTTCGGAACATCAGCCTCGCATGTGCTGTGCCATGTTGACATATTTGAGAATGGAAATTCGAAACATAAATTAAAAGGCAAATGGAGTGTGGTGGTGTGTGTACCTTGAGCAAGGCGGATCAAACTTTCCAGCATACGTACGGTTGTTCTTGCTATCCACGTAAGTTATTTGACAAAGATACATTAAAAAGACTGATAATGCAACAAAATGGGGCAAATATTGTATATGTAAAACCTGCATTCTGTGCAGCTGATCTTCTTTGGAGCTGGTAGTAGCTTGAAATAATCTTTTCTGCTTCATTTGTAAGGACAGGTCGAAAATATCCTTTCACAAAATGTATGTAGCTGCCAGTAAGTTGCATTATCATGTCAATAGTCTATTGGAAAATAATAATCACGGTAACAAGGACTGTTAATTGTGTATGAGTTACGAAAGGGACAAATGGTCTACAAGAAAAAACAAGAAAGTGTAGACCAGCATAAAAAGTGCAAGTAAGCTCAAGCAATTAAATTTCGAAGTTTTCGGAACATACAAGATTAGCATCACTTAAAGCCGTGAGTGAAACAGGAAATATTGCTCGACTGAAAAGTAAAAAGTAGAAAAGAACATTTAATCACTTAAACTTACCGCCTAAGCATGGTGAGGGACCAAATTTCAGTTAAATTTTCATCCTGGTTTCCTTTCTTCTGTTCAGCCTGTAGATTACAGTGGAAGGAATACCAATGTGTTCAAGGTCATAACAAAACTGTATCCGGAAAATATTGAAAAGGCTATTAACTATTTTATTACCTCCGAAAGAATGTGAGAAGAAACAACTGCATCCCACTGCGGATTCTTGGTATCCAAGAGGACAAGAACTATATCAAATCTGCTGATCAAGGGTCCAGAAAGGGTGGTGTTGACCGAAAGAGCTAGAGAGAATTAAGGAATGGCATAGCTAGGAGGAGATCAGATAATGCACAACTTTGAATTTGAATTGAATAATCGTCAAAGAACTCCACAAGTGAAAATTGTATAATTTGCACACAAAAGACTTGCCAAGATACGCATGAAACAAAGACTATACTTTATATGAAGAATAACTGCCATATAACTTAAGATATATAATTCTGAAGAGGATACATTGATCAGGATCGTATTGTCCTTTTGGATTTGTTGCACCAAACACAACTGTTCTTGTGCTTAGAGTTGTCACAAGACCAGCCTGAAGATTTCATGAATGTGGCAGGTCATAAATTTAAACATCTAGTGAGAAAAGAATGACTTCTACTAAACAAAGTTACTTTTGTCAAGAAATATATGATACAGAGCAATCTCCAAGCAGATTTTTGTTAATACGCTCAAAAGACACATAAGAAATTGCTCGCGATTATGAAGGTTTACTCCAAAATTTACAAAGATAGAACAAACCAAGGCCACAAAAGAATGGTGTGATACTTTAATAAATAATCACAACGAGAGTTTACTCCATAGATACCTACTAAGTTCTTAAAGCATACCTTGGCCACACTAATTGTTTGTTGTTCCATAGCTTCATGAATGGTTGCTCTATCATGTTCTCTCATGCTGCAAGGATATATATATATATATATCTTGAAGACTTAAAAGTAAACTTAGCAAGATTATCCACCATTATAAACACAATCAAATGAACCTCAAGCATGAATGCAAGATAGGTATCCAAAACTGAGTTTGTGTAATTTTTTTGAACAAAGATACTTAACACAATGAATGTTAGGAGTCAAATTGGACCTAGAAATACCTTAACTTTGTTCCAATTATGCAATGATCAAAGATGGAAGAAGTAACTAAGATGCACCATTATTGACAACAGATATTGCTGTCTTCTCAGACAAAATAAAGAAATTTAGAGATTGCATGATGCCAATTGCAGCTCTGCTGAGATGATTTTGTATTTTAAAAAAGTATATACTTTAGAAGGAAAAATTTACAATATCAATTTTCTCTTAAAACAGACCATACAAAAATAATGGCGTTTCAAACTACCTATCAAATTCATCTATACAGCAAAGACCACCATCTGCCAATACTAGGGCTCCAGCTTCCAGCATCCACTCCCCTGACAGGTTCGCAATACGCCTCAGTAAGATATGACATGATGAAAGAATAGACATGGATACATTCCTACTAAGTCAGTTTTGAGATACATTATATACATATATATAAAGCATTGCAAAATTATTGTAGAGCTTAATGATAGGAATACCTGCATCCTTGACAGCTGTGACAGTCAGCCCGGCGCTAGTGCTCCCTAGTCCAGTAGTAATCACAGACCTATTGCTCAACTTAGCAGCAAATTTCAAGAACTGAGACTTTCCAGTGCCTAGTCAAGTCAAATTGATTAGATGTGCAGAAATTCATGCAATTGATCCTATCAGAGGACCATCAGAAAATTTCTAGACTTGGATGAATGTTGGGATCCATCAGTTATAACTTGACTTCATGACTCCATGCAAAATAAATGTTGTATATTAAACAAGTGTTAGCTTTAGTTATGCAATTTTATGATTTGTTATTAGAACGCCATGATTGTAATTAGGATATTGCAGTTTATTAATTACACAGAAGTGTATTTAATAATTTTTTATTTCTCTTGTAAAATTTTAATCATTTTCTTAATTGTAAGGATTGGTACAATGCAGTAAGAATAACAAAAACACAGGATTAATCAAGAAATGCAGAAAAATGGATAATAATTGTTCCTTACTTTCATATTTAATAATATCAAGAAGATTGTGGTTCTGATAAAAAATAAATAAAAAAATTGTGGTGCTTGGATCATTATTTTCTACTTTCTTACAAACCATGTTCAGATTATAAGCAATTCAAGGAAATGATTAATAGTGAAGTTCCATGTATGGTGTGTATTCCTTTCACTTAAGGGAATTCACAAGGAAAGCTGCAAGGGTTTTTTTTTTTCCTCCAAATTTTGCTTGTCAATCATGATTATAAATATATTACTTCATCTTAAAAAACATCATGTCCAAATTACTATTCAAATAAAAACCAAAACAAAAATTCCAAAAAAATATAAATAATAATAACAAACCTAACACACAGTTTCTTCTATTGCAAGGTTGAAGAGATGTTTTGAAAGCTCAAACAAATATTTTCTGTAATAAATTTATTTGTCTGAACTGTAATTAGGACAATAGGATTGTAAGAATATTTGAAATCCATTAATAATAAGCATTTGTATTTATATGATTTTTTAATCCCTGAATTCAAGGTAAAACATAACTATAGTACTTAGCTTTAGGGAGCCTGTAGACCTACACAATGTCATTGTTAGCTGTAAGTCTCACATACAACAATAGCTTTACAAAATCTAGATAAATTATTTCTCCTTTCAAGAAGAGGGACAATATGGAAATCAAGCATACAGCCCAGGTTAAAAAATTAGCTGGCATCAAAGGGTTCATTTATGATGTGTCGTTTGCGAGATTTCCCCGAACTTTTACTATTCATCAATATTTTTTTCCTCCAAAAACATCAAATCAATTACCTATTTTTTATTTTTTATATTATACTAAAAATTAATTTTACATTCAAAACATCACATCAATACTTATTTATATTACATCATACAACTATTCTAATTCAAACTTTTACTATTCAAATCTCAATTCAAAATCCAAACTCCCAAACAAACAAACGCTTATTTTTTTGTTTCTGTTTTGGTTTTTGGGTGAAATAGTGTTGGATGTAGTGTTTTCTATGAAAACTTGGCATGTATTTATAGGGAATCATGATGTTCTATATAGTAAAGAAACTAAAAATATATATATAAGGGCAAAGAGTTTAAATTTTGAAATTTTACCAGGATCGCCAACCAATAACAAATGAGACTCTCCGCGTACTTTTGTTCCAGATGCATCAACATGTTGAACGCCTCCAATAAGTGTTAGTGCAACTAAATGGAAGAATGAACTAATACTGGGTAAGTGAAATGCAACTGATATACTAAACACATTCATTTTGATTACTAAGAACTGGAAGTAATGAACTTTTCACCATAAGTTAATAAAAGTTGGACAGTAACAAAAAGTAGTGTAATGTTTCATTACCTGCAAGCTTCACAGTAAAGAGCCCAAAAACCTGTGGGCAGATACCTCGTAGAATAGCATTTCTACCTAGAACATATAATAATACACAAACTCAAACGAATTGATAGAATAATATTTACAACCATAAGCAGCTTCTACCTTTCAATGGGCTATCTTTGAAATCCGACCAGAACTGTTTGAATTTCATAATAACCTCGTCAGGAATGTTTATATCTGACTTCAACTCATTCATCCTCCTAAAGAAATACATTCCCAAAACAGAAAGTGTAAAAGAAGTTCAAAAGAAGCTCCGTTTAAGAAGTTAATAGACTATCACATTTATAATCTTATCACTGAATGCTAGGTTGTGTTCTTTTGTGGGTTTTCCCACATATTTTTACTATTCACATTCTCTCTTCTCTCCAAAAATATCAAATCAAACAATTACTATTCTTTTTCTATATTATTCTACAAATTTATTTTATATTCAAAACATCACATCAACATCTATTTATATCACATCAAACAACTATTCAAATTCAACTTTTTACTATTCAAAAACCCAAACCCACAAACAACGATTGATGTAATTCAGTAGTTGCACGTCCCTTTAGGTGTTATATTTATTGCCTTTATGTCGGTATTCTTTGTAGAGAGATCTTTTTGCCATTAGGTAAATTTTCAAGCTTCATACCAAACAAAGTCGTCCAAGTGGTTATAATTCAGTGATTAAACATTTTTCATATTAATTCCAATAAAACTATTAAGAACCTGTAACAAAACAATGTAATTATTTTGTTCATGTAACATAACAAATGTGCTGAGCAGAACATCTTTGGTAGGAAGCAAATGAAGTTTAAAAAAATAAAATAAAAAATCTAGATACGGATGGAAACTGATCCATCCGGTTGCCTCAGTTCTAGAAAACAGAAAATAAAGAAGACAGGTTAAATATATTAGATTTACCTCACATAATTAGCAATTAATACAGGGTCAAGATCACATCGTACATCCTTTGCATCTGGAGACCATTTAGCAGTCAGAACTCCAGTAACAATTACATCATCTGAAATGGGAAATGAAGAAAATGAATTGCACATATTTAGAGTGAACCTGGACTGAGCAAAGATTTAGAGTATAGACAATCATATAAGGGCTATATGAATTCATTAGAGAAGTAAACGAGTGAAGGGTGGATTACCTAGCAACACATCTGCATACAGTGAATGCATGAATAAATAAATGATGACAAATTAAAAGTGCACTTTTGCCACAATTTGTACCTCCAGCTTTAACTGTGTCCACAAGATCATCCTTCAGAATGACAGTAATTGAACGTGGAATAGCCCCAACACCTAAAACCTGTGTGCTTTCTTGAATTTTAATTTCCTGGTAATCATGGCATATCATTTTGTCTTCTATTATCTGGAATCTCATGCTTTCACAATTCTACATAGAACAAAGGAAGCTTATATCATATGGCAAGCAAGTCATGAATCCAAACAAAATTATATGACATCACAATCTACAGATGTAATCGAAAGCAGAAAGCCAGTGTGTAATCTTTAAAGCTAGAAAATGCCAGTCTGCAAAAATTTCTTAATCTTAGAGTTTGCTAATGCTCAAATCTGTCTAGGTCGAATTCAGAATCAATTAACTTCCGAAAGAGAAAAGTTAACTACTCAGAAAATTATAAATGTATCATAAATTAATACTGCAACACTATTTTTATATTTGCATTTATGGGCTGAAATTTAGAAGCTAAGAACAAGGCATAAGATCTAAGAATTAGTGAACAGTCAACCTAATTTGCAAGTTTTCAACACACCTTATTAAAATTTGCAGAGAATGGAAACTGAAAGAAGAAAGCATGTATATTTCAAGTTGTAGATTTCTTAAGCTAGAGAGAGAGAAATGGACATAAGATTCCTTTAAAGGACAAGGCATAATGCATATATAAAACAAAGGAGGATTTGGTTTCAGGAGAGACCTGAGAAGGGCAATATGTAGGCCGGGGCGTAGAATTTCTTGTTTCCACCTCTGGAAAAACTTTGAAACTACAAGCAAACACTTTGATTTAGTCGAATAAAGAAATGCAGGCACTTAAGGCACAGATTCCTTAAAAAATCCCAAGTGTATTATACACTTTCTAAAGGATCGACAAAAGCATCAACTACCAAAAACAGAACTATCCATATTCACTGTCAATTTTCCATTACAAATTCCTAAACAGCTTATCCTGAATTTAGTTGTGTAAAAAGCTCTGTTAAGTCTCCCAATGTATCTGATAGTCCCTAAAGTTCAAATTTTAGACCTTTCACCAAAGAAAACACAAAACTTTAGGTGTCACGATAATGTTCATATGCATAAATATTACTATCCACTGATCAGTCCAACAGAAGCAAAATACATGGACATCCTACCAGACCTGTGTTTACATACTCGACACTGATAAATCTTTTCACCTTCAATCATCTTTACTGCTCCCGACCTAATCACTGTGCCTTTGAGAGTCAGAAGAATTCCGCGGTGTTTCACTCTAACTTTTCCAATACTCGGAAAAGTTTCTGCATTGTCCACATTAGAAAACAAATACATATATGAATGAATACAAATTGATTAGAAACACATCCTGAAAGAGATTCAAAGAGAAAGTGGCAAATCAAAAGAATCTAAACAAAACTGAAGTTAGAATAGAAAATCTACCTTCACATTCAAGAGGAGAACCGGAGACATTAATCCTAATATGAACAGTGGTCTTCACACTGGCATTTTCGATTTGCTTGAAATCCTCAAAAATCACTCTCTGCACATACAGTTCAAACCAAAGCAACAGTAAGAACATCAAATTCCTCATGTAAATTTCTACCATTTGTTATAATATTTTGCTAAGTACACCAGAATTTAGATTTATAATATGATTTTATTTCACAGGCTAATTATGTCGTCCCAATGCTAAGGATCATGCAGATAGGCTCTTGTTTGCCCCCAAGTAATAATAGAATAAATGGAATTTCGAAACTAGGATCCTTTTGACTATCATCAATGGCAAAATGCATCATCAGCAACCTTTATTGACATTACACCCTAAATTCATCAAAAATACAAAAATAAACCTGAGCCCAAATAGCAGATTCATCAAATTGCGATAAATATTCCGTGGGATGTGAAAAGATAGCGTGTGCCAACTGTGGGTTGTCGTCCATGAGCTCAGAAAAACTGCTTAGAAAGAGAATCAGTTAGAGGGATCTTTTGGACAAGTAATATACATAGTTTATAATGGTTTGAGCAAACTTACTCGACTAGGAGAGGATAATGAAGGCGAGGATCGGATGAAAGGATGATACTTTTGAGTTCCTCTAAATGATGCTTTATCAAGAATCCCGCCATTTCCTTGTCGCGCCCAATGTCGCTCTGGTTCTGCATAGCTACCGCCATCAACGGCCGCGGAGAGGGGGCAAGTTGGGGGGAAGGATACTGATGACTCACTGCACGGTGTAATGAAAAGTACGCGCTCTGTTTGTTTGTGTTGTGTTTGAATTTAAATTAATTTTATGTTCCATGTGAAAAATACTTACTCCCCCTCCCGTATGGAATAGATAATGGCATTTTTTTCATTTTCCATAAAATAATTAAAGTAAAAATTTAATATTTGTATTAATATATAATTATTTTTACTGAAATAATAATAACACTCGAGTAAAAAGGGTTATATTTTTAGTTTTAACTTATAATAGTATGTTTCTTTTAATTTAGTTTTTTATATTAAAATAATATTTGATAAGATATTTTTTAACAAGAAAAAAATAATTTGTTTTTGGATTTTAATTTTTTAGTTTGAATTTTTGAATAGAAAAAGTTGAATTTGAATAATTATTTAATGTAATATAAATAGGAGGTGATGTGATATTTTAAATGTAAATTTATAGTATAATATAAAAAAAAATAAAAATAATTGTTTGATGTGATATAAAAAAAAAAAAATAATTTATGGCTATTGATTATCTCAACATTGGATTATATTATCTTATCATGGGTTGATTTTGTTTTGAATGAATACTAGTTATATTATATAAATCAGAGCTGGACTAAAAAGACTGACCTGATAATAAATTTATATTTTCAGAAATTTAATGTTGACAAAAAAACCAAAGCCTAAACTAATAAAATAAGTTTATATTTTCAGAAATTCTATGTTGACATAAAAAATACCTAAACTTAAAAACAGTAAGGTGTACTTGTTTAGATTTTGGTTCTAACGTTTAAATGATACAAATTTTAAATTTAAATAATTGTATAACGCTATAATTTGACAAATAATAATAAAAAAAACAAATATATAATTTGTAATTTTTGAAAGAATAAATTTGACAAATAAAAAAGTTTTGGTAAAATTTGATATAAAAATAAGAGCCCTAAACTAAGAACCGGGGACGTGAACTAATCCCATATATTTCTTCTTAAACATAAGTGGTTCGAAAATAATACTCCCTCTATCACCTAAATTTGTTTTCGAATACAATTTAGATGACCGAGGGAGTAACAAAAACCACAAAAGAATAGACCCTTTTCTTTCCAATCCAATAATGACATCAAGCTTAGCTTAAACCATCCAATAGTAACATATAATCTAATGATAGATTCATGAACTCACCATTATTGTACCATTTTATATCAACTTCATTTCATGTTTACATCATTTTGCTGTCCTAATGAGTACCAAAACAAAATCTAAAAATTGCATCCACTGCCCAATTAAGTTCAATATCTAACAACATTCCACCAACTCCACACATGCATATGCTGCACTCAGTCACTCCCCTGTTTCTTTACAGCTCCACAGCACAAGTGTGAAATAAATAAATTTAGGTTTTACCGTTTTCTACGCCTCCCTTGAGTAAGGGAAACCTTACTTTATCAGAAAACCGGGATCATTGACCTGCCAATACATCTGCAGCAACTGTCTTGATGGATTCACATGCTTTCCCCAGATCAGATTCCGAATGAGCAGCAGACAAGTACAGTCTAATTCCGACAGGCAACTTGCATTTGTCTACGGTTGATCTTTTTGTCGTTACAACGAAGACAGAATGGTCCTTTAATAACTGCAAAAAGTAGGCTTCACTCAGAAATGTGCAGACTATTGGTTTTGCCATCATGCTTAAGTTTGAAAAAAACAACAAGTAAGATTTGAAGCAACTTACCCGATCAGCAATATCATCTAGAAGTTGAAGATCAGCCTTTGGGGATCCCTTGGATGTCTTCAGTCTTAGAAAAACTATTGGTGATTCACGGTCACTAATTATCTGAAGACCTTGTACATTCAATAAACCTGGAGTTGTTAAAATGTTATATTAGATGTAGCAATGGAGAAAATGATCCCAGAAAATATAATAAGAGTATGAAAAAATTCATCGATCAGAGCATAAGCAGGCTAACCAATTTAGATTAATGGAAAGGGGGGAGTAAGGGAAAAACCTTTATGCACAATAGCAATATTTTCCTTCAACTTTTCAATAAGCTTGGGATTTTCTTCCAGAACATCGATAGCAGTGATTGCAGCACTTGCGAGATAAGGAGGCAGAGAAGCAGAAAATACATAACCAGAACTGCTAAGACGCTGCCCCCCCAAAAAATAAGAATTTGCAATTAGACAAAACAATGAAACTTACAATTCGTGAGCAAGTATGCACTAAAAGTTCTGAAAACGACAAAACCCCAATCATACCAGCCAATCAATTTTCTTTCCGAAACTTGCCTTCAATGAGATCATATTCTGATCCCCTAAAATCATCTTAGGGTGTGTTTGTTTGGGGGATTGGATTTTAAATACACTATTCATCTCATTTTTTCCCTCCAAAAACATCAAATCAAACACCTACTTTTCATTTTTTATATTGTACTAAAAATCAATTTTACATTCAAAACATCACATCAACACCTATTTATATCAAATCAATTTTACATTCAAAACATCACATCATACAACTATTCAAATTCAAAAGTTTTACTATTCAAGTCCCAACTCAAAATCCAAACTCTCAAACAAACACACCCTTAGTTAATCTAGAATGTGTAAAGCATTTCAACACTGCAGTTCTTTATGAAGATATATGATTGACTTTGTTTATTGTTCTTCGATAATAGAAAATGCCCAAAGTTATCAGTAATATCTAAGGGGAATGCATCAAAATTTTTAAAAAATTATGTCAAGGAGAATTCTGCTAAAAATGAATCAGTATATGGTGCTCATTCCTCTAAGAGAATGTATATTACAAAAATTCAAGGGGAATAACAGCACAAAGAAAGGAAGCTCCAGACAGCAACACTCGACCAATCCTACTTTCTAGTTTGACATACCGACACAAGCACGTTTGTATGTGGGCAAATGTGTCATTATTGTGAAAGTATAACTTTAAGGCCATATTCGGCTAACAGTTTTATTAATCACACAGACACATCCACAAATAGAAAGAGTTGAATGCTTCAAGCAAACTAATTTCCTCCTACAACTCCAATGCAAACACGTCAATGCCAACTCTATTATTATTGAAGCATCTGTCGATGCAACTATACTATCTACAAAATATAGGTATACCTGGTGATCAATCACTCTAGCACTTCCTGTGCAGAATCCTCCCTCAGTGGCCAATGCATGTCCCATTGCAGCAGTAATAATGTCCACTTTCTCAATCTGCAGCAGGAACAGGAACAGTATTGTGGATAAGTGGACAATTATAGAACCAACTAATCAGCAAGGTGGTTGAACTTACTGGAACTTTGTAATGTTCTGTTAGTCCTCTACCAGAACTTCCAAGAACTCCAAGTGAATTGCTTTCATCTAATATTACACGGAACCGATGTTTCTCCTTCAGTCTTATGATTTCATCCAATGGTGCAATTTGACCAGAATTCTGTAATTGGCCCAATCTATGTTAGATAAACTTCATAAAAGAATCCAATCCAAAACCAAACCTAACATGTCAGTTAAAAAAAAATTCTAACAGAGGGAATCACATAGAACTGGTAAATAAAAACCAGACTAGGGACTCCAAAAATTAAGTGATTGGTGATAAAAGCAAATCCGACAGCAAACAAGAACATCGAACCCTACAGACCCTATTTCCAATTTGACTTGAACTAAGTCCCCAATAAACACCAATATGTCATCAGATGCAAGCCAAGGAATAATACATTCTTGTAACATCTGTAGGAAACAATACCTGATAGACAGCTTCTACAATGATATACCGCCTAAGCTTTTTTGCTCTTTTGTTGTCACGTGTAAAGTTTTCCAGAATAGACTCTAAAGACTTCATATCATTGTGCTTGAAGTAAATAATGGTACTCCTGGAAAGGTGAAGGCCGTTTTGTATTCCCCAATGCACACCTTCATCACTGAAAAGGTCGTCAGCACCACCAGAAGAAATGTGAAAACAAAAATAAATAAAGAATAACAAACTAACACACAATGAGTGCAATTTTAGAAAATGATTAACAAGCTCAGAAGAATGCAATTAACTGGTTAATTATGCATCTTTGCACTATGAATTTTTAATTATGTAAGTATATATATAAAGTGCAATAGTCTGTCAAAAGATAAAAGGAAGTAAACAATGTTGGAAAATAAATTCCAGCTGGATTGCATGCTGCACTCTACAATTCCATTAATTGACAAATTTTTAATAAAAGTACAGCCAAGAGAGACTCACACAACAATGATATCACCCTTCTTACAAAATGCTGGAATGGCACTAAACATCGTGGAAAGGCCATAGGAATAAAGTATAGAATCAGAAGTTCCAAGAAAATTCGCTATTCTGGCCTCACAATCAAGGTGAACATCTGCATCAATAAATATGCTCGCACAGTCTCAGCACTGCTTATGTTTAAGCATGCATATAACATGTCAATGCCAAATCATACCAATTGTCCCATAAAATCCACGAGGACCACAAGAGCCTACGCCATATTTTTCCAGAGCTTTGACACAAGAATCCTGGTTTCAACAATGCTATAAGGTGACAAAATGTTCGATAGAGAACTATAGTCATAAACGAAAAAATAAAAAATTGTTTACTTGTAGGTTGGGATGCCCTATAAGACCAAGGTAATTTGCGGCAGTGAAATTTACAACATCTTTGCCATCAATCACAACATGGGGTCCTGCAGCACTGTAGAAGCAAGTTGTGTAATTGAAAATTGTTTAGGGGTTTGAATTTTGAGTTGGGATTTAAATAGTAAAAATTTTGAATTGAAATAGTTGTATGATGTGATATAAATAGGTATTGATGTGATGTTTTGAATGTATAATTGATTTTTAGTATAATATAGAAAATGAAAAATAGATATTTGATTTGATGTTTGGGGGGGGGGGGGGGGGTGATTTTGATGAATAGTATAAAGTCTCACAAATCCCCCAAACAAACACAAGTATTAAGGTTACAACATTACAATAAAATATGCATATATTCATATATCCAGTTATGCATTTTATACTTCTATAGTAAACTTGATGACTAGACATGAAAACATGAGAAGCTTTTGAAGTACAAACAGAAACCTACAGATATAAGATGACCATCAATAAAGAAATTATCATCATTCATCCCAGTGGAATCTATGTTACAAGCATATCTACATAGTTCCTTTTGTTCTTATAATCGTTATGATCTATAGAAAACATACTAACTGAAAAGGTGAAATAAATCTGCCATTTACATCATCTGAACAAAAATGAACTTCAGGAATACATGCACTGAAAAGATTCACCTTTCCAGTATGGGAGGTTCATACTTCATATCCTCCGTAATAGGAGGGATAAGTGGCTCCGGGACCCATTCGTCGCATAATTCATCTACTTCCTAAAAACCATTAAGGTATCACATCCATCAGCTTGGATAGAAAATGACCAGAAACAAAAGATTAATTATAAGAAAAACCATTTACCACGACAAAAACCTATTGGTAACAAAAAAAAAATTGTCCATCCAGAAAGTTAGAATGCAGAGTATAATCTTTACGGTGAAATTAAGTCTTCGTACCTTCTTGGTCAATGGTCTTTTAGGTGGCTTGTAACTTTTCTGAGAGAGAAGAAAGAGAATTACAACTAAGAGAAGACCCTCCACAAGAAGATGGCCTACAAGATATGATCAGATGGCTTAGTTCTTACACTATACAGTAGAATTATCACAATAGATATCTTATATTGTAATAAAGGAAAAGACATATATAATGTACCTTTGATGGGCACTCCAAAGACAACAGCCCTTGCAGATGGGGTATCCAACGCCAAGGTCAACCAATCTGAGGCAGACTTTACAAAAGTTTGAAACATTGGTAACATTGCATCCATTATGTTAACTGGAACACAAAGAATGCTACCACCAAGTTAAAGAAATACAAAGAGGCGTCCTCTTTAGAACGTAATGATGTAGTGCACTTTGATTCCTCTTATTAGCACACGACTACAGCAGCTTTATGTATGCAACTGTTCTGAAAATCAACAGCGACCAAATTAAATACTAGTAATTAGCAAGACATTATCATGACACAAAAACAAGGGTATATATAAATTGAATAAAACTAGATTACAGACAAACCAAAAAAAAAGGAAAGAAATAAAGAAAGATAACACTCGCGCACACAGTAATAAATTAATAATCCATTACAATTGGTCAAAAATATTATGTATTTAATACAAAAGTCTGAAGCTAAACATAATAATCTAAACCCCATATCCTTCAGGGGTATATCAGATCCTATAGATCAAATCATATGAGAATCTGTGTATACTCGTGTTTTTCTGTTTCCTAAAAAGAAAAAGCAATCATTTCTGTATTAATGAAGCGCAAATCAGATATTAACATGCTCAGAGAATAAATACCGGATATAAACAATTCTACGCCGTGCGATAAGCATTTCACAATATGAATCAATAAGATCTGATTGAGAACACAACAGGCTCTTCTCATCAAGGTGATAATCTCATGAAATCCAAACTAAATCAGGACAAAAATGAATGGGCTTCAAATAGCAAATCCTTAAATCGATGAAACGGATGCTTATAGTCCGATCAAAGCAAAATAATTACAGAAACGCGCAGGGTCCAAATTCTGTAGAAACGCAACAAGGTATCCAGCAGAAAGAACTCGGAAATAAGGAACAGGCAATACCCAATAGCAATTAAAATACGTACAAGAAAAAGAGAACACTAATTCAACAAACAGACAAATCAAGCGAGATATTATCACAAAAATTGCGTTCAATAGGAAATCGATAAAGTGATTTGCATTCAACGTAACCTAGTTAACGCAGAAGTTGAGTGGAGAACGTGGAATGGAATTGAAGGAGAAGAAAGGAAGAAGATGATGCAATACGTTAGCGGTTAGATCTGGACTGAGTATGTGGACGCACCATATGCATATAGAATGGAATGAACCACAATTACAATTCAGCTAACTTGTGCATAAATATGAGAAAGATTCGAGAACTTGCTGTTGCAGTCCGGTCGAGGATACCTGACCCTGACCCTGACCCTGACCCTTAACCGACCCGATATGACCCGACCCGGACCATTGGGGTGGCCCAACTCAGGTTGTCTATAAGTCCTGCCCAATCGGTTTCTAGCCGTTGATTTTATTTTTCAATCTCTTTTATTTTTTATTTTTCAGAAAAAAAAAAATAAAAATATAGGAACCTTAATTTGACCGAATAACATGATGAAGAAGGATGAGAAAAATAATAAAAAGAAGAGGAATAAAAGAAAATTTTGACAAGAAAGAAATGAAATAACGAGGAGAAGAAGACGAAAGAGAGATAAATTGGTGTGCCGTGGCTGTGATGTAAAATTATTAAGGCAAAATATATTATATTTTTTGAGAAATATATTGAAACTTTTTGAATAAAAGAATAAAATTGAAAATAAGAAAAAATTACTTTGATGTGAAATTTTATAAATATATATATATATATATATTAAATTTGATATTTTTTTCGAAAACTAGATAATACCAAAATTAAAAAATATTGTATAAACAGAAGTGAGAGATTGTGCTAACGTATATGTAACAGCATGTAGCGGTACAAAACATGCCTATGTTCTATGAGTCAACAGGTACATGAAACACGCCTGTATGTTTTTGTAGTATATGATTCATACTCTATCTATCATGGTTTTCCTTTTAGGTTATTTTCCATTTTGTATTGGCTTTTGTTTTGAACTTATTTTCCTATTTGCATGCGCATTAGGTAAATTTTAATTGGCTGAACCAAATAGCCTATAAAGTAGGCCTCACAAAACAAATCATACTAGCGAACTAGGTGTGGCAAACTCAGGGTCAGGGTGATGGGCCACTTCACCTATCACTTAGGTTGGAAGTGTAAATCTTTTTTAACATAGTATCAAAATCATGATGTTCGTACTACTGTATTAAGCATTGATTGTGTATGAATTTTCAAAATTATCATCTCTGTGGGTGGCGGTGAACGGTCACTCCACCTATCATCAATTATTTTAAGTTGAAAGTCTAGGAATTATCTCTGTCCCTGCAGACCATCTGGACAAATTTTTTCCCTTCATCTTTTGGCAGAGCAGACAATGATCCATACACAAATACTAATTAAAACGATTCTTACTGAGAGGGAAGAAGATATAGCATTGAATTGTCCTTAGTTATAATATGTCTCTCTGTCAGTCAGTCAGGACAACCAAACCATATTCAAATCTGTTCTCATTTCTTGATCTCTTCCCATAACTCCCTCCATCGTCAATCATTCATCTCTGATCTTAATCTTCAGCCCCCAAACCCAAAGTTATTAGTATTATTAATTAGTAAACAAAAAAATGTACATCTGAATGAATTCTGATGGATGAGAGAATAAGAGAACCAAAACAGAGATCCCTCCCCTCCCCTCCCCTCCCCTCCCTTAGAGGCCAACAACAGCCTGCAGGGGGACTTGTTTCGCCATCGATCGAGCCGCCACGAGGCCGGCAGCCAAAGCTGCCCCGAAAATGGTGTGCAGCCTCACGCACAAGTATTTTCCCATAAAGATCTTCGAGTTGTCCTGCACAGTCAACATTCAAATTGATCAAGAAATTGATACTGATAATTCATTGTATAAGTAGCATTCAATTGGGACTCACCCTGTGGTTCTTTTGAACAAAGTTAACGACCAAACCTCCCATGGGTAGTGTCAATGCGCACAAAAGCTAATAACAACAACAATTCAAATCGAATCAAAATTACTCATCCATCCATCTATCACAGGGCAAGTTTTTAATTAAAACCGAGAATAGTGTGCAATACTTACGACGCTGGCGAATGGGAGAGTGTTGGTCATTCCGAGGATGAGCACGAACGTGTAGAGCCCAAGAATGGACCATTTCACGACATGGGAGCCCCTTTCAGTACCCAGCCTCACCAGGGGAGATATTTTCCCGGCAGCTCTATCGCCTTTTATCTGCGAAAAAATTGGTTTGATGTATTGAGCTAATGAATTTGACACGATGATATGAATTTGGAATTGGAATTGGATGGAGTGAGGACTAACCTGATGGAAATGGCTGCAGAAGAGGATCAAGGATGTGGTGAGACCAATCAGAATCGATGACCAGAGGACAGTGCCGGAGATTGGCAACTCGCTGTAATAGACAACAATTATATATACGTTCTGTTAGAGATTAAAGTTGAAAGGAAAGTATGCACAGATATGTTGAAGGGGGAAAGAAGAGGAGACTTTTTGATGCTGTTGAGCAAGTAGAAGCCGAGAGTCGAAAACGGGCCGTATGCTAGAAAGAGTAAAGGCTCTCCCACTCCATAGTAGCTTAGTCTAAAAGGTGGACACTGCAAAATTCGTTAACACATTTCCAGATTGTGAGAAAGGAGTCATCTCTATATGTAATGGAAGCCAAATTGGTACTCTGTTTGTATTACCTGATAAAGATAGAAGCCGAATACTGCGGCTGCGATAAATACCATGGGTCGAAGGCTTCCGGTTTGTGCAGCTATCATGGTAAGCCCCGAGAAACCGAGAGCTAGCAGCGACCAGGCTATGAAATTGATGCCGTTGCGGCTTGATAACCAATAAAGGATTCCATCATCAGCCAACAATCATATGTACATATAGAGCACACAAGTTTATGTATATTCATGGCTATTTCTATCTCTGTTTCTGTTTCTTACCTGCCGAATAGATTGACAACTGACTCTTTCTTATCCTTATCGGCTCCGGTGTCGAAATCGTAGACATCATTGCTGCAAGCACAAATTGGAAGTGAGTGAGTGGATAGATTTGGGGGGAATAATGTTGTTGATAGATCGGTGGAATGAATGCTAAGAGATTTGGACCTTAGATTAACCCAAACGTTTATGATCACGTAGCATGCCAGGATTGTCAAGTATCGGCCTAAGGAAAACACGCCGGTTTGGTAATACGCGGCGGCGCTCGCCACCTGCACGGCCGGAAGTCGTCAGATGAAGTTTCTGTGGCTGGAATTTTGATTTAATAACGATTAATTGCAGAGACTTACAGTTACGGGAATCAAAGCGACGGTATACATAGGCAGTTTGGCTGCTCGCCAGATCAAAGTTGCTCGAGAAAGTTCCTCCTCTTCTCGAACCTTCACAGATTCCTTCCCGACCTGGCTGCTTTCCATTCCGGCGGCGTCTTCCGTGGGGGCGATTGTTAGCTCTGCCGCCTCGCACTTGAGCAGATTTTTCTCAGCTTTATTGCCGATTTTGGTGCTGAAATCTACACGATTAATGTTGGAGCACGACGTTTGAGGCCAACGGCGGGTGAGAAGCGGTAGCCCTTGCGCAGCAATCGGAGCAGCCAACGGAAGTGAGCATTTCCTGATTAAATCATACTCATTAGCTATATGGCGATCGATTAAGAAATTCGAAGCAGCGGCGAATATGTAAACGGGAATTGATTGGGCGAAATTACCTGTGAAGTGGATTCCTCCTGGCGAAGTAATCCTGAGTGATTCTGGGGGTTTGTATTCTGCAGAGCGTTGCCGCTGCTTCCATCGTCTCCGCCGGTTAGAGAGAGAGAGAGAGAGAGAGAGAAATCGATCTAGGTCCCCTGAAGAACTCCTGCTAGTGCTTGTGCCTGCGTCCGTCTTTAGATACATACATATATATATACAGTTTTTGTTTCTACCGACGAGTATATATGGTAACTGCATATATTGCATGTTTATTTATTTATTATAAATAAAAATAATAATTCGCTATGGAGTATGCATAATGCACGTTGCATGTTGATTGCCGCTTTCTTGTATAGTGTATTGTAGTGTACGGATAACGAAATGGGTATTTATTATTTAATACTCGCAGTTTAAAAAATATTTATATTTTAATAATAGTAAGAATTAATTTTTATATAAAGATTTATTTATTTATCTTATAGGAGTATTTTAATTTGATGCAATTATATTTATATAAGTAAATATAGATTCAGTTGTACTTTTTATAATATATAATATGACTAAATTTATTAAAAAATGTATATAATTTATATTTGAAGAACTAAAAATAACAAAATGTATATTTAAGGAAAGAATATTAATAACTATTATTATTATATATATATATATATATATTTTTATGACATAGTAATCCAATCCCCAGTCGAAACAAGTCACAAGTCCAACCCTACACCATTAGGCTATCCTTTACGGGACTGTATTTATATATTTTGATAAAGTTAGAATTTGCCGTGGTTACTGCTTTGGGTAAATTTTCTGACAAATGTAGGGTTTTTTTTTTTATAAGTTTAAGAAAATTTAGTTTGAGCTTGATATTAAAAATAATGTATGATTAGATATTTTGTAAAAAAAATATTTTTTTTTTTCGAAAACGCAGAATTCAAATATAAAAAACTTAGAAACACACAATTATACTGTGATATATTTTGGAATTTTGTTGTCATCATGTTATGCTCTTGTTTTTAATAATTTTATTGTGAAATATTTGTGAGGGGCATTTTTATGAAAAATTATGAGAATTAAATAGTACAAAAAAGAAATGCAAAGTAATTTTTTAAAATTCCAATCTTTTATATAAAAATACAATATTGGAGAGTGTTAATATTATTATTTATTATCTAAAATTGTAAAACATTAAAAACATTTTAATTTTTTTTGGAAATTTTAGAAAAATTACACGAACATCTGTATCCATTTGATTTGATAAAATATTGTCATTATTCTTTTGAATTAATTAAGAAACTACTTAATCTCCATTATTATTATTATTAATATTATTATTATTATTATTATTATTATTATTTTATTTTATTTACATTAGATATGTTTTACTATAATAAAAAACAATTAAGTCGCATTTTTCACACTAAAAACTTCAAATAAAATATTAAAAACACCCCAAGTGTATAAAAATTATTTCCGGACGGCTATACATGGGAGGCAGCCTTAGTTGGACTGAATATGCATTTATTTTTAGTCGCCACAGGTTTTAGTATTTGAAATATTGAAATTTTTTAAATACACTAAAAAAAAAATTAAATTAGAGTTTAATTTATTATTTTGGAAATTATATATATTTTATATTCTTTTATATTTTTTAAAAAATAATATTGGTAAATAATGTAAAAAAAATTCAAACGCCACTTGTTGAAAGAACTTTTTTAGGGTGTGTTATGTCTGTGAGTTTTAGTTTTTGGTTTGGATCTTTTAATAGTAAAAAATTAAATTTGAATATTTATTTTATTTAATATAAATAAAGATTGATGTGATATTTTGAATATAGAATAAATTTATAATATAATATTAAAAAAATAATTGTTTAATACTCTATGTTCCATTTGAATGATGATATTTGTAAATTTTTTAATATTAGTATTATATTAAATTATAGTGAAAATGACAAAAATATCCCTGTTAGTATAATATAATATAAAAATAATGACATTTGTCTAATATATCGTAAGTTGAAATAATATTTATTATGTTAGATAGGTAGTATAATTGATAACCTTGTTTTGGTACAGACGAAAATAAAAAATGGTAACTTTTCAATTGGACAAAAAAGGTATAATTTTTTAGTGGAAAAAAAATTAAATAATAAAAATTGAGATAAAATCCACAAATGAACAAAAGCTTAAAATTTTTTAGATACTTTTTGGATAATATTAATTAAAAATCATATAGAAAATTAACGTTAAGATACATATTGTCTTTTGGTTAATGGATTATAGTTATGCGTGACATACAGAGTTCCATCCTGAAAGAATATTAAAATTATTTCGGCGGCAGAATAATCTTATTTTTATTTAATAAATAAATATAGACATATATATTTAAAAATTTTCATATATATATTAGTATAATTGATTTAGATTATTATTCATAAATATATATTATTTCATTTGTATGAGGTAAAATTATATTATTTGTAAAGTAATATTTATGTTAAATATATTTGGTAAATTTATAATTATTATTATTTAATTATTTCCATCAAATTTATATTTATATTATAAATGGTTTTTTTATTTACTTAAATATTATTCATACTTTAAATAGGTAATAATAATTTTAAATTTTTATTACATTAATTCATACTCATTTCATCCAAATAAAAGGGATTTTTTTTATTTTTTAATGAATTAAAAAATAATAATATTTTATTAAACGAAAATATATAAAATAATTTTGATATTTTCATTTTGTACTCCGTACAAAGAAAAATGAGTTTTATAAAGATTATGTATACTTTAATATTCGTATATAAATTACCTTTTATTATAATAAATAATATATAGTTTTAAAAATATATAAAAATATTATCCTCTATTTTCTAAAATATCTTAATATATATTATAATTTATTTTTTTATATATATGCATCATATATATTTTAATTCACAGTCAAAATTATCTCACTATTTATTTAAAATTTTCTTCTTAAGTTTCAAGATTCGTTTACGTACACCTAAAATTAAAAATCAATTTTGACATTATTAATCTTTAAAAAATTACATCGATATATCTATTTTTTTAATTTTATAAAATAAAATATAAAATATTCAATTTTTTACTCTTCTCAATTTTTTATTTTTTTATTTTATTTTTAAGTATTTAAAAATATAGCCTAAAAATGTGTATGCCACGTTTGACCTAGTAAATCATTTATGATGAGTAAAATTGGTGGTCACTAGACAGCAGCTGCAGTCACACTTGACTCCTTCACTACATGTATATAACTGTAAAAATATTATTTTCTCCGTCTCATAAATATAGTCTTGACACGAGATTTAAGTAATATTAATATCATATTAGTAGTATGTAAAAAATATAGATAAAATTTTTTTTTGCCCTTATGAATGTATTAGTGTAAAAAGTAGAGACAATTGTGTGATAAAAATGAAAAAGTAGGTGTAATTTTATGGTGATATGATTATTTATGAAAATAAGACTATTATTTTAAAACGAACAAAAATGGTAAACAAAACTATTATATTAGAACGAATGAAGTATATTGAAATATCATTTTAATGTTTAGAGTCTTAATTTTAAAAACAAAAAATAAAATAATATAAAATTTGGGTGACCAATTTGACTAGCCACACCTAATTAACAAAGTACATAACACAACATACCAACCAAGACAAACAACAACAAACGACACATCCTCACCCATTCATATAAAATAAAATACTATCTCTGTTCGGTTCTAAATATCTCATTTACTTTTTACGTATTAATTTTTTAATATTAATTATTATATCAAAATATAATACAAATTAAGAAAAATTGCAAAAATACTTCAATTAGTATTTTATAGTATTAATAGAAGGATATTTGTACAAAAAATTATATAAATATAACGATATTTTTAATGTTAAATACAATAACGTAAAAAATAAATATGACCCTTAGAGAAAGTATATTATAAAGTAAATTATATTTTAATAAAATATATTCAATATAAATATCGTTCGCTAAAAAAATAGTTCTTGCTAGGTAAAAAATTTATTGCAAAGTCTTGAAAATTCTTCGGAAACATCTATTGCGAAAAAATTAGTGAGGAATAAAAAATGACTCGCCCCTCTTTGTCGCAAGTTTTTTGCGATGGGTTTTGCGATGGATAGAAATTTGAGTGATCTTAACCTCATAGGTTGTGAGGGAATAATTTATTTATTTTTGAAATTGATAGAAGTTATCTCGAGTCTAAATTTGTGGTTGATACGTAATTTTTATACGATATATAAATATGTAAGTAATATAAAAATAATTAGTATGTATATATTATATATTTTTTTTTTTTTGAAAAAATACGTATACTATTTTTGGCTAAAAGAATACACCTTTAATGTTTTTAAAGTTAAATAGATATTAATTATAATAATAATATATATAAAAGATATATACTTAATACCATGATTGAGGCCGTGTTTGTTTGGGGGTTTGGATTTTGAATTAAGATTTGAATAGTAAAAATTTTGAATTTGAATAGTTGTATGATGTGATATAAATAGGTGTTCATGTGATGTTTTGAATGTAAAATTAATTTTTAGTATAATATAGAAAATGAAAAATAGGTGTTTGATTTGATGTTTTTGGAGGAAAAAAATGGGATGAATAGTGAAAATTAAATCCAATCCCCCAAACAAACACACCCTCAGAGTATATTTTTATATATATATATATATATATAATTTATGATTCAAACGTTAAAAAAAATTGTTCTTTTTATTTATTTATTTATTATTATTATTTTTAGAAAGGGGATAACTTAATTAGATGGAATAGAACAGTTGGGAAGATTGTTACATGTAGTTATGGGAGAAGCAGAAGCAACTTAGGGTGTGTTTGGTTGGAGGTTTGGATTTTGAGTTGGGATTTGAATAGTAAAAATTTTGAATTTGAATAGTTGTATGATGTGATATAAATAAGTGTTGATGTGATGTTTTGAATGTAAAATTGATTTCTAGTATAATATAAAAAATAAAAAATAGATGTTTGATTTAATATTTTTGGAAGAAAAAAATTGGATGAATAATATAAATCCATTCCAATCTTCCAAACAAACACACCCTAAGTGGATGGGGTGGGTGGGTGGCACATTTGAGCAAACACAGTAGATCATTATAACCCTTTAGAAACAAGAAATAGACATATTCAACAATGGCATTATTTATTTATTAGAAAAATGTTGAGTTCAGATAGTAAAATTTGGCTAAAAAAAACATACCTAAAAGAGTTTTCGGCCATATGAGATTTAAGAATACAATATACTCTCTCCGTCATAATTCAAACGATTATTTTTACCATTTTCATCGAAGTATCATTTTGAAAAAAATAATATTTGAAACACCCTTTTAACTTTTACTTAAATTATAAATATATTATTAAATGTCTAATTACTTTTGTACATAATGTCAAAAAACAAAAATATAAAAACTCTTGCATATTTCAATTAATTAATAAACTACTATTAATTTTAATTTATTACAAAATTTCAAAACATATTTTTTTTAAACAGAGTGAGTAACGAGTATAGTAAAAAAATAAAAAATAAATAAATTGAATGGCGGTGTAAACCAAACACACCCTAAAGCCCTCACTAATGTTTTTTATTAAAGCCCTAACTAACCAAAACTCTAGAATGTTTCGGAATATTTCAAGAGGTTTCGGAATATTTTGAAGGATCTCTTCTAACCTCCCTGTGTTGACGCACCGCCGACTCGGCGTCCGTCTGCATCTTCTTCTCGGCAATATTCTGTCAAAGTTTCGGTCTGTGACATATTGTTAAACTCTTCCCTTAATTTGGGCCCAATTAACATTCCTCCACTTCAACCATTTGGGCCGGCCCAATCAACTAAAATGACCTTTTTAAAAAATTCCACCCATTTTTTTTAACCTAAAGATAAAATTATGTTACAAATTAGTTTCAATCTGTGAAAGTAATTATGTGCTCTTTAGCAACTAGCAAGATAGACATTTTGACTTGCTGTCGGACCTAATTTGCAAGGTATTAGATTTGACTGAAATTTATCCAATACTCACTTTCGAGTAACGGCTGCGGATTCCCACATCATTAAAAAAAAAATAAAAAAAATAGACCTTTTGACTTAGACTAAACACCCAACTTTCTAAGTATAACATTTTAGAGAGAGAGTGAGAATTTGATAATTTACAAGAGGTGGAAGTAATTTTATAGGTCAAACAATTCACAAGGGTGTGTTTGTTCGGGGATTTCACCCAAAATTCACCATTCATCCAATTTTTTTTCATTCAAAAATATCAAATCAAACACCTGTTTTTTATTTTTTATATTATACTAAAAATAAATTTTGCATTCAAAATATTACATCAACACCTATTTATATCACATTATACAACTATTCTAATTTAAAATTTCAAATCTGAAGTCAAAATACAAACCTTCAAACAAACACTGAATTCCACCATATTTCGAAAGATTTTGGAGAGATTTCGGGAGTATTCCTCAACTTAGAATCTTTCAAAAAATTTGTGTGAATTCTAAAACATTGAAGAAAATTTTAGATATAAATAAATCACCAGCTCAGGACTATTTTCGTCGCGATGGGCTAGGTTTTTCTTTTATTTATTTATTTTTGGGCTGTTCATTCAATCTTTGAGCTTGTGTTGGGTCATAAGCACTTGCCAACTAGGTCTCCTAATCACTATGATCACCTGTGTGTATTTATCCATCACTGCAGAGAATATAAATACATATAGCAATCAAGAAAATTTTAAAATGAAAAGGGCCATAAAGAAATGACAAGAACCACACAAAAAGACGAAACTAAATATAAATATGAATATGTGAAAACAATGATGAATAAAAGGCTCTATTCCTTTGGCGATAAGAAAGAATCCCATCAATCTTTTATTCCTCTGTCCGTCTATTTTCTAATATTCTATCTGATATTTACACATATTTTTAGGCAATTAGAATTTTTGTTATAAAATAATAAATTTGTTCTTAATCTTGTATATAAAAAATAAAAAATAAATAAAATAAAAATAAAAGAGTAAATTTTGTGTATAAAAATAAAAAAAAAACAAAAAAAACAAGACGTTAGTTTGTAGCAGGAAGAAGGATTATTTATCATTAATTTATTATTATTATTATTAAAGCATGCATCCCCACTGCCCTTTTTATCTCTTCCCATGCACCATCTTTCCGCACTATATTAAATTAAAATATTTTTGCACTTTCATTAAAAGACACACCCAACATTGCATTTAAAAATTTTCATCTAATACAAAAGCCATTTTTATTTCATTTTAGTATTTTTTTTATTGGCGCCAACTTCACACTTTCCTTTTTCAACATAAATTGAAAATACACATTTTTATCATACAAAACGACAAAAACCCATTCCTGCTGCCCGCAATGAAACAACCCGTATCTTCGCACACCTGCCCGCACCCGATCACTCCCCTCCAATCAAATTCAGACAAGTGTCGCACACTGGGACGTCTGCGGGTCCCACATAGCCGGCAAAAGATAACGGCGCCCGTTAACGCCGTGAGCGTTGTAGCTACCGCCGCTGCTCTTGTCCGTCAGCACAGTCCCGGCGTAACCCGGATACGCGCCCGACCCGAATACCCCCGTGCACGCCGTTACCGCCTCTAACGGCGCCGTCACCGGCCCCTGAAAGTATCCGTTATTGAATGGGTTCGTCACCGCCCCGGCCAGCACCGCCGCCAGATTGATCACCATGCCGTCGGCGCCGACGTCGCCGTTCGGCGCCACGAGCGGCGGCGCCTGCGGGCCGTAAGCCGGCTGGTGGAACGGCCAGGCGCAGTAACCCGGGCACTGCGTCTCGGAATCGCCGACCCAAGCGTAGGCAAATCGCGCCGCGCCGCGAGCCGAGCCGTGAGTGCCGCAGCGGCTCATGCAGAAGCCGTTGACGGCTACGTCGTTCGCCGTTAAGACGGCGTTAATTACTCCGGCGGAGTGGCCGCCCCTGGCGGCCAAGTAGACAATGTTGGAATGTTTCAGAGATTTTCCGAGAGAGCAGTTCTCGTCGAGGAATTGTTTTCCGACGACGACCTTGGATGCTCCGCCGCCGTACTTTTCGGTCGTCCGCCACCACGACGCGGCGGAGGGGGCGGCGAGTTTGGGGGAATTGAGAGAGTGGAGGAAATCGACGATAATGGAGCGCTGGACGGCGGTGAACTTTCCGTACCAGATGAGATTGACGGTGACGGTTCCTCGGAGCAAAGTTCCGTTGTGGTATTTGAGGAGCGGCGACTGTTGCACGAGAGCGGCCATGGAAGAGGCGGCGAGGAAGAAGAGAGGTAGGAGAATGGAGAAGAAAAGATTGGGCGCCATTGATTTGAGAATTGGAGGTGCGTATTGCGTACTGCTGTTGATTAGAAGGTATTTTGTTTTAATTAATTATTAATTTATTTATACAGGAGGAACAGCTGTAGGGAAGATAGCGTCAACATCAAGCATGACGCGTGGCGATGTTTTATTGGTCAGAAATGAGGCTTGCCAGGCTGGATAACTTTGCCATGATGACATGGAATGTTGTTCATAATTCACATTTAGGGTGTGTTTGTTTGGGAATTGGATTTTAAGTTGGAATTTGAATAATAAATTTTGAATTTGGATAGTTATATGATGTAATATAAATAGATTTTGATGTGATGTTTTGAATGTAAAATTGATTTTTAGTATAATATAAAAAATAAAAAATAAGTGTTTGATTTGATATTTTTTTTAAAAAAAATGAAATAAATAGTGGATTGAGAATCCAATCCCCTAAACAAACACATCCGAATTCATAAACTTTTAAAAATTTTTAGGGTTCGCTTTCTTTTGCAAAACAAAATCTAAGGTTTATACTTTTTCAACTTTGCATTTTTTTTTAAAAAAATATAATTTTTATTTTAACCAAAATATTTTATTATACCTTATTTTAATATTAAATTTAAATCATTATTTTTATTTTTATTTTTTTAAAATTTATCAAAAGAAACACAGTCTTGTTCTACCAACAAGGGTGTGTTTGTTCAGAGTATTTCTAAAGATTTTAACTATTTATCAAAATTTTCTCTCTAAAAAATATTAAATTAAATATTTATTTTTTATATTATATTAAAAATAAATTTTATATTCAAAATATCGTATCAACTCCTATTTACACAATATTATACAATTATTCTAATTAAAAAAAATTTACTATTCAAATATCAATTAAAAATTCAAACCTCAAACAAACACACTATAAGTTTAAAGCAATGAACAAAACTCAACAACATCAAGCGAGTTTTGAGCAGACATTTCGGCGTCAAGAAATGCCCGACAAGGTGACAACATCAAGCTAGTGCCGAGCAAAACACAGCAACATCGAACCAGTGCCGAGCTCTGATAATATTTTTGGGTTAAAATTGCTACAACATCGATTACTTCCTATGAATTTTGGCAATTTTAAAAAAATGTATAGATTTTTTTTTTTTTTTTTTTTTTTTTTTTACACCATACACATTTATTGAGATTAAATTTAAAACTTAAACTTCAAATGAGAATATTTCGCTACTTGATTTACAAATATTTAAAGAGAAATTAATAATTAAAGAGTCAGTTAAATTCAAGTGACTCATTTGTTACTTTACTTTTCTCCCTCTATTTTTTCTTTTTGTTTTCAACTTTTCTTTCATTTCAACTCTACAATTCTCTTCCAATTTATGTCATTGTTTGAAGCTTATAATTTGATTCACTATATTTTCTTCGATTTTTATACTAATTTATATCATCTTATCTCTGCATTATGTAATCCATTTCTAGCATATATTGTTCGGTTCAAACCACAATTCTTTTCTTATTTATTTTTGAATTATCTAAACATAAGATCTAGCCAATATATTTTTATATAAGCCAAAAAATCTAACAATTTGACTTTCTGACAGACTAAATCGCATTAGTCGTCCAAAGACAAAATTTTAAATGACAACAGTGGCAATTCAATGGAAATCGAATGTCTCGCTACTTTTCTTTTGTAGGAGATTCAACGCCTTCAACAAAGAAAAAAATGAAAGCTTAAAATTACAATTTTTCAAATATATTTTTCAGAATCAAATCCATACAACAATCCGAATTTCTTTTCGAGATTTCACGGTTGATATCTCCCAATGCATGAGTGAGATCATAAAGCCAAATGTTTGAGGACAAAACAATGTGGTTTCGACAAAGTTAGTCAATAAAATGGCTTCTAAAATTATTTGGACCATTTTAAATAGTACTTTTCTTTTTTTTTTTTTAATCTGATAGTACTCTATTTTTCTTGCATGCACATGATCTACATCTACCATATTGATTTCTTCTCCATTTTGTCGAGTATATATATACAAACACTAGAGCAATCATTTGTGGGGCTTTAACTTAAATGAAATTGAATAGATGATGATATGGGCAATGTTAATATTAATTAATTAATTAATTTATTTTATTTATTTATACACTTTTGTCAACAATTTGAAAACACCTTTCATTCATATATTAATTTCCCACTTTCATATTATATATGTATATGCTGTAAATCATTACACATTATTATAAACTGTAACTCAATCATGATATGTGTTTTGGATGAGTTTTAAAAAGTTTCTTTTTCTTTTATTTTTTTGTGCTTTTAAAATTTATTATCTCAGGTTTTTTCTAAACATTTATTAAAAGTAGAACTCATTTTTAAATCTTATTTTTATATTACTTTTGATGGGTTTGTTTGATTTTGATTTAAAATTAATTTTTTTTTTATTTATAATTGAATTTAAATAATATTTTGATTTGATATTTTATAAAAATAATAATACTTCTTTTGCCTTATAAAAATGATAAGAAGGGTACCGAACACAATTTTCTAATTTATTAAACAAAATTAACTTAGAGAAGAAGAAAGACTCTTGTATGCAAATAAAATTTTAACTGTCAACTCTCATTTGTATGAAGGACAGGTATTTGAGTTTTATGAAACTATAAGAGAATTTTACATAATTTTAAAACAAATAAAATTTTGTACTAAGTTTTTGAAATCACATGAATTTTATAATATTTTGGTTTTATGTAGAATTTTGTTTAGAAAAGATGTTTTTAGAAGTTCTAAAATTTTGAAAAAATTAAGAATAGTGGAAATTAACCATAGGGTACTTATGAGAAAAAAAATTATATTTGGTATAATATATATATTTTTAAAAATAATTGATTAGTGTTAAAATTAGAAAATTGTTATATATGTAAACAAAGGCCCATATCCATGCATGCAAGATTTTATTGAATTAACGAAAAGTCAAATTACACTAGGTGAACTATGTGTGACAGGTAGACCTAAAAAAGTCGGATGTTTGAACCCATGACCTCAATGTTACGAGTCCACCACCGGGTCATGCCTTACGGGATTAAATTAATATATTTTTTGTTGACGGTAAGGATAATCGAGACGGTTAGAGTATTGATTTGCGAAAATTAATACTGTACTAATTTTTCAGATAGAATCGTTCAAGACTCTAGAGTTTAAAAGTCCATAAATCTCCAACCAAGATATCATATAACACAAATTTTAAATATAGTTCATGTTTTTATGAACTTTTGATCTATGTTTTCTGAACTTTTGATTGATGCTTTTTGGACTCTTGATCAAACTTTCTAAACCCTTTCTCGATGTTTTTCCGGTACTCTTGCTTGGTGTTATTTGGAAATATCGATTACAATGTCATATACTCTATAAGAATATGTCATATGTTCTATAGTAATATATTATGTGTTTTTAGTTCTTGTGGTGTATTTGTAACTTAAATAATAAATGATATGCTATCTAATTTTTTGTTCGGTGCTTTAGAGAGCACAGTCGTGGTTTCATAGCCGTCAACAATAATAATGAGAATATAATATATATAAAAATAAATAAAGTAATTGGACAAATTGATTGAATGAATCTCGAGTCGAAGGAACCTGTTTTCTGAAAAAACAAATCCCTTTCAATAATACTTTTGATTGTTTGTATAATATTTTCAAAAATAAAGTAACAATGTCTATAAAGGCTTGGATTAATTGATTTCATATTTTTTTTGAACTTTAATTTACTTAATTAAATTATATCAGTTGATTTTAAACCGATTAATCAACATTTATATATATTGACAATATTTGTCACATGAAAATGGAAATCGAAGTCAGACTTGCAAAGCTTTATGATGCGATTTTGATAATACTGTTTCATTGAAGTGTCATCATCGACAGCTGTGGCTATATGGCGTGGTGTAGTGTTCTATCATGATACTTGCCTATTGATTGATATTTGATGGCCAACTATTGTTGTTGGATAAACGAGAAGCAAAAACTAGTGATGAATGATCTGATGGCGTGTGACCGTAAGATCATGAATTCAAACTTTCGATACTCTCAGATTTTATCGGCCACACATTATTCGTTTAGTGTAAAAAGAGTAGCGATCGTGAATTATCACATCATACAAAAAAACACTTTCAAACTAATTATGGCTGTTAAAGGCCCATTTCCACTCTCTAGAAGGTCAAAATGTTGATACACATATATACATGTATTTATATATATATATATATATCTTTTGTAAGAGTGATCCCGTACTGTGAGGATGAACTTAGGCACAATTCTTGTATAACTCACTATAGAATGAAATTTCTTTGCAGTCAATTCAATTTTCAACATTTATATTACAACATATACATATACCTTTACGTAGAAAAAGAAACAAAAAAATCGACAAAAATATATATATACGTCGCGAATACATACATCAAGTGTTCTTCTCCAGAACCGAGAGGGCTGGTGTTAGATAGTTATTCGCTTTGTCGGGCAAATGTGCGACCTGCAAAACACGCGCGCATCTGCTCATACAGAGTTTTCAACAAAAACGCGTCCGTAGAAGTACACAGAGAGTTAGTTCATACCAGCTCGTAAAGCTCCTTACCGGGTTCAGCCACATACTCATAGCAAACCTGATCAAAACAAATATCACTCGCTCCATTTTTCAGCGTTAAATCAATATAGTTAATCGACTACTCACATCAAAGCTCTTGTTTCTCGCTGTCGAGTCGTGCAGCGCTTTCACACATATGTCAGCAACATCTGCACAGCTAATTCCCTACATACATATATATATATATATATATATATGTATACCAGCATGGATGTTTAAGTGAACAAAGCACGAAACAATAAAAGACTTACAAAAAAATGATGTTGCGCTAACCTGAGATATCCGATTTCCTTGGTCAAATATCAGAGCTCGTTGGCCACCAGGCTCTTCCTGAAATTCATTTCATTCTTGTAAGAAAAAATCACAGAACAATTGATTAGATTCGAATAAGTTTTTACCAATAGAGGACCAGGGCGAATGATCGTGTACCCGAGGCCTGATCTCCTCAGTGAATCCTCCCCTGCCTGCAAAAATTCTGTTTAGAGAAAATAAAAGCATGGCTAAAAAAACCAACCGGAAGAGATAGAAAGGAAGGGGACCTTCTTAGCCCTTAGAACCTGCTCCCTTCTAACAGGGTCAATACCCGATCCTGTACATGAGACTAAGATAAAATCCGTTTCTTGCCCAGTCTGCAACAATCAGAATCTACTGGCATGTTAATATAATGGGGTGCAAATCTTATGCATAGCATATTTAAAAATGAAGTTAAATATGTGTTCGAATAAAAACACACAACTTCAATCAAATATAAGCAAACTCTGTTGAAGATGTGTTCATCTAATTATATAATTATTACTATTTTTTCATTTCTTTCAGCCCTCATAATTCAAATAATATTGAGAAAGGATGAATTGTGCTTACAGGCAAAGCTTTGATATATTCCAAAATCAACTGGAAGCTTCTCAAATCCTGTTTCGGCCCAACCAGGCCTTCTGTAGGCTTCTGCAATAAAAATAAGTGAAACTCAAAAAAATTGAATTTGAAAGGGAGCTACAACCAGCACCTATGATCGTCCATGTAATTTAACTAAATCATTTCACAAATATATATCTATATATATATAGATAGATATATAGTCAGTGGGAATGGAGTTCTTTTCAGAAAACCTGTCGTCTGGGTTCAAATCGGATGGTCAATGTGTGAACAAGGAATGGATCCAGTGGTGGATCCTCTGGCTTCACAGGCCTAAAAGCAGAAAACGGTACTCTAACCTGTTGGCAGGGGAAAAAATCATAAGGAAAACGTTGATGTAACCATAACACTCATCTAATGTTCGTATAAATGGCGAAGAACAGAGCAGAGATGATCAACATTTCTCACATCCTATGTTTTAACTTACCCTGCAGAAGCCACTTTTGGTACTAATCCTGGCGAAGTACATTTTACTCTGTGACATGTCTGCCAACGGACCTGCCTCGAGAATTATTACATATGATCTTCCATTTCCACCAACAGAGAACACAAGGCCCTCATACCTGTAACATTGCAATATGATCATAGAATTATCAGGCTATGAATGTGCACTCTTTTTGATTAATGATCAGAATGTATTCGTCTAGAGAGATGCAGGGAAGTAGTTACGATGGGATTCTGTAATCTGTACCTGTCAAGGGTAGAGCCAAGAGGAAGTGAAAGTTTCTTCGACAATTCAACGTAGCCGCCTCTAGTGAAAACATATCCTATTTGTTTAAATGGAAAAAATAAAGTGTTAAAGAACATGGAAATTACGAAACGGATGAATCACGAGTTATTACTTTTACCTGTGAAAACTGCTTCTCCATCTTCTGTGAACTCAAACTTAGCATCCATTCCGCCATCGTATTTAGTAGCAATAACATCTTGGAAATAAGTCCCTCGACGAACTTCCCAGCCATTCAATGATTCTTGCGACTTGAACTTCGCAATCAGAAGCTTACTTTTGCTGCTTTTCCCAGCTCGTAGTTGCGCAAGCTTATTGTTATAGTCCTTGAAAACATTCAACAAACAAATTAAGATCAACTGAAAGATCTAGTAACATGGAAACTATATATTTTATCCGCCCGAAAACATGAAATCATACCTGAAATGCTTTGGTTAGATTATAAACTCCGAGATGATCGACTCGGTTAAGATCCCCAGTGATCGTTGAGCGAGCTGTGGCACAAAAGATAATCTTGTTACAGCCTTCAACGGCATCTTTGAGCGTCGAAGGTTCACCAACATCTCCTACCACAGCCTCTACAGAAGTCGGAAGCAGATTCGACACTTCTTCATCTGCTTTCCTCACTAATGCCTGTAAGCATAAGTTCTCACAGCTATATTATGTCTCTAATGAATTAGGGCAATTGCAGTATAAATAAATTAACCTAATTTGATCATTCATGGCGTTGCAGTAATGGTGGTGCAGTTAGAATGTAATTCACCTTCACAGCAAGATCATAGGAATCATATGCTCAAGTCGAATCCTAATAGTAATGGCAACACACAATTTTGAAGTTGAGAGAGTATTACCTTGACGGTATAACCCCTGAGCATGAGCTTGCGGACGAGAATCCGGCCGACGCGGCTGGTGGCGCCGACGACAAGCACGGTGGTGTTCTGCGCGCCGGGAATGGCGAATTCGCACATTGGCCCGCTCTCCCTGAGGAGAAGCGCCTCATCGTCGTCCGTCCGAGTGGTGCGCGAAATCTGCCCTAATTCGGAGAATTTCCGCCACACTTCGTCGAAGATTTGCCTCGATTTACGCCCCAAACCGACGGGATTCACCTCGTCGAAACGGTTTTTGATCGCCGAAACAGAAGGTGCAGAAACTCCTCCTGCCACTTCCGCGTTATCTTCCGGCGCCAATTTCGGCTTCTCCTCTTCCAAAACTTGCTTCCGCTTGGACTTCCCCTTGGGCTGCTTCTTCTTCTCCTTGCCGGTGGAAGAAGCAGAGGCCTCCATCACGAATGGCCTCCTGGCGTTGGGGTGGAGAGTTTCGATCCATCCTCTGCTGCGCGGATTTCGATTCCCGAAAATAGTGGACGTGAGGGCAGCAGTTGCGGCGCTCATCGTCCTCGGCTTGGTTGTTGTCCTTCAGAATGGAACGGAACGTCGTCGAGTATGGAGAGAAGTGGGTGAGGTGCGAAGGGATGTATTTGCCAAGTCATACCTGAAAGTGACAGTGCTGCACAGACCTGAAATTCAGACCACAAAAGGAAGATGAAGTGATGGAAAACAACTAGAAAGTTTTGGGAGTGACACGTAGACATACTCGCTTCCTTTCATTTTCCTTTTCTTTATTTTAATAAATAAATAATTAGTAGTATTATTTATTTTATTAATTTTTTAATAATATTTCTAAATTTATTTTGATCAAATTCTCCATCCATTTCAGTATTCTGTTCACATTTTCATTCTTTCGACTTATAATGTTATTTTTTTTTTCATGAAAAAAAATTATATACTTTAATTTCATATTAAACTTTTAAATTTATAATTTTTTAAATTTTAATTAGACTAATTGATTAATCTAAAATTATTTTTATTATACGATAATTATTTTTATTAATATATTTTTAATTATTTATTAATCTTACTTCTCATAAATTATTGTGTCTACACTAAAGGGACACCATAGATTGGACGGAGAAAGTATATTTTAACATTAAAATCAAAAAAAATATATATATATATATATATTAAAGAAATTCGAAGTAAAGAAGGAATATTTTTGTTACATAACATTCATAATATCTAATTTCAGGACGATATTTTATAACATAAAAAATATTAAATTGCATATTTTCTCCGTCAAATTCTATATTTAAGTGGTAAAATGTGATAGATTGAAAGATTCACTATCATACATATCAAATATATAAAAATCAATCGAAAAATTAATTCATTACTTTGTACTAGAACATTTCCAATAATTCATTCGAAGTAGACACGATGCTAATGAAAATGAGATCGCAGAGTTGATCTTGCGCAATGTTAACATTGGTCATACCGATTTCTTGGCTAGACTATGAATGACTTGAAAATTAAAAAATGAGAAAATCTTTTGCCTGACTAGTCCCAAGACTGGGAATCTGCAAGCTTCAGTTATGTATCATGCCTTCTTTGGGAGCCAACTATCCAAAAAACCAAAACAACTTTGTCTCAAATCGGTTGTCTTAAATGAAACTAGAAATAAAAAATACATCCTAAGCTGCAATGAAAATGACAAAATGTGAATCATTGCGGAGCTGGATTTGAATGTTGGCTTTGAAGGGACGGTGGAACATGGCTGGCCAGTCTAGCTGGGAAATGCCCACAAGCTATGGTATTTGTTCAGTTGATTAATGGTGATATAGGAAGAAATTAACATGGTATCTAAAATTTACCTTTTAGAATTAACAATATATTCTGATTTCCTTCACGCCATCCAACTAATCCTTAGTAGCGACCTTTGTCATTATCGATAGACTAGGCTAATCAATGCAATTAAACAAATTCTCACCAAGCACCTATCATATACTCTATACACCGCGAAGGGGATTTAGTAGCAGATTGGCTCGCAGAAAAGGGAGTTGTTGCTCTGGACAACTTTGAGCAAATAATGTGGGGTTTGCCTCTCAGAAAGATTTACTCTAAACTTCTGTATACCTCTTAGGTCATATTTATTTTTTGCCTTATTCTACTTGACATTAAAAATATTTTTATATTTGTATAATTTGTTTTACAAATGTTAATTAGTATTATAAAACACCAATTAAAGTATTTTTGTATTTCTTTTAAAATTTGTACTGCCTTTTGATGTAATAATACTTTTTTCGTTGTCTTATAAAAGAAAATATCATTACAAGTATACATAAAGTAAAAAATAAAAATATAAAAACTATTCTACATATTTTTACCAATGACATAATTAGTGCATTCGTTATAAAAAATTGTGTATGTATAATTGGACGAAAATTTAAAAAAAAACAAGTAAAAATATTTAAAATTTCATTTTATAGTTACTCCCAAAATAAAATTAAAAATATTCTTTTACGATGAAAAAAGAAAATGAGCATACAAACAATATAGACTAATATTATTTTTTGATTTATTATAAAAATTTAAAAATATTTTGACTTAAAATATTTTCTTTAGTTTCAATTCAAAATATAATTTAAAATATAATTTTTTTTATTAGTTTCATTTGTCTCACATTAATATCCAATAACCAAACTATCTACCTTATTATTTTCTCTATCCAGTTACCGTCTACATTTATCAATTTTTAAAAAAAAATTATATACTTTAATTTTATTTAAATACTTTAATTTTAATTTAATATTATTTTAATTAATATATTTTTAATTATTTATTAATTATATCCATTTCCGTATTATCTACTCTCTTCTATTTTAGTTTCTACCGACGGGACGGGACAGGGCAGGACGGGTCCTGTTTAGCTAACCTGATGATGGCCGGTGTCCACGCGGCCAATTCTTCTGCTCCTCCACCCCCGCCGCCGTCCTCCTCCCACGGCGGCGCCGGAATTCCGGTGGAGACTTTGAAACAGGTGGACATCAGCTACCTGTCTCAGTCAGAATTGCAGGCCCTCTCTCTGTGCTCCGTTTCTTCATACAATGTGCGGCGGACCGATGATGTCGTTTCTCCACACCTCGATCGATCAGTATTTAACGAGTCCGCCGGAAGTCGCCGCCAGACCTACTCCAGACTCCATCACCGCTCCCATTCACGCCTTCCTGGACTTCATCCCTCTTTCAAACCTCACAGACAACCCCATTTCTCCTCCGATCATGTAAGCCACTCTATCGTCCACTTCCTCAAGCACTTTCTGAGCGGCAATCGCGATCCACCGCCTCCTCCTCCCGCTCCTCCCTCGCCTCCGCCTCCGGAGGAACCTAAACCTATGGTTACCCCAACTGTGGACTTAGGGTTTCTAGGGTTACAAGAGAAATTGAAGGTGAAGCGCAAGGGTGTGAGGAAGAGTAAGAATTCGAGCCAAGACAAGATTGTTGAGAATGGGGATGGGATGGAGCTGCAGCAGGTAAATTCCAAAGCTGAGGTCGTGGATCTTCAGGAATTGGAGAAGAATGGGGATGAGCTGTATACCGAGGAATTGAAGAAGAGGACAATGGGGCTAGAGACTGAGGATGGTGTCTTAGGTTTTCTGTGGAGTTTGGAGGGGCAGTGGTGTAGCAGGAGGAAGAAGAGGAAGTATGTGGATGCTGCAATCTTTGGCGATGCACTGCCCATTGGATGGAAGCTCTTGCTTGGCCTCAGGAGACGAGATTTTCGTGTCTCTGTTTATTGCCGCAGATACATCAGGTGTGGATGAATTGATCTTCACAATGTTGTTCCTTAAATTTCTTGTTTCTAGCAGATAATGCATTCATAAGTTTATCTACTAACTTGGTGGAGATAGATCAGATCTTTTAGTCTCAATGATTATTGTAGGAATGTTTCATTTTGAGTATTACAAATGCCATTTTGAAGAATCTGATCAAGTACAGTAATTGGGGCTTTAGAGTGATAAGATTGTGTGTATAATTGGTGGATATAATTACAGCTACATAAGGTAATTGTATCTATTAGAAAGCAGGATGAAAAATTTCACTTAGTACTATGTTATAAATCAGCTGTGACGCTTATCGGTCCTAGAAGTTTTATGTGGTTTAAATGCTGGTATATTATTTGTTTTAGTGATATTACTTTTATAAGTATGGGGGCCGTTTTTCAGTTTGCAATGGATAATTTGGTGATGTCCTTATTGAGTTAGTGTTAAGTAGTTATCTTTTATGTATGTTGTCTTGTTTAGGATTTCGGGATTTGAATTGTTGGTTCTTATAAGAGTCCACGTGTTATAAGGTTGTGGGTTGGGATGTAGTATTTTTAGCGCGCGGTGTGTTCTGGTCTTGTGAGCTAAAGTTTTCGCTCTTTCCTTACCAGTCCGTCTGGGCAACAGTTTCTGTCATGCAAAGAGGCTGCTTCTTTTTTGAAATCCCATTTCGGTGCTAGCGCAGCGGATCAAAAAACTTATAGTGTTCAACAAACACATAACATACCTTCTGAAAAAGTAAGCATATTGGTGTTACTTACTATTTTTGCTAATCTTGATGCGATAATATTAACTGGAGCTGCAACAGGGTTCTTCTCTTGCTGACAAGGCAGATGATGCTGCGCACGACGAATTAGGCCGTTCAACTTTGGGTGAATCTTCACGCAATTCACATGATAATTGTTTGGAAGGCATAGAAAACCTCCCTGAAGTCCAAGTTCAAGACAATTATGAATGCGTCAAATGCAATCTTAGATTTGATGATAAGGATGCGTATCTACAGCATCTGTTTACATTCCATCAAAAGACTACTAAACGACACAAGTTCGGGGCACCTGTTGGAGAGGGTGTTATTATCAAAGATGGGAAATACGAATGCCAGTTCTGTCACAAAGTTTTCCTGGAAAGGCGTAGCTATAATGGTCACGTAGGTATTCATGTGAGGAACTCTGGGAAAAATTCTAATGAGCCAACTGCTCCTAACAATCTTGAGAAAAAGCCCCCTGAGCCTCCATTGCCCGAGGAGATTCCCTCAAGGTCATCAAAAATGGATGCTCTCATTGAAATAGCACATAATTCCATTGTTGAAACTTCTGCAGTCGATACTGGTGAAAAGGCTATAACTTCTAATGAGCCAAGTGTATTGAGCATAGAAGCTCAGGCAGCTCCCACTGCTAATGAAGCACATTTTCTTGCGGATCCGGTTGAAATTCAAAAGGAAGATTCCAGTGCTGTCAGTGCTCATCTTGAAGTCCTGAATCATGACACTGAAGTCATGACAGTGGATAATGACGTTGTTAGGAATGATGATTATGCATGGAGTGTGAATGTTAAGATGGATACTGATTGTGTAAATGATTCCAACCCTTCCGGAGCAGGTGAAATCGAAAATTGTGAAAGTAGTTTGGGTATGGGTTATGATAACAGATGTTTGAAGCCGAGTGATGATCATCCAGAAGATACAACTGGGATAGCTGTCGCTGAGGATGTTTTTCATGGTGGGGTGTCTCCTGTGCCGTTGGATCAATCTCTGCAGTTCTTCCCTCCCTTTGAATCTGCGTCAAATAAGGTAACCTATTAGTATGAAGCCTTAAATATATATTGGGGAAAGGTATGCAAATGTCGAGGCTTGCTATATTTTTGTCGCTGTTTGGGGGAGAGAGTACCTATAGCATTAAAGATTTGTGCATCCATTTACAAGACTGTAATAGTGCATTAACCATTTACCAAATTTGTGCATTATGTCAATTGCTGTTAAGTGCGGAGTTTTGCATAATAAAGTCTTTTTTATTGAGTGCGACAACTTGGCATGTTTCACTAGAATCTTTTAGATTTCACATATCTTAACTGGTGACTTTTAATTTGATATACGACTTTTTGGATATGCAAGTTCTTCAATGATATATGCATTGTCTTATGTATTCTTTTGAAGGGAGAAAGTGAATTTTCAGTAGCTGCTCAGAAGATTGAAAGTGTTACAGGCTTTGAAGAACTGAGGTTTGATGATATTGGGCCCTTCCAGTATGATTTTGTGAATGAACAAGAGTTGCCATCTTTGCCGGGTGGCCCCATGAATTTGAGAGCTGACAGTGTGATGGATGATGGATTCAATTCTACCGTTGCATTTGGTTCAGACGATGCTATGCTGAATGAAAATCAGATAACTGTATGCGTGTGGTGCAGAACAGAATTCAAACTTGAGGGTATTGATTCAGAAACTCCGTCAGATTCCATAGGCTACATGTGCCCAAACTGCAAGACCAAAATATCCGGCCACTTCAGCGATGCTCTGTCTATGGATCCTCGTAACCTCTGAGGATTGCGCCCCATCACATTCCGGGTAACTTTGCAGCCTATGATCTGTATCGATGAAAATTAAGAATGCTAATGTTAACGTGTAATGTTTCTTGTTATGGCTTTGCAGTTTGTATTCCGATTTGGTACCTTCCGGGTGCCGGGGCAGGATTACGCCGTTTATATTGTTGAAGCAATGAGGTTTGAGTTTATCCTGCTCTGATTTGTTCTGATTTACTTAAACTTGTGTATATAGAAGCTGAATTTGTTTCCCCAATTGCTCAGTAACTCTACTTGCAAGCAGAATCCTCCATGGAAATGGAATTACTGTAAAATTGTAGAGCTATTGTTTATGTATTATTGTGTGATGTACCATCTTGGAGGATTTGGAGGGACGATCTTTTATACTCCCACCCACCGTCTAATTTATAGTATATTTAGACGGTCTTTTAGGTAAGTGTTTTGCTTTAGGAATTGACAAATTTATTATTTATGACAATTTAGAGATTAAAAATGGTATGAATTGAAAAATTTGCCTATTTAAAGTGTTGGATGAATGAAAGGATAACAAAAAAGTAAAATTTGTGTTTAAAAAGAGATGTTCCAAATAGGAAAATAGGACAATACTTTATGCATGGAGAGAGTGATTTGTTAAGTGTTTTTGATTTATAATTCAAGTTTTATCAATGTTTAATTAGCTAATAATACATGTTTTCTAATTTTATGTTTATTTGAGGTAGGACATGTGTTTTCATTACCCTAAACTCCTTTCTTCGTCTCAAAAGAAAAAAAAAATCTTATTTTATTATTTTTTATTTTTTTATTATTACAGAGTAATAGTCTTATTGTCATAAATAAGTCATTATAAAATTATATCAATTTTTATTTATTTATTATTATTATTATACAAATGCTATTGTTCTGTTGTTTTTTACAATTAGAGTAACATATATATTCACAAAGATAAAAATAGCATTCTATCTAGTATTAATTATCAATATAAAAAATTATTTTGAATAAATTAAGTGTATAAATAGCTGCTGATATATTTATAAATAAATATAATATTGAATAATATAAATTAATAATTATATAATAATTTTTCATAAAGATAAAAGTATATATTTTCTGTAGTATTTGGTCCAGTATGTTGACTGCTAACCCATCATAATTTTTGGGCCTTACTTGAGACTCGGCCCAGTAGTCCAAATACACACAAAAAAGTTAGCAAATTTTAGTGATATCAAGCATCCATATATGTTCAAAATTCTAATATGGCACTTATTGGTTAATTAAGGGATTTGATTATTAGATATAGACATTTTATGATTTCCTTCTTTTATCTATATTTCTAATAAATTTTTTATCTATAACTTTCAATAACAACATATTATTTTTTGTTTAAAATTTTTTAAAATAACACAAATAATTACTATTTTATTATTTTTCATAACCCTTTCAGAGTTTTCAATAGTCAATAACAAATATCTAAAAAAAACCTACTCCCTCCGTCCCATGTAATTTGGGTATGTTACTGTAGACGCGAGGATTTAGGTAAAGTAGGAGTAGTAAGTAATTAAGAAGTATATTAGTAAAAATAATTATTGTATAGTAAAAATAATTATAGATTAAGATTCAAATAAGTAAATAGTTTAATTAAGATTAAAAAATTTATAAAATATAAAATTTAAAATGTGATTAAAGTGTATAATTATATTTTCTAAAAAAGGGAAGGATGAGTTGACGAACTAAAATAGAAAATAAGAACAAATGATATGAGACGGAGGAAACATATGTCAAATTCTTTTGCAGTTTTAGAATCTTTGTATTTAAAGTTAACGATAATTTCGTAGTTATAGAATTTTTGAATTACTTTTGCAGTTAGAGGGCTTGTAGAGTAATCATGGTTAATTAAGTATGAAGGTGAAACATAGAGTTTCTGTAACTATAAAAAGTTTTGGTGGAATTTTTAAACAATAGAAGTTTTCACACAATAACTCCACTTAAATTTTATATTCCCTCAATTTCAAATATGTACATTATATTTTTTTCATGATTTATTCTATATAATTTTCAATTTATTCTACTTAATATTATCCACTTAAATTTTCGATATTCTGAACATTATTTTGGCCGTAGAATTGGAATGCTTCAATAACAAGCAAAACTTGTAAAAACAAGATTGAATCTTACAAAAATCAATCAAATAACAGAATGTGATGCCAATGTCAATTCAACAATTAATCGAATAAATTAAAGAAACTATACCTGATAAGGACAACTCTATATATATAAGCCAATATTTTTTTTTTTTTCCTACTTAAAACAATATTAATGGATTCTATATTAATTTAATCCAATTTAATTATATCATATATATATTTTTTCTTGATTATATTTATGCAATCTTAATTGCATTTGAGACTTATATTCTTCTTTGCATTCTAGCTGAAAAATTACATGTAGAGTTTTATAACATATAGATAGGTGGTACGTTCTTACATAATTTTAAATCATAAGATCTTCTGAATTTTTTTTTAGATAAATCACTATTTTAATATACCATAAATTAAAAATAAATATCATGTGTTGTCTATTAATACAGCGTTGTGTTGTCAATATTGTGCTGAGTTTTATAATTAGACACAGTAACCAATATGTGATATCTTGCGAAAGAAACTCTTATTTCACGATCTTCTTCTTTCTACAACTTACACCTTCCTCTTATATATATAGCTTTCACTCGCATCCACACGAATCGCGTGCACAAATGGAATTACCGAGCAAGACGGCAAGATGCAAATCTTGCGGCTTGCAAACAACAATGCCTCCGGGAACATATCTTACCTGGTGCCCGATGTGTCGAGCAATGATCCGAGCTGAGGATCCCTTAAGTCACACGCACGATGCCTTTTCCCGCGCAGCGAGCAAGTTCAAGGATGTGATGCACGCGGCATCGAATGACATAAGCATGATGGCGTCGAGCATGAATACTACTTTTTTGCGGTCGGGGATGTCAGGTTTCTCGCAACCCCCACAAATACGTTCTCTGCAGCCGATCGCCTCGGCCACGGCGGGCGGGCGGAAGCGGGCAGTTCTGTGTGGAGTGAGTTACAACGGGCAGAAGTACAAACTGAATGGAAGTATCAATGATGTCAAGTGTATGAAATACTTTCTCATCAACAGGCTTGGCTTTGCAAATGACTCTATACTTATGCTCACTGGTGAGATATTTAATAAATTTAAATTTAGATGTTGTCTACCAATTATTTTACCTGAAAAATATTAGAACTTGAAAAAGATAAAAAAAAAAATCAAAATGTCACACTTGAGTATTTTTACATTCATAGATGAGAAAAGAGAAAACCTCAGATTTAGGGTCTATGTATTTTTATGATTAGTTATTAATCTTGCCACATATTGATTTAATACAATAAATGACTCTTGTCACAAACTAATTTTGTCACTTTTAAGTCTTCTGGCGCCGGAGATGCCTACGTGGCATCTGCTTGATTTGCCGGAGGACACGTGTGTCAGCCTGGTTAACCGCATTTCACGGACACGTGGATTTTTTTTAAAAAAATAATTTATTTATTTTGTCTTTTATGTAATTAAATGTTTTCAATTTTTTTTTTGAAAATTAAAATTTTTTAAAAATATAAAAAAAAATCACATGTCCGCCAAGTATCGCTGACCTGGCCGACACGTGTCCTCCGGCGAACCACGCGGTTGCCATCTAGATATCTCCGGCGCCGGAGGACTAAAACTGCGAAAATTTTCTATTTACTTGCGACAAGTTCCGATTATGAGACGAGACTAAAATGATAAAATGGTGGACTAATTAAAACATCAATTTATCTAATAATGTATTTTTATAAAAAGATGAAATTGAAAAAAGAACATACCCTGGTTTTATTTTTTAAAATTCTTGTGAGGTAATAACAAAATGAAAACATTAAAGGATAGTAAATCAATGTTGTATTGTGATTTGGTACGCAGAAGAAGAAGCAGATCCAAACTTGATTCCAACAAAGAGTAACATGAGAAAAGCCTTGCAGTGGCTGGTCCATGGCTGCCATTCCGGCGATTCTCTGGTGTTCCATTACTCCGGCCACGCCTCGCAGCAGCTCGACTACGACCGCGACGAGGTCGACGGATACGACGAAGCACTCTGGCCGGTCGATCACCACTTCACCGGAACCATAGTAGACGACGAAATCAATGAAACCATCGTAAGATCTCTGCCTCCCGGTGTCAAACTGCACGCAATAGTCGATGCATGCCACAGCGGGACTATTCTTGATCTGCAATATGTATGCCGAATGAACAGGTCGATTTCCGCAAAAAATTTCCTTATCCTCGATTTCTTTAACGGCTAATTCAGTTCCGTAATGCCGCAGGGACGGGCGCTACGAATGGGAAAATCAGGGCTGTTTGGGAACTTATAAAGGCACCAATGGCGGGCTCGCCGTATCTTTTAGCGCCTGCGATGATGACCAAATCGCGGTGGATACTACGGTGAGTAGTTACAAAAAATGAATTTGTTCGATTCATAACATCATATCCAAAATTGCACGAAATATGTTGTATTAGTCCTCCTTAACAAGCTAATGGTGCTTCTTGATGCTTGTTTAGGTGCTTTCGGCAGACAATGCGGCAACGGGCGCCATGACGTATAGTTTTATCCAAGCGGTTCAAAATGAGCCCGGATTAACGTACGGTCGCTTGCTAAATGCAATGCGACAAACAATTCGTGAGGCCCGGACGGGATGTCCCTTGAAAAAGGTTTTGCACCAAAAGTCATTACAGGTAATCGATAGAAGGCGGCAGTTACTGTACTGAATTATAAAATTCAATATAAGTACATGATATAAGAACATATACAATACAAAAAGAAAAAAAAGTATATTTGTAACATAATTCCGTTCCTAAAGTTCACGCAGCTAATGTAATTCCATCTCTAATTCCGTCTCTAATATCATTAGTAACGGAAAAAATGAATTTAGAAACGAATAAACCTCGTTACAAAATTGATAATTTCTTATAATGATAACACACGAAATAAGGGAAACTGTACATAATTTATGCTAACATAATACAAATGTAACATATGAATTGATAACACATCACATTTTAACACACAAAGTATATTTATACTACACATCTACAGTAATGAACTGACAGATTTATATGTGCATATGTTGTCTGTCTATTTCATATGTATTGACTGTTGCTGATTTTCCTAAGTCAGGACTGTAATCATCGACTAGCTCAAAATAACATTTACGCCGCAGTTTGTACATATATCTACTAAACAATTAATGTTCGTTACTGAGGATAAAATGAATTTTGTGTAAGAAGGAAACTCCTATCAATGAAAATGTGCTCGGAATTTCGACTAATTGAGCTGTTTTCATGTTTTCAGGAGCCTCAACTTTCCTCCTCGAAGGAATTCGATATTCATTCGACGCCATTTACCCTGTAAGAATGCATGTAATCGCAGAACTCGGAAGTCGTCATTTTCGACTGTCAAGGTTTTCTTCTAGTGTTGATGTAAAAGGTTCAGTGCTGAAGAATAATGTGATTTATGTATGAATGTTGAGAATGAAATATCTGTTTTGGTCTTAAGAGGTAATAACTTTTTGACTCAAACTCGAGATCTCATATTAGATGATTATAATGACCGTCTTATCTAAAATTTTGTAGGGATGCATATTATTAATTATTTTTCTATCATATAGCCCAACATTCTTCTTTCTTCTTTTGAAATAGTAATTTACAACACCGTCTTTGAACAACAAGAAATTTTGAAAAACTGATTTGACCGAATCAACATGTTATACACATACTTACATTTAATGCTGATTATGCTGATCCATACCCTTAAAAATATATATATTTTTGATAAATATTTACATTAAGGGATTCACATCTACAAAATATTAAAAACATGACGACAGTCATTTTTGTGCAGTCATTTGAAATCCACGACAGTTTCTGTATAATTAAGAGATAAATTTTAGTATTAGGAGGAGCAAATTAAAATAATTACATATAAAAAAATTATTTTTACACTAAATAATAATAAAAAAAAAGCTCAAGCTCCTATTTAGATCCGCCACTACATAGTAGCAAAATGTATCGGATCTTTTCATGTTTGGGCAGAAGTAATACTAAAATGGATGACTTCCTGAAAAGTCTGTCTATCGTCCAATTGTGTACTTAAAAAAATAAAAATATATTTTGATGACAATTTAAAATGAAAAAAATAAATATAAATTTGATGGATGAGTGATTAGTAGAAATGGAATTTAGAAAGAAAGTCCAACAAAATATCTAACAATCTAAAGAATGTGCCAAACAACTGGACGTAAATCAATACCAAAAAACACAACTAACTGCAAAGTGGAAAATGCATTAAAAGAGAAAATGAAGAATCTAATCCAATTTCTCAGTTGTCTTCTTCCTTGTGGTGCCCACCATCTTCACCACAATGCTTTGTGTTTACACAGATTTTTCACCTTTTCAATTGTCTTCTTTACCTGCATATTTCTTTTACAAGTCTACTTAAGGATGCGTTTGTTTGGAGTTCGATGAGATTTGAATAGTAAAAGTTTTTAATTTGAATAGTTGTATAATATAATACAAATACGTGTTGATTCGATGCTTTAAATATAAAATTGATTGTTAGTATAATATAAAAAATAAAAAATATGTACTCCCTCCGTCTCAAAACTATGGTCTTATTTGGGTTGGGCTCGGGATTTAAAAAATATTGATATTATATTGATAGTTGGTAAAAAATATAAGTGAAAGACTTTTTTGCCCTTGTGAATGTATTAGTATAAAGACATTTGTGTAATAATAATGAAAAAAATAGGAACAATTTTACGGTGACATGAATATTTATGAAAATGAGACTATTGTTTTGGGACATGTAAAAATGGTAAATAAGACTATTGAAAGGAGGGAGTATTTGATTTAATATTTTTTTTTAAAAAAATTTGAGAGTGGAAATTAAGAGAAATATGCCAAATGAACATGCCCTTAAAGAATCTCTAAAAGCTGAGTGTACTCTTTCAAAATAATTTTTGAATGGATGATCTTTTGTAAAGTCTTTTAGCGTGAATCTATGCTCGAAGGACTTGTATTAATACATGGATAGCGGGAGGGCATCTTCGGCATCATCCCCTCTCTGCCCCACAAATACATCGGCATCATCCCCTCTCTGCCCCACACATACGTCGGCATCATCCCCTCTCTGCCCACACACACATGGGCAGCCTAGCGCCGATGCACTTGGCCCCAATATTTTTTTTAGTATAAAAATATCTGTATTTTATTTATTTTTTATTTCTACAATTATGTTAATTTGTTTTTTAATTATAAATTCATCATCCTATTTTATTCTTCTTTCACATGTTACTCATTGCATATTACTTGGGTTTATGATTGCCTTTTTTTGAAGTTCTTATGAGGTACATAATATTGTATCCTAGACTTTCCTATCTTAGTATTTGCTTAGATTGGAACACACAAACGTAGACTTTGTTAGTAGTAGAAATGAATAAACAATTTTGGTATTATAATTAATAATTAAAAACAACCTACAATCAATCCGACCTGGGAATGCATCGGCGCGAAGACAAATCCAAGGTACACAACGATAAGATGACGACGGCTAATAGTAGATGTGCCACAATGAAGAGGATGATAATATTTCGAGAAAATTACATTGGTTAAGTAAAGACTAAATTGTATAACATAGAATCTTTTGTAAAAATAATAAAAAAATATACATGTAACATTATTTGGTTGAACACTGTAAGCCTCCGGACTGAGTACCTGGTGCTATATATATATATATAAGACAATTACAGTGCTGAACAGTATACCGTTGTTTAACATACAATATACTATATTACTACAAATAATACATCATATATATTATTATTATAATAAAAACAATATATATTTCTATTTCATACAATTGTGCTATTTGAGACAAAAACATCTGTATATATTTTAATTCGTACTAATTTTTTTAAATCAGCAGCGTAACCTTTTTATATATATATAATAAATATGTACATAGTGGGAGATAAGATGGAAATCCTCCCAAATATATAGAGCATATCACGTCGTGTAAGGGCATCAACTAGTAAAATAAATAAATAAATAAATAAATATTAATATATATATGAATGAAGGCAGGCACGCAGGCATTTGCGAAAGTGACGCTTGAAAAATTCCCTAAAACAAACCATCCATCCATCCATCCATTAACTTTTACTTTCCTCTCCATAATCCTCCCAACAAACAATCAAACAAACAAACAAATTTATTTTCCCACACAATCAAATCCACCAGATCCAATTCCTTCTTTTCTTTCTGCAAAACCAATCGACAAAAAAAAAAAAAAAAAAAAAAAATCGATATGTTCATACACACATATATCAAATAACGTTATACATATATATATATATATCTCCAATGGCTCGATGCCTGAGCTTCACGGGATCGGCCGACTTCCTCTACCGGAGCTTCTTCTCCTACTCGGGTCTCCGGTCGGTGAAGACCGACTTCCGCGACGGCACCGTCATGCACTGCTGGGTCCCCAAGACCCACAAATACATCAAGCCCAACCTCGTCCTCGTCCACGGCTTCGGCGCCAACGCCATGTGGCAATACGGCGACCTCCTCCGCCACCTCATGCCGCGCTTCAACATTTACGTCCCCGACCTCCTCTTCTTCGGCGAGTCCACCACCAAGCGCCCCGAGCGCACCGAGGCCTTCCAGGCGCAGTGCGTCATGCGCCTCATGGTCTCGCACGGGGTGCACCGCATGAGCATCGTCGGGATCAGCTACGGCGGTTTTGTCACGTACAGCATGGCCGCGCAGTACCCCGAGGCTGTGCAGAAGGTCGTGCTCTGCTGCACCGGGGTGTGCCTCGAGGAGAAGGACATGCGCGACGGCCTCTTTGAGGTCGCGGATCTCGACGAGGTTGCTAGCATTCTCATGCCGCAGACGCCCGATAAGCTCCGGGAATTGATTCAGTTCGCCTTTGCCAGGCCTGCCGTCGTTAAAGGCCTCCCGGCTTACTTCCTCTCCGATTACATTCAGGTCGGATTGCCTGGAAATATATATTATTTTTTCTTATAAAATATGGGATTTTTTTCATTTTGGATATTTAAATAGTTATATATGAAAATTTGGCTTTTATACAAGTTTGAATCACTAGCTATCGATCGGTAGGTTATAATAATTGTTGAATATATCCCGCGTTAAAATTTATGCTAGACTTTCTTGGTTTATAAAAGTGAAAGGCTACTGTTGAAACCCCGGAATTCTTCTTATATGTTGAGTTTCTATATAGTTTTTGAGATTTTATTCGACTTTATGTATAAAGTAATTGTATGTATAATGAGATATTTATAATTTATGTAAAAAATAAAAGGCATTTTGGTATTTATGTATAATTATTATTATTATTATTTTTTTTAAATAAGAAATTGAAACTTTCAAATGAAACAAAAGAAAATAGTTAAAAACTAAAAAATGTACTTTGAATCGAGACGAATTAAATATTTTTTACTTACAAAATAAAACATTAAACATTATTTAGATAAGAAACGTAAACCTCCAAACCCAATTCAGTATGTAATTGTTTTTCTTCTTCTTTTTTTTAAAACTTATAACATTTATAAAGTAAATTAAAGGACCGAAAAGAAAATAATTACATAATTTTGACGGATAATTTTTTATTTTTGTGTATTATACGAAATAACGATAACAGAGTATAAATGAAAAAACCAGGTGTTCTGTATGGATCATTTGAAGCAAAAGAAGGAGCTAATTCAAGCTCTAATCAACGACAGGCAGTGTTCTAAAATTCCAAAGATCGAACAGGTTTGCAAACTCTTCATCTTCATTTTCATTTTCATTTCATTTATTTAATTTTTCATTACGATCGAATACTATACAAACGGCTGGTAACGGCGAACAGCCCACGCTAATCATTTGGGGAGAGATGGACAGAATATTCCCGTTGCCGTTGGCGCATAGGCTCAAAACGTAATGACATAAAATTTCCAAACGACGTATCTAAATTCTTACATTGGTTCCTTCCTTATATTTGATATTTCTATTAAAAAAGGCACATCGGCGACAAGGCGGATTTGGTAGTGATAAAGAATGCAGGGCATGCTGTGAACGTCGAAAAGCCAAAAGATTTCGCCAAACATTTGAAGTCGTTTCTTATAGAATCGGAAAACCTGTCTCATCGACCAAGGACATTGTCGCTACTTCCTTATATATATTGCAACTACACTAATAATGACGATGATGAATATGTCGTCGACGACGATAATCAGGATTCATCCCACAAATTTAAATCTGAACAAAATGTTAGTAATAATGTAAAGCAAGTAAACTAGGTTTAATTTTTCTATGATGTATAATTGTATGTGTATGTACGGTTAATCTCAGCTGTCGGATTATGTTATGTAACAAATTGATATGTAATATAAGAATTTCGGGACTGGGTTCAATTGCTGGCATATTAATACTACTTCCGTCCACCGTCATTTGGCGTCATTATTTTTAACATTAAAAATATATTTATATTTATATTTATATAATTTTTTGTATAAATGCCATTACATGAGTATTATAAGGCACTAATACAAATATTTTTGTCGTTTTTTCTTAGGGTGTGTTTGTTTGGGGGATTTAATAAGATTTCTACTATTCATCCAATTTTTTTCCCCCAAAAACATCAAATCAAACACCTATTTTTCATTTTTTATATTATACTAAAAATCAATTTTACATTCAAAACATCACATCAACACCTATTTATATCACATCATACAACTATTTAAATTCAAAATTTTTACTATTCAAATCCCAACTCAAAATCCAAACCCCCAAACAAACACACCCTACTACGTTTTGATATAATAATTAATATTCAAAAATTAATATGCAAAAAGTAAACGGATAGATTGGTGGTGGACGGAGGTAATATATTTTTATATTTAAGAATTAAATGTAATCTCAAATTCAAAATCATGAAAGTAAAGATATTTAATCGAATTCGGAAGTAAAACCTAGTTGAATTAAGTACTCAAATACGTGAAGGAATTATAATAAGTGGTTTGAATTATTTCTTCACATCTTTGAGGATTGTAGTTCAATCTTAAAGCACATTGGTTTGCAGACGGAGAAAATATAATTTTAAAATTAATTGTTAAATATTAGTGACAAAAATATTAACGAAGAGGTGTATGTGAGTCTATCCTCACCGCTAAACCATCTCTTACATAATTATTTGAAGTTATGATTTAGTTTACGGGCTTTAGTCGACTTAATCTAATTTACATGGTTTTAATTTTTTTTTTAATTTTTTTATTATAGTATATATTTTTAACTATAACAATGCAATTATGTACGTTTTGAAAAATTACAATTTCTTTTTCTAAACTTACATAATAGACCCCAAGTTTGTTTGTTCTTTAGTATTTTGATGAGATTTTTTTTAGGTGAAATATAAAATTTTTTATAATTAATATAAAAAATAATATTTTATATTCAAATTTTATTTTATTTTTTTAAAGATTATCATGTATATATATATATTATATTGGAATCATACTAAAAAAAAAAAATAGTTGGATAAACAAACTCTCTGTTTATTATAAATACTAAAAATTTTGAAGAGTTAGAAGAAAGAGTTGAAAAATAAATATTTGACATATATTGTAAGAAAAAAAATGATACGTCCGGTACTATTTGTTTTTTTACATGAAGATTACATTTGTTTAATATATTGAAAGTTGTAATAATATTAATTATATTAAATAGACAGCACAATTAATAAATTAAAAATGATACTTGTGTTTTATTTTGGGACGGACAAAATAGAAAAATGATATTTTTTTTATGGAATTGAGAGAGTATTAAAACAAATAATTTGATTAATAGTATCAAAGCTTTAAAAAAAAATCTATATAAAGAGCTTGTTTTGTTTAAATTTTTTTTTAACAATATAAAATATAAAAACTGAAAAAACAAAAAAACAAAAATTAAAGAGTCCTACATATTTTGGTATTTTCAGTGGTACTGGTAGCTACTGAAACTTCCACGTTTTTGGATTATTAAGCGATAAGCAAATAAGAAAGAACCCTAATTTTTCTGGGCCATTCATCGCCAGATAATTACAGCAAGCACCAAAATGGGTGCTGCAACTCACTGTACGGAAACCATGGAGAATTCCCCTACCGCCATAGCTCCTCTGCTGCTGAGAAATCTGCTGACCACAATTTTCGTACACGCCGATCGCCCCATGCTCTACTTGTCCCAACACTACAAGCTTCTTAATCTCCTTCGCCGTGTAATTCAGTCCACTTTCCTCTTCTTCCTCAGCCTTCTCCCTTCCTTCCTCTCTGCGCTTACGCCTTCCGACGCCGCCGCCAACTACCCTCTCAATCCCACTAACGACGAGCCACCGCCTGCCGCCCGCCGCAGCAGCGGCGGCGGCGGCTCCGGCGTCTCCCGGGCACTCTACCAGCTGCTGCTGATAATGAACGATGTTCCGGTGAGCTCAAGAAAATACGAAGTGGTGAGGTCGTTGGCCGAGAAGCTTATGGACGAGAACATCTCCGATGGCCGCGAAGCCTTGAGAGAAGTCAATCGGGTGGTGCTGTCGGCGGCGTTCTCGAGGACTTTGAGCAGGCTTGAATTGGCGGCGGTGGAGAAGGGGCGGAGAGGGGGCGGCGGAGAGACGGTGGCCGCGGCGCAGGGGGTGCGGGAGGGCGAGTCTTTTATTTACGATATGGCGAGCCTTTTATTTAAGGGGATTGGGTATTTTGGGCGCGCTGCGTGGCGATATGCCGTGAATGGCGTAGAGTCTGAGACGTCGGGGAGCTCGGCTGAGAAAATGGCGGCTGAGGTGCTTTGGCTTGCTCAGAAGATGGCGGCGTCCGGCTGCGCTGAAGAGGCAGTTTATAAGTGGGCTTCGGCTTCTAATTTGGCTTCCGTCGCCTTGTCGGCGGAGCCGCGGCTTCAGGGATCCTTGGTTAAAGCCACAGGTAAATTGGATACTATGGGCTTTGTTTACTTTGTATTTATGTGTCTTTTGTGTTTATGTTCCTTAAATAGTTTTGTTAAAAGAGAATATTTTATTACTAAAAAAATGTCAAAGTAAACCAGAATTCCAAGTCTAATTAGAAAGAGTTTGTTATTAAGCTTCTGTCGGTAGCTATAATTTTATAGATAATCAAATTTACTATCTAAATTGTTAATTTTATTCTTTGATTGAAAGCTTAATTTTATTGAATTTATCTTTTAGCTGTCTGAGATAAAGTTTCAAGTCATTTCTTGCTTGTACAAGTTTGATGCTTTCGAAATTAATGCATTCCTTTGGAAACAGCATTCTTGATAAAAGAAACAAAAGGAATAGGCGGAGAAGAAGGTGAAGATGCGACAACGAGAAAATTGAAGATGAAAATAATGACTTCATGGCTGCCACTGTTGTGCTGCGCCAACAACGGGACTGATGCGCCGATCCTAAGCATGCGGGAAAGGTTGGAAGTCGAAAAGATATTGGAAGAGTTGATCGCAACATTAGAGGCAGAGGAGCAAGAATGGGTGCTGTCGAATTGGCTCCACCACTACACACATTGCCCGGCTTCTGACTGGCCGAATCTCCGGTCTTGCTACACCCAATGGTACACTGCCTCCCGCCGAAGTTTTGTTGCTTCTACACTGTGAATATAAATACATACACATACGTATACCATTTTCTGTGTAATGATAATACATTGAACTTCAAATATAATAGACAATCCTATACTAGCAAGAGCACATGTTCTAGTCAAGATATGTATGTATATATATATATATATTTGTTCATATTCGATCCTTCCATCCCTCACTTGAGTTCTTGTTCCTTCTCCTATGGTTCTTCAAACATGGCCAATTCTTGCATCATCATGTGGATTCGAGGGTGCGCATTGTTACCACTTGATCGGAAAGCTCATTTCGATCTGGTTATGAAATTCATATTCTGGCGTTAATACCTCTGAATTCTAGGACCAATTGAGTCTTACGGTGCTCATTAACTTTTGTAGTTCCCTTAAATTCATTTCCAAGTGGGAAATCTTCATCTCTTGTCTGTCTGGTGGACTACACAATTTGTGAGGGAATATTTTCCCTTGCAAAACCTGTAAATTTCCTTGTAAAACTGGTTGGTGAGGGAATTGAAGTCCTCACAACGCGAGATTTCATAATTTGTGAGGAAATCAATCCCTTACTAAGACAAGAAATTTTATAATTTAAATAAGAATATGTAAGCTGGGGAAGAGGAAAGGTTTTTTTTTTTTTTTTTTTTTTTTTTTTTTTTTTTTTCGATTTTGGAGGAGAGTCATCTCGTTTCGACTTTGGTGGAGAGTCATGTCATTTTCAATTCCGGTGGAGTCATGTCGTTTTTGGTTCCGGTGGAATCATATTGTTTTCGATTCTGGTGGAGATATATAAATATTTGTGTGAAATATGACAAAATTCCCATGTTTAACTCATAACTTTGTAATGATATATAATTTTTTTTTTGTCTATCCAACATCGACACATCGTTTAAGCATTCATACATATTTTTGAGCCAATTTTAAAAATTACTATTATTTTTATTTTGGGCTTATATATTATTCTCTTTAGTAGTTCCGACTCTATAAATACCTTATTTACATTTTACAATAATTTTTCCTTAGATTGATAATGAAGTTCTCGATCCTTGAAATTGGTTTATTCTTTTGTTCGGCTATCTCTAATTGTGTATAGACTCGTGATCCTTCCCCATGCACAGCCACATGCGTTCACATATCTACTCCAAAAAACGTGATTGTGGAATAAGGAAATCTTGTTTTTTGTCATTTTCCCAACACCTCTTTTAATTTCTACATAATCTTTTGTAGAAGAAACTTCATTGACATACTCAAGCTGCTTCTTCAAGAAAAAAAAAAAAGACTGTTTTTGCAGGGGAAAAAAAAATCTCACGCAAAGAACTCAAATTCGGTCGCAGACTGGCTATGGATAAATTTGCTCCGAAGAAAATATGTAGTGAGGACATTTGCGATGGACGAAATCACAAGTCAAATTTGGTCGAGATTAGCGAGGGATTTAACTTCATCATAACAGTAACAATGAATGAACTTCATGAAGCTATCTACTCCATTATCCATTTACAACAATCACACACCAAAACTAATCAAGTTCTAACAATGTATAAACATGGATATCCAAAGAAACATGCATCTTAACCCATTATAATCAAAATCATTCTTGTCATATTTAACTTCATCATAACAGTCATAATCAACCCAAACAAATGACTGGACAGCCAGACAAGCCACAAGAAATCAATATAGCTCTTACACAAATTTGTTATTGTTAGCCCCAAATTCGTTCAAAAACCAAGAAGCGACCAATTAACAGCACCACAAAAAGCTAACAACAAATAAATACAGCACCAACATACTCCCAAATAGATTTTGCTACAGACAGTTTATGAACCGATCAAATAACACAACGCACAATCTGCAAGCTCAAAAATAAAACACATGAAATTGATAACCCAGTTCGGTCATAAAAGACCTACATCTGGAGGGTTCCAACCCAGGCATGACTTCACTAAATTGAAAACAAGTTAAACTTTCACAAGCTGTGTTCATCTCCCTCAAGAATTGCTATCTGCAAATCATTTCTATGCAACACCATTCAACAAGATTATCTAACCAACTAAATTCCATCAGAATCTATCTTCTCAACAAATTACTATAAATCAGTATGTTGTTACAACATATTGTCTTTTTCTCTCCATGGAGGGACCAACCATATCTTTAATATGGGCCTGGAAAAATAAAAAATAAATCGCATTTGGGCCTTCTTGGATTTTGGACTTGGACTCTGGAATCCAATCAGCCGCCGCACTTTCCTGCTACATAGATTTAGAAATATCAAACCAGCCATTAGTTAAAAAATAAAATAAGAAACCAATATGAACTACAATCCACCGTATTTTATTTCTTCTGTGGAAAAAAAAATGAAAAAATTCGAAACTTCTTTCGGAAACAATATAACCCATCACATAAATAATATATTGTGTGAAAGGGAGTGAGAGTGGAAGCATGTATGTAGAAAAATAGAAGTATTGTACTTGTACTTACTACATATTAAGGAGAGGAGTCCTTGTTTTGTTAATGTTGAAAAATTGGGATATCATCCTTAGGCTTTGTGTCAACAAACAAGATGGGACTGCTGCTTTCTTGGCTGCTCTTAGTCCACCATCTTTATGAAAATAGCCATGCCTGTCGGACAGTCCATCCAAGAAAATATTCAGCGACGGAGGGGGAAGGGAATAGCTTCAGAAAACATTAGTATTCATTTCTACTCAAGGAAAACAAACAGCTAAACAGACACACCTTCGGTTGCCAGCAACTTTCCCTGCTTTATTGCAACGATCACTGTCTTTTCAGCCGCAGCACTTTCCTGGTACACAGATTTAACAATATCAAACCAGCCATCCGTCGAAAAAAAAAATTTTAAAACTCATAAGAAACTTATATGAACTACAATCCACCAGTTTTTGTTTCTGCCGTGGAAAAAATAAAAAAATTCAAAACTTATTGCGGAAACAATATAACCCATTACAAAAATAATATATAGTGCGAGAGAGAGAGTGAGAGGGAGCATGTATATTGAAAAACAGAAGTATTGTATTGTACTTACTACATATTGAGGAGAGGAGTCCTTGTTTTGTTAATATACTTAGCCTTTGTGCCCACAAACAAGGCGGGACTGGTGCTTTCTTGGCTGCTCTCGCCCACAGTCTTCATGAAATAACTATGCTTGTACATCCAAGAAAATATTCAGCGACAGAGGAGGAAGGGGATAGCTTCAAGAAAACATTAGTGTTCACTTCTATTTTAGGATAAAAAACAGAGAAAGAGACAGACCGTCGGGTGTCTGCAGTTAGCTCTAGATGAGAGGCAGTTGCCAGCAAGTTTCTCTGCTTTATCACAAGGATCACTATCCTTCAGCCGCAACACTTTCCTGGTACACAAATTTAGCAATATCAGACCAACCATCCGTCAAAACACAAAATTTTAAAATTCATAAGAAACCTATATGAACTACAATCCACCAAATTTTGTTTCTGCCATGGAAAAAATAATATATAGTGCGAGAGAAAGCGAGTGAGGGAGCATGTATGAAGAAAAATAGAAGTATTGTACTTGTACTTACTGCATATTGAGGAGAGGAGTCCTTGTTTTGTTAATGTTAAAACATTGGGATATCATCATTAGGCTTTGTGTCCACAAACAAAATGGACTGCCAGCTGTCTTGGCTGCTCTTGTTTCACGAAATAACTATGCCTGTTCGACAGTCCATCCAAGAAAAAATTCAGAGACAGAAGAGGAAAGGAATAGCTCACTTCAACTGAAGGATAAGAAACAGAGAAAGAGACAGACTATCGGGTGCCTGCAGTAAGTTCCCATGAGGATTCTTTGCTTTATCGCAACGATTCAGCTGCAGCATTCATAAGAAAAACAAAATTTTAAAATTCATAAGAAAATAAACAAAAAATAAATTCCAAGCTTCTTTCACATTCGATTTCTTCATGCAAATTGTACTTGTACTTACTACATATTGACGAGAGGAGTCCTTGTTTTGTTTATGTTGTAAGATTGGGATATCATCCTTAGGCTTTGTGTCAACAAACAAGATGGGACTGCTGCTTTCTTGGCTGCTCTCAGTCCACCATCTTTATGAAAATACCCATGCCTGTCGGACAGTCTATCCAAGAAAATATTCAGCGACGGAGGGGGAAGGGAATAGCTTCAGAAAACATTAGTATTCATTTCTACTTAAGGAAAACAAACAGCTAAACAGACACACCTTCGGTTGCCAACAACTTTCCTTACTTTATCGCAACTATCACTATCTTTTCAGCCGCAACACTTTCCTGGTACACGGATTTAACAATATTAAACCAGCCATCCGTCGAAAAGCAAAATTTTAAAACTCATAAGAAACTTATATGAACTACAATCCACCATTTTTTGTTTCTGCTGTGGAAAAAATAAAAAAAATCAAAACTTCTTTCGGAAACAATATAACCCATTACAAAAATAATACATAGTGCGAGAGAGAGAGTGAGAGGGAGCATGTATATTGAAAAACAGAAGTATTGTATTGTACTTACTACATATTGAGGAGAGGAGTCCTTGTTTTGTTAATAGACTTAGCTTTTGTGCCCACAAACAAGACGGGACTGGTGGTTTCTTGGCTGCTCTCGCCCACAGTCTTCATGAAATAACTATGCTTGTACATCCAAGAAAATATTCAAGGGGATAGCTTCAAGAAATCATTAATCATTAGTGTTCACTTCTATTTTAGGATAAAAAACAGAGAAAGAGACAGACCGTCGGGTGTCTGCAGTTAGCTCTAGACGAGAGGCGGTTGCCAGCAAGTTTCTCTGCTTTATCACAAAGATCACTATCCTTCCGCAGCACTTTCCTGGTACACAGATTTAGCAATATCAGACCAACCATCTGTCAAAGCACAAAATTTTAAAATTCATAAGAAACCTATATGAACTACAATCCACAATTTTTTGTTTCTGCCATGGAAAAAATAATATATAGTGCGAGAGAGAGTGAGAGAGGGAGCATGTATGAAGAAAAATAGAAGTATTGTACTTGTACTTACTACATATTGAGGAGAGGAGTCCTTGTTTTGTTAATGTTGAAACATTGGGATATCATCATTAGGCTTTGTGTCCACAAACAAAATGGACAGCCAGCTGTCTTGGCTGCTCTTGTTTCACGAAATAACTATGCCTGTTCGACAATCCATCCAAGAAAAAATTCAGAGACAAAAGAGGAAAGAAATAGCTCACTTCGACTGAAGGATAAAAAACAGAGAAAGAGACAGACTATCGGGTGCCTGCAGTCAGTTCCTATGAGGATTCTCTGCTTTATCGCAACGATTCAGCTGCAACATTCATAAGAAAAACAAAATTTTAAAATTCATAAGAAAATAAACAAAAAATAAATTCCAAGCTTCTTTCACATTCTATTTCTTCCAGCAAATTAACCAAACAATTCACAAGCATAAATGAATCAATCAACTCAATTTGTTTCTTTAAAAACAATTTCGCTCAAGGCGTACCTTAATACTTCCGGGAGCATAATCAACCTCTGAGGCCTAAGGATTGGATCAAGTCTGTGGTTTTTGGCTGGTGGATGATCTTTTCAAACATGTCTTTTGTCATTCCGTGCTTGACCATCGCCTCAAGAATCTTGTCCTCAATCTCCGCCATCGGCTGCTTTGAGATATCTTGCTCATTTGAAGAAGAGCAAAACACTAATTCAGATAGCCGCTCTTTCTCAGCTTGCCGGCAATATTTGTCCGCCTCAGTTGTGGCAGCAGTCATAAGATGGTAGGTATGGACAAACCTATTTTGCCCAATCCTATAAGCTCGACAGATTGCCTGCTGCTGGACAGAAGGATTCCAGAGAACGTCCAGCAGAATGACCCTGGAAGCCCCAACCAGACTAATGCCCTCCGAGCAGCACTTCGTCGATGCCAGCATGATCATGGAATCATTTTCTGGATCGTTGAATGCGTTGATCACATTCTGCCGTTGCTTCTTCTCTAGCTTTCCTTCCAGCCTCAGAATTTCCTTCCCCGCATTCCACTGGAAGGTCGCGGTCAGATGCTCTTCGATCAGGTCCAAGGGGGGAATGTACTGGCTGAAGATGAGCACTTTTTCCTTCAGCGTCATACTGAGGCGGACAAACTCGACGATGAATTTCGTTTTGACTCCTTCGCTGGAATTGAGCTTGGATGCCTCGGCTGCTTGCATATCAATTCCATCATTTGGCACTTGCGACTTGCATCGTTGGATAAGGTAGGGATGAACAGATACCAAAGAAAATACAAAATCTGAACTCTTAATTGTTTTCCTTAATCGTTCCCCTTCCAACAAGTCGATCAGATTCTTCTGCAATCCAGTCGATTTCAAGAGGACCACACAGTCTCTTAATCCGGGAAGACTCTTTTGCAGGATAGAGCCTTTGTGCACATGCACAAACGGCGACATTGAGACTTTAAGTCTCTCCACTGCACGGTTGATGGATTCCGGAAGCAAAGCAGGCCTAGATCTCCGGCGGTTCCTATCTGAATGCAGAATCTCAGTGAATGTCGGGTCCTGCATAGCTGCTTCTGCCACTGTAGGCCTTACGATCTTCAGTGAGTTGAACAGCTCTCTGAAGTTGTTCTGGAAGAGCGTCCCAGACAATATAACACGCTTTTCAGTCTTGAGCTGAACCAGTGAAGTCCAAATTTTACTCCGGCGGTTGCGAGGAGTATGGCCTTCGTCAAGAATCACCAGGCCAGGCATCTCAAGAAGTATCGATCTCAAAACTTCGAAGTTCTTTTCAACACCCGACCTCTGCCCCTCTTCGCCTGCATCTGCTTCCTCGTTTTTCTGCGCCGTCAGCTTCTCAAACAGACTGTAGCTAATCCCCAAAAGGCCTCCCCCTCTCTTCCATGAATATATCTTTACCATCCGGATTGCCTCCATGTCCCTGCATCTGATACTCGTTCCTTGAAAGAGATGATCGGCCGCCGCCATCTCGTCACCGATAATTGTCAAATTGTTCAGGTTGTGGAAATTAAACCCGGAATTCCACTTCCTGAACTCCCCTTCCCAGTTCTGAAGCAATCCAGCCGGGGCGATGATCATCGGCAGACAGTTTGGATACATCTTTAGATATGTCTCGAGGAATACGATCATGAGACGTGTCTTTCCTGTCCCTGGGGCATGAGAAATGATGCATCCGCCCACTCCAGCTAGATTTGAGTTCTTTAAGTCAGCAATATCGGTACTGCCTGCCAAGTTCCTCCAGAGGAACTCAAATCCTTCTTGCTGGTGTTCGTACATACTTTCCCGCACACCAGCCTTGATGCTCCACACTGAGCCGCTAGTCCAGCTGCTTATGTCCGCTGCATCAGCTTCTGGGAGATTAACGGCGCTAAGATCCAGAGCCTTCCCTTTCTCCTGCTTCTTCTTTCCGGAAGCATTACGACCTTTGATCGCCTGCGAAAGGAAGAAGAAGAAGTGGTATAAATAAGGGTAGCCGCACAAATTTTAAATCAACCTAAGATTGCACTGACCTACATTCAGATAACAGATTAATATAGAATTAGGGAGGATGGATAAATTAAAAGGAACAATTTTGATGTTCCCAATAGTTGGATGGTTTTCTGATTTCAGTTATTTAAAGAAGAAATTGATATATACTTACCCACGGAGGAATTACATCCTTCGGTTGAATCGCCACATGCTGACAGCAGATACAAAACCATCCTCGATCATCTTCTAATACCAGTTCATGTAGCCCTCGAGCACATCTGCGCTCCTGACTCTCTTCCTCCTCCTCATCGTCTACTCCAACAACCTGCAGGCCATGAATTGATCATTAATTATCATATCGCATTCTGAATAATTATAATAAAAGTGCCGATTTAGTTCTCAATCCATGTCAAATCAGTTCATGTCTATTCTACACAAGTGCTGGAAGTGATTTACTTACCTCACGGCGGGCAGTCGTTCCAATTTCCTCAACAGCACAGCTAAAGTTGAACTCTTCAAACAAGACGTCCAACTCCTTCTCCCACTCAGCTGGCCTCTGTTCCTTTTCTGTTAGCGGGGCGACATCTTCCTCAAACCGAAACTTCTTGGGAAGAGGAGGGTAGTATTCAGCTCCATCTGCCACTCCAGTTCCTTCACCGGCATGCATTGTTCGAGACGGTTGTCCGAGAATAGATTCCTTTAGGATCTTGGAGATGTCAAATCTTTTAGGCTTAAGCTTCTTCGCTTTAGCCCCCGTCATAAACTTTGTCATCTCCTTAAGCCAATACGGCATATCCTCTCCATCACCGCCACTTTTGCAAATCCGTGTAGCTTTCGGGGGCTGGGCATTTGAGGCTGAGACTAGGTGCGCCCCTTCCTTGACTGTTCTTCGGTCATCATCATTGCCACCCTCCCTCTCCAATCTCTGTTCTTTGCCCTCACAGATTCCCGAGATCCTCCTCTGCTTTGTCTTCCTCTCAGGAGCATTCACTGCCACCTTTCTTTTTGGCATTCGATTGCAGCGCTGCCCTGAAGACTTTGCTGCCGTGCTGTCCCTTGCTGTTTCAGTTCCTTTCTGATTCTTCATTTTTTGCCTCCTCGTCAGAGTGAAGTCTTCATCATCCATCGAGCTCCGAATTTCATCGCCAGACAAGTCACTCAACTCATAGGACTGGCATTTATTGGTCCTACTCAGAGATCGAATACGACCTGCAATGCCAGCACAGTTGTCACTCGCTATCCGAATACCATCATCGTCATTTCCTCGGCAGACAGTATCCCGCAAATCCCCATTAGAATCGGCAACTTCTTCGTTCTTTTCTGCGGGAGCGATCAACCGTGAGGGAGTGTCGGCACTGTCCCCATTGGAGTGGCCCTCTAGTTCAGGGACTGTCAATTCAAGGCCAAATAATCGAGCATAAATATCTGCTCGACTCCTCAGATGCTCCATAGAGGACAGGTCATGGTTCCCATTGGTGTGGCCGTCTAGTTCAGGGCCGAATAATTGAGCATAAATATTTGCTCTATTCCTCGGATGATCCGTAGGGGACAGGTCATGGCTCCCGTCGGTGCACCCTTCAGTTTGAGCTTTTTGAAGCTCTTCATCAACCTGCAGACCATGAAAGTTCAATTTCAGTATCGAATGAAAGATTAGGATTGCATATTTAGTGAAGATATTATTCATAAAGGCATTCAATATCTAATTATGGGAACTAATTGAAACATTGAACTTATTTTTTGAACTTTCTTAATCTATTGGCACCTTATCGTCAAAAGAAACTCGTCTGTCGACACGTCTTTGTACTCTTATCTCTGGAGTGATTTCCGACGGAGGAACTCCGTCAATTCTCAATGACCGAGCCGTTTCCCCATCTCTCATCACAATGGCTCCATCATCCATCCTCGTCATTGACGGAGATGGCAATTCCTTTCTCTTATTCATTGATTTATGATTCTGCAACATAACAATAACAATGAGGTATAGATGGTTAAACATAATAAAATGATTCAAAAAAATAAATATATAAATAAATTGAAAAGAAAAATACCAACCATCTTACTACAAGTCATACATGTCACTATGATTCATAGTTACAAGATAAGCCAAAATATAACGATACATAATAAAAATTCACCCTAAACCCATCACAAAGAAAATGCTTCATTAACACTATATTAAGAAATTGAATTTAAAAATAATTATAAAATATAAATAGGCCTTGTGTTCATCTATCAAATATGCAAGTAGTTTGCTATGTTTAACAAAATTTATAACTATATTAAATCAATATGCAAATACCAACAGCCCATCCTCTTTCAATATAAGCAAGTTCTCTCTGGAAATATAGAAACAATGTTTGGAGACAATAGACTATTAATAAATCTCATACATAACAATGGAAAAATTTTCAAAACCACTTATGTCTTTCAATTCAAAATTAAGGTTTTTTTTCCCTTGTCTGATTTTCAGTATTTCATATTATGTGTTTTTTATTATATTCTTACATACATGACATTTACGTGAAAATTTAAGATAAAGAAGAGAATACTAGGTTACACTTTATCAAATAATATAATACTATCAACATATGTAGTATTTGATCAAACATTTGTTGGAACACTGAGTAGGTGTTGAAAAAGAAAACATGATATGAAAGTTAAGTCAATCATAACTCCAACTTACATAATAAAAATCTACTCAATGCATAGGATTAAGATCAAGGCGGTACTTATGTAGCTAGAAGTTATATTATGAAGAATAAAAAAAATTCCTAGAGTGAAATTAACAACAATGAAAAAAATAAATAAATAAATAAATAAACTTGACAACAAGCTACTTGACAAAAAAGATCCAATGTGGTATATCAATATATGATTCGATTTTATAGGAACTTTATTAAAAGTAAAGGAGTGCATTTAAATAACTAACAATAATAGACCACGTGCGACTAAAAGAGACGTTGTGATTATGTCCGGGGGATCAATAGTTATGTTGGTTGAAGGGTACAAACTAGTTTGCCAAAAGATCACATATTGAAAAATAATAATATTAAAATAAAATAATTTGCTATATAAGTATTAATGAAAGATAATAATTAAGACAGCAACATTGACAGAAATATAAGAACATTGAAAAGAAAGAGAAATTAATATATTAAGTAAAGGAAGATGATTTTTTTTTTTTTTCAAAAAAAAATAAAAATACATAAGCATTTCATTGTAACCCTAGTTTCAATTGTGGAAATCTAAGAGATTAAAGAAAGAAGATTAGATTTGTATACCTCCTTAGATTACCAAATGAAACAAGAAGAGCACGATGGATGGCGACCGAATATCTGCAAGAAATTGAGTTAGAAAACAAAGATATCATTCATTCAAATTCAGAAAAAAGTAGACGAAGCTCGAACAAGTACATCCATGACCACTTGAAAGGGAGATAGATACACATGAACATATACATACCTCTTTACTCCTGCTGCAAACTTTCCTTTGACAAATTGTTGATTTGAAGGAGGACTCCTGAAAGGTTCTTCGATGAGAACGAGAGAGGGGCTAAGACGAAGACAGTGTTTCGAATTTTGTCCAAAATATGACCAAAAAACGAAATTAGGTCGTATCAATTGAAATTGGTGGGGGTTTGATTTGGAGATCAAATATTTTGGGGGTGAAAGAAGTGTTCGTAGAGGAAGGTAAGGGTTAAGAATGGCTTTCTGTTTTCGCCTGCGGAGGAAGCTAAGGATGTTCGGATTCAGGTTCAAGTTCCTCTTCGATATCACCTATGTTTGATGGTCCTTGTCGATGAAATTTGCGTTTTTGTTTGCTTTTTCCGATCGCATGTGCCTTTGATTTGCGGACAGTAGGATTAGCAAGCCAAAGTCGATGTAGTCAAATGAAAGAGGTATGTGATGATTAGGGAAGATATTAGACACGGAATCTTCTCCGGGTGTTTTTGGTTTTGAGTTTTTTATAATTTAATTATTGTTAAAAGCCGATGAATTTTATACAGTTATATAACTTTGTTTTTATTTTTTATTTTTTATTTTTTTGTTGTGTGTGTGGTTGGGTCGATCTTTCTTGGCCAAGTTCAGTATCAAACCTATATAAGGGAGATTCCATTCCAAAAAACTATTAATCACAAAACCTATCATCAGATTTACTATTGCCAGGTTTTTAATGATTAAAACATCAACAAACACCAAGTTAGACCTACTATCTTAACACCAGTAAAGTACCTACCTAATCGAGTATAAACCACATTAGGTTCAGTTTCTTTTATCCGATTGGAACTCAAATAACTCCTTTGTTGAGTAAGGTTTTTAAAGACCACATAGTTTTTTTTTTATAATCTTCGCAATATAAGGTATGGAAAATCTTGACCTCAGAGAAGTCACATGAATTTCCCTCTCAAGAAATCAACTCACCTTTTCCCATCACACACTATGTGACACACGGAAGTTGGTTTTCTCATTGTGTTTGTGTGAATTAAGGTCTTTATTGCACTTGCAACATTGGAGATTCTTTATATATATATATATATATATATATATTCACAATGCAATTATGTTATTTGGCTTCAAACTAAGCCCAATCAAGTTGAAAGATTACACCTAATGCTAGGTTAACCTATAAAAGGAAGAGAAAAATATTGAGCCAACGAGACGCACGGAAGCAAATCAACAAGGGTGTTCTATTGCTTTCTAGATTTGTTTGATGGGTTTGTTGCTAGTCGCAAATCATGTTCTATCTCGTTCCTTCTAGATTTGTTTATTCTTGTTGTAGTATTCTTAATTATTTTGTGACTATTGGGTTGATCATTAATTTTTAGTTATATTTCATATTTAAGAAAATTGGATTGTTGGTCAACTTGGTTAGTTGTTCATTTATTTCTTAGGAACATACTATATTTAGAATATCCCTTTGATTAGTGGAACTTTTAATACTTGTGAATGTATTGTTTTATGCCAAACCCCTTAAGTCATGTCTCTATAATCTTGTAATTTACTTTTAGATTAAAGATAAGATCATCATAAATTGGTTTAGAGCTAGCCATTTTTTCTAGCTTGTCTTCATTCGCAGTTATTTCGTTTGGGCTGATTATGACTGTTTTTAGGGAGTTAAATGCAACAAGAACGATTTTTGATCATGGTGAATTAAATGCATCACATACTTTACTTCTTTAGATATCTAAGGGTTAGCTTAGGTTCCACTATTCATCATATTTGGTCTAGCCAGCAAAATACGTTGTTCATCATGCAAAACAATGAGTTTGACTCATTTTGTTTTTGTTTAACTGTCCGAATTTCGTCTAGATTCGACCACAAGGAGAAAAAAATGAAATAAATTAAGAAAGAGTGGCAAGACTTTGCAATAGTTATTCATATTGAAGTAATGGTAGGATCTTCAAAATAGTAACGTTGGCATGACTATTTCCTATCCATGGTTATTTTGCATAAAAAAAAAAATAGTGAGTTAGTCACCTTTTTTAGTTAGTATTAATTTTTTTTTCCTTTCTACTATTATGTCATCATTCTAATTCTTAGTTTCAATTTATCTAGTTTTTTATGCATCTAATAAGATTTTGATCATGACTAGCAATTCGTTCTTTTTTTAATTTTTTTTTCTCTTTTTCTTTTTTTTCTATTAATTGATCGCCTCTACATCATCGAGCATCTGCTTGGAGTTACATTTGGTTCTGCATTACGAGTTATGAAAATGAACAAACATATTGCTTTTGAAGCTCCAATCCAATGGACTCAATTAGACACTTGATCATTTATATGGTACATGTGATCTTCCCATCTACTAGTTGGCAATCATATATATATTTTTATTTTTTTTCATTAATGTGGTCAAGTAAACATTTGCTTTCAGCAGTTTCCTTTTTGTTGACCTCTTTGTGCTTAAAAAGCGTTTCTCAAAGTGGATACAAAATCTAGATGAATTTTTTAAGAATCTAATGGTTTTACCATTATGTAAAGATTGTTAGGTTTTCAGCCATTGCTCAATATGAAGGGCAATGGAGATCTTTTCTATTGATGCCCACAATTTCAGCCCATTGCAATGGTCCATCCCAAAGACTATCGCCCTCTAGGGAGGCGATCAGAGCCATTCATTTTAGGTTTAGGTGTGTTCAATCTCTCTATCCATCATGTTCCATCCTGAGTGGTTTAGGTACTTTTCGGTGATGTTTCAATTGCCTATGTTGTCAAACAAGTGTTCCACTGTGTATTTCCGAGTGTGGTGAGCCTATTGACAAGTGAAAGGTGTGTAAACTGAGAGTTCACATTGGTGAGCTTGGTGTCATCGGTTTTGTGTGAAGATTTTAGGGTTTAAGTGCCGTAGGATACATATATTCGGGTCTCATTTTTTAGGTCTTGTTCACCTTGTTATAGTGGGACAAAGAGTATGCATTACATTTGAGAAAATTTTGGCTTTGTTTTTGCATTCATTTATGCTTTATTTTTCAATTTGTTATATTTAGTTTTTCGCTTGATTTCTTGGAATATGTTCTTGGTTAATTTATGTGCTTAGCTTTTTACAAGATATGTCATGTTTTAGGTCTGAACATTTGACGGACTTAAGTCCTAATATTTTTTATCATTTTTAAAACCTTAATTACAAAATGTGTCCTTAATTGTTTTGATCAAATAGTACATAAATATGATATAATTTTATATTATTATGTACTATGAATATTTCATTAGTAGGATATCAATATTTCTTTATATTGATTGTCACATTTTAATTTTTCAAAACCACAGTTTTTGGGATTTGTAAGTAAGGGTTCTTTCATCGTAACACTTAACATGAACATCACATGATTTAAGAATTTTGGATCTAAAAAAATGAAAAAAAAAAAAGAGACAAGATATAAATGGAATAATAAAAATAATAATCAAGTATATAACATGATAAAAAGTAACCAGAGTGCATAGTTCGTAGATATTTTGCTATTTTTCATGCACAATAGAATTTGGGTTACTTATGTACCTGGAATGAGAAAAACTAATGAGTATGTCATAATTGAACCTTTACACTTTATCAAAATTTGACATAAAATAATGTTTATAGTCCATAAAATAATAAAATACTTCCAAAATGTGTAATATTCGATCAAACAATTGTCGAAACATAAAGTAGGTGTTGGAAAAAGAAAACAAGATATGAAACATAAGTCGTCATAACTATAACCTTCACAATAATTATCTACTTAATGCATAGGATTATATAACATCAATGAGATAATTATGTTGCTAAAAGTTAGATTTTTTTAACAAAAAAATTCCTAGAATGAAAGGTGGATACAGATGAACATATACATACATACATACATACCTGTCTACACTTGCTGCAAACCTTCCTTCCGCAAACTTTCGAGTTGAACGACTTCTCCTGAAAGGTGTTCTCTGTGTCAGAGCTAGAGAGTGAGAGGGAAGAAATCTAGAATAGTGTTTTCGATGATTGTCCAATAATTAACCAAACAAGAAATTGGGTCATAGCAATGCGGATTCTTCTTCAAGTGTTCTTTGGTTTTTGGGTTTATTGATAATTTTATTATTTTTGAAAGCCCATGATTTTATACAGTTAAAAAGACATTGTGTTTATTTTTTTATGTCTGTGCTTGGGCCAATATCTTTTTCACCAAAAAAGAAATATTATTTAAAATATTTGTTGTAAAAAAATTATTATGGAACTTGGCAGAAAATAAAATAATTTATAGATTTTACAATCAGTTTTTCCTTGATTAATAATAAAAAAAATTTATCCTTGAGATTGATTTATTCTATTTTTAGCAAATCTACTCCAAAAAATGATGATCACAGACAGCCCTTACTGAAACCATTTGCAAGGAAATGGGGAGTGTTCGAAAAGCCACATCATTGCTTCAAAGATTTAATTTCAGAATAAGAAAATGTTATTTTGTCATGTTCCAAACACCTCCTTTCTTCATAATAGTTTATAGAAGAAGCTTCACTGCCGTACTCAATGCACTCCTTTGGAATCATGATTTCTTTTGACTGAATATCAAATAGGCCTTAGTACATTGTGTGTTCCTAAAAGTAATGGGGCTTCTGGTCACTATGCACTGCGCTCATAACTTCGACTAGGATTGCTTCGAAGGTGCCTTTTCTGGTCAATATTTCATAAGGGGAGGACATTTGGTGGAACAAGGAAGCTTTGAGCACAGAAAACCATTATGAAATTGCATCCAGACCCAAGATATATGTATTTAGTTGCACTCGATTATAACTCGAAACTATACGCAGTGTATTCAACAATATATAAGTCGATCAGGACATTATATCATTAGTTGTGAAACTTTCTATTGTCCATGAAAATTGGTAAAATACCTATAATCTATAACTACTTGTGGTTATATATAAAATTGTTTACAAACTTCCAGTCATAGTTATAAATGATCACTATTCAAAATCTTACAAGAATATTCTTACAATTCTAATATACCTATAATCTATCCAATCACAAACGTTAATTAGTGCAAACCTAGAGCAATCTTGAATGAAGAATTGTCAGAAGAAATGAAAATTTCTGAAATTATCATACAGCTATACAATCTTGTGTATATGTATGCAATATAGTAATCTCAAACTAACAATTCGTCGGTAAATAATAAATATTCATGAGAAATCTATATGAACTATAATCCTCCATATTCTATTTTTTTCTTGGAATAAAAAATAAAAAACTCCAAACTTCTTCTAACAAATCAACCAAACAAATCACAAATAAAAATGAGTCAATCAACTCAATGTGTTTTTTCCGGTTCATTCAAGATGTACCTTAATATTTTCGGGAATATTCTTAACCTTTGATGCCCAATGATTGGATCAAGTTGGCTTTCTTCGGCTGGTGGATGATCTTTTCAAAGATACCTTTTGTCTTTGCATGCTGGACAATCTCTTCGAGAATCCTGTTCTCAATATATCCAGCCTCTAACAAACTTGATTACCAACTAATGCACAGAATTTGTACGTAGCATATAAAAAATTCTAGATAGGAACTTTAATAAAATTAAACCAGTGCATTTAAATAACTCACAATAATTTACCTAGTGTGACTAAGAGCATTTTACGGGATCATATCTAGGGTATCAATCAATAGTGTAAGTATCCTAAGGGTAAAAGTCGAATTTGAAGATTGTTTAAGAATTAAATTGAATTATGCTGGAAAAATGATAAAAACTAATTTACCATAAGATCACATATTGAAAAAAAAAATTAACTAAAAAAAATGAAATAATATCAAATAAAGAAAGATAAGTTTATATATATATAAGTAAATAAATAGGGATTACATGTACTCAAATAGTAGTTTTAATTTGTATAAATCTAGAGATTAAATAAGAAAGAACAAATCTGTGTACCTGCTTAGATTAGCCAAATCAAACAATAAGAACACAATGCGACCAAATAACTGCAATAAATTGATATCATTCATATTCGAAAAAAAAAGTGATGAAGCTCGAAAAAGTTCATCCATGACAGGTTGAAAGGTAGATAGATACACATGAACATATATATGCATACATGCCTCTTTACACCTGCCCAAATCTTCCTTTGAAAAATGTTGATTCTCTTTTGTGTGAGAGAAAGTGGGAGGGACAGGGGCTAGGACAGTCTAGAACTACTCTTCTCCATTTTTGTCCAAAATTTGACAAAAAAAATTGGGTCCCATGAATGCTGAATCCTCTTTAGGTGTTTTTTGTTTTTGGATTTACTTCAAATTTTATTATTTTTTTAAAGCCCATGAATTCTATAGTTAAACAATAACTGATTTTTTTGTGTGTGTGGGTCAATTATAAATTCAAATTTATATATTCGCTTAATTATATTTTCTTTTATAACTGCAATTTTTTTAATTACTTTTTTTTATATATATAAACCAATAAAGTAAAACCAATTAAATGATACCTACTCAGTATGTATTACTCAAACTAAATACAACATCATACTAAAATACATAAGCAAATGATGTCATCCATTTTCAGGACTGTTGTATATATATATGCATTGAAGGCTGGAAGTCTGGGGTTCTAGTCCTCTGCGTCTTCCCTACGATTTCGGCCTTCATTCGGTCTATAGCCCAGGAGAATATTGGCGCATCTTCGGGCTGGAGCCAAGGTCATACTTGGTTCCAAGTCTAAAAGAGTAAAAAGGTGATTAAACATAAATTCCATCCTTTGCGCCACGGCCATTTGGCTGAGGGTAGCCGTGGAGGGAAGAGGAATCTGCCTCAAAACATCAATAACTGCTGAAGGTTGGTGCCTAAGTATTAGTTCGCCCCTTTCAACTGTCTTTATGTCGAAAGGCGGTTCGAGGGACTGGCCACGGATGCTCACCTGATGCAGGCTGCAACAATTAACCAATATATAGCGGTAAGTGATGGTCAATTTTTTGGGTTGAATAAGATTGATCCCTATTGTTCTATGTGCACATTTACATGAAGTATTACAAAGGTTGTTTAAGTACCAATGATAGTATAAGTTATTCCTTGGGTCTCTTTGCACCATCCCCAAGAGTTCGATCTTCAAAATCCCTCCCACACATAGAACTGGTTCAGGCAATGTAAATGTTTGGTTGAGGAGACTCTGCCCATATGCAATTCATATTAGAGCAAATGTAAGTTATTATTTTCAATCAAAAGTCATTTTTAATTAGGACAAGTGATAGTTCATATATTCTTAGAGTCATTCAACCATACAGATATAAGTTATGGAGACAATGTAATACAAGGTGGAAACTAACCTGTTCCATGGGGAATTGAGGCGATGTATAACCCCAGACAAAGTGGTCATCCTTCATATCCCCCGGCAAGTTAATGTCCTGGTGTGTTTGATATCTTGGCAACGTACGATGCCCCATGCTGAATTGGACTGACATAGCGGAGAATATATATTGTCTATTACCATAATGCCCTGAAAGGGAATGCAAATAGGATAGAAGAACTCAGTTAGGATTCCCAACATAAAATAGGATGAACATAAATGTGTCGAGACAATGGAAATTATACTATACCACGAGAAGGTTGGATTTGAATGTCTGATACTATGCAAACTCCGCCTTTGAGTTTGAAAAGTATGGTATCAGACACATTAGCGTCGGTGTGCCCTTTGCTCGACCAATACATTTGGTTTGGGAGGAGTGCATGAATGATGCTCTTTCCTATATAATGGCTTGTAGAAGAAGTTCCGATGACAAACCCAATGCAATTCTCAGGATTAATCATACTTGCTTTTGACAGAATAGCAAGGAGGCTTGAGTACAGTTTGTGTTCCTTCCGAAGATCATTGAATCTTGGAAGATGGTGCTTCTTCCCCTGGTCCATAATTGCGTCACAGTAGCTTGTATTCTTGAGCATTGGAGCTCTCCTTACACAAGCTGTTTTTGCTATGCTATTTTGAACAACTGCAAAAAACAAAACACAATGTGTGTAAAAATGGATAAGAGTAATTTCCCCAACTAAACATAATGATAAGCTGTGTATATTAGTGTTTACGTATTTCATTCTCATTCTGCTTGAATATAACAAAAAAGAAAATCAACAATAGACTTGAAAGGAAAGATAAAATAAAGAATGAAAACAAAAATTTAGTATATGTGTATCCAACGGTGTTGAATTGCAATTAGGGTGTCTTCTTTTCACAAACTTTACAAAAATTTACTATTCTTCAAAATTCATCTTTTATATATTCTTCTAAAAATTAAATTTATATTCAAAACATTATAGCAATACTATTTATATTATATTGTATAACACTTCTATGTGCATTGCATACCATAGTAGATTGTTCAACAAAGTAACCATATCAAAATGGTTGTGAAGCTTTTACATATTAGAAATGTTATTATATTGTCTATGAAATTAGTAAAGTGCCTATAGGCAATAAATTTTGGATATATCTAAACAATATTAATTTTTATTTTTTCTTTTATACTGTGAAAACTCGCAGCTGCTAAATTTTGGGTGCACTTTGGATAAACTCCCAACCGAACATAATAGCCTAAAACTAAGTCCAACAATAAAATTAGAAGTGTTGAAAGATTACAACGACAATAATAAAAAACAAAAAAAAAAAACAAAAACATCATCGTCCTCATCATCATCACCATCTGTAATTCATTGATTTGAAATTAATAAACTTGTAAAACCCTAAAGGAATGAATTTATTACTTACTCGCTTCCAATGGTTGGGATCGGGCTTTTTCATGACAATGATGGACTTGATTTGGTCTGGCAGCTTGGCTTTCCAGCGACAGTAGAGTTTGGTGCCGTGGTGGAAACTGTAGCTTGTTGGTTTAGGATCGAAATCGACGATTTTACTACTGGTGGGAGATGTACCTGTAACCTCAAATCAGAACAATTGCCTCTTAGTCATCAAATTAGCTAATAAATCTACCCAATGAGTTCGCAAGGAATTATATATATATATATGTTATATATGTGGATTTCAAAGACAAGCACACAACCATTTGGCAGCGTAGTAATCGGATTGTTCACTCCGGTGAAACCTCCAGGCTTTCGATAAGGGTCGTTAGGATTCTGAACATCACAGAGGTGGTTTGAGATCAAAGGCCTCGTGTTTTGAGCCGCCATCAGGAACCACTTCCGTTGCCACTGACATCTCCGCCGCCAACTTTGCCGTGACTGCCGCTGCATCATCACAAGAATCGACAAAATAGATTGTGTAGCATAAAAATTGAGAAAGAAAGCAAATGTTATATCTGTGAAACATGAGGCAATCACATGTGGCCACGTGTCTTCTCACTCAGTAATATTTGGCCATGTGTTTTTTCAGTCAACAATCTATGACAATTAGGGTGATTAGAGTATTAATTAAAGAAAAATTAAAAAGTGCGCGGACAAATTTTTAAAAAATTAATAATATTGGGATACATAATAAAAAGCCAGTTAAATATTAGGATAAAATATAAGATTACCCCTCAAACCAGCTATCTGTCAAAAAAAAAATAAAATTTTAAAACTCATAAAAACCTATATGAACTACAATCCACCATATTTTGTTTCAGCCATGGAAAAAAAATTAAAAAAATTCAGAACTTCTTTCGGAAACAATATAACCCACCACATAAATAATATATTGTGTAAGAAGCATGTATATAGAAAAACAGAAGTATTGCATTATACTTACTACATATTGAGGAGAGGAGTATTTGTGTTGTTAATATACTTAGCCTTTGTGCCCACAAACAAGACGGGACTGGTGCTGTCTTAGCTGCTATCGCCCACAGTCTTCATGCAATAACTATGCTTGTACATCCAAGAAAATATTCAGCGACAGAGGAGGAAGGGAATAGCTTTAGAAAACATTGGTGTTCACTTCTACTTCAAGATAAAAACAAAGAAACAGACAGACCGTCGGGTGTCTGCAGTTAGCTCTAGATGAGAGGCGGTTGCCAGCAAGTTTCTTTGCTTTATCACAAGGATCACTATCCTTCAGCCGCAGCACTTTCCTGGTACACAGATTTCGCAATATCAGACTAACTATCCGTCAAAACACAAAGTTTTAAAATTCATAAGAAACCTATATGAACTACAATCCACCATTTTTTGTTTCTGCCATGGAAAAAATAATATATAGTGCGAGAGAGAGTGAGAGAGGGAACATGTATGAAGAAAAATAGAAGTATTGTACTTGTACTTATTACATATTGAGTAGAGGAGTCCTTATTTTGTTAATGCTGAAACATTGGGATATCATCATTAGGCTTTGTGTCCACAAACAAGATGGACTGCCAGCTGTCTTGGCTGCTCTTGTTTCACAAAATAACTATGCCTGTTCGACAGTCCATCCAAGAAAAAATTCAGAAACAAAAGAGGAAGGGAATAGCTCAAAAAAATTAGTGCTTGCTTCGACTGAAGGATAAGAAACAGATAAAGAGACAAACTATCTGGTGACTGCAGTCAGTTCCCATGAGGATTCTCTGTTTTATCGCAACGATTCAGCTGCAGCATTCATAAGAAAAACAAAATTTTAAAATTCATAAGAAAATAAACTAAAAATAAATTCCAAGCTTCTTTCATATTCTATTTCTTCATGCAAATTGTACTTGTACTTACTAAATATTGAAGAGAGGAGTCCTTGTTTTGTTAATGTTGAAACATTGGGATATCATCATTAGGCTTTGTGTCCACAAACAAAATGGACAGCCAGCTGTCTTGGCTGCTCTTGTTTCACGAAATAACTATGCCTGTTCGACAATCCATCCAAGAAAAAATTCAGAGACAAAAGAGGAAAGAAATAGCTCACTTCGACTGAAGGATAAAAAACAGAGAAAGAGACAGACTATCGGGTGCCTGCAGTCAGTTCCTATGAGGATTCTCTGCTTTATCGCAACGATTCAGCTGCAACATTCATAAGAAAAACAAAATTTTAAAATTCATAAGAAAATAAACAAAAAATAAATTCCAAGCTTCTTTCACATTCTATTTCTTCCAGCAAATTAACCAAACAATTCACAAGCATAAATGAATCAATCAACTCAATTTGTTTCTTTAAAAACAATTTCGCTCAAGGCGTACCTTAATACTTCCGGGAGCATAATCAACCTCTGAGGCCTAAGGATTGGATCAAGTCTGTGGTTTTTGGCTGGTGGATGATCTTTTCAAACATGTCTTTTGTCATTCCGTGCTTGACCATCGCCTCAAGAATCTTGTCCTCAATCTCCGCCATCGGCTGCTTTGAGATATCTTGCTCATTTGAAGAAGAGCAAAACACTAATTCAGATAGCCGCTCTTTCTCAGCTTGCCGGCAATATTTGTCCGCCTCAGTTGTGGCAGCAGTCATAAGATGGTAGGTATGGACAAACCTATTTTGCCCAATCCTATAAGCTCGACAGATTGCCTGCTGCTGGACAGAAGGATTCCAGAGAACGTCCAGCAGAATGACCCTGGAAGCCCCAACCAGACTAATGCCCTCCGAGCAGCACTTCGTCGATGCCAGCATGATCATGGAATCATTTTCTGGATCGTTGAATGCGTTGATCACATTCTGCCGTTGCTTCTTCTCTAGCTTTCCTTCCAGCCTCAGAATTTCCTTCCCCGCATTCCACTGGAAGGTCGCGGTCAGATGCTCTTCGATCAGGTCCAAGGGGGGAATGTACTGGCTGAAGATGAGCACTTTTTCCTTCAGCGTCATACTGAGGCGGACAAACTCGACGATGAATTTCGTTTTGACTCCTTCGCTGGAATTGAGCTTGGATGCCTCGGCTGCTTGCATATCAATTCCATCATTTGGCACTTGCGACTTGCATCGTTGGATAAGGTAGGGATGAACAGATACCAAAGAAAATACAAAATCTGAACTCTTAATTGTTTTCCTTAATCGTTCCCCTTCCAACAAGTCGATCAGATTCTTCTGCAATCCAGTCGATTTCAAGAGGACCACACAGTCTCTTAATCCGGGAAGACTCTTTTGCAGGATAGAGCCTTTGTGCACATGCACAAACGGCGACATTGAGACTTTAAGTCTCTCCACTGCACGGTTGATGGATTCCGGAAGCAAAGCAGGCCTAGATCTCCGGCGGTTCCTATCTGAATGCAGAATCTCAGTGAATGTCGGGTCCTGCATAGCTGCTTCTGCCACTGTAGGCCTTACGATCTTCAGTGAGTTGAACAGCTCTCTGAAGTTGTTCTGGAAGAGCGTCCCAGACAATATAACACGCTTTTCAGTCTTGAGCTGAACCAGTGAAGTCCAAATTTTACTCCGGCGGTTGCGAGGAGTATGGCCTTCGTCAAGAATCACCAGGCCAGGCATCTCAAGAAGTATCGATCTCAAAACTTCGAAGTTCTTTTCAACACCCGACCTCTGCCCCTCTTCGCCTGCATCTGCTTCCTCGTTTTTCTGCGCCGTCAGCTTCTCAAACAGACTGTAGCTAATCCCCAAAAGGCCTCCCCCTCTCTTCCATGAATATATCTTTACCATCCGGATTGCCTCCATGTCCCTGCATCTGATACTCGTTCCTTGAAAGAGATGATCGGCCGCCGCCATCTCGTCACCGATAATTGTCAAATTGTTCAGGTTGTGGAAATTAAACCCGGAATTCCACTTCCTGAACTCCCCTTCCCAGTTCTGAAGCAATCCAGCCGGGGCGATGATCATCGGCAGACAGTTTGGATACATCTTTAGATATGTCTCGAGGAATACGATCATGAGACGTGTCTTTCCTGTCCCTGGGGCATGAGAAATGATGCATCCGCCCACTCCAGCTAGATTTGAGTTCTTTAAGTCAGCAATATCGGTACTGCCTGCCAAGTTCCTCCAGAGGAACTCAAATCCTTCTTGCTGGTGTTCGTACATACTTTCCCGCACACCAGCCTTGATGCTCCACACTGAGCCGCTAGTCCAGCTGCTTATGTCCGCTGCATCAGCTTCTGGGAGATTAAC